ATCGGAGACCTTGAAAGAAGGACTGAATAAACCACCTCCCCGAGGAACCTCAACTAACTTAAGCGGTTCTATCGGTAGCAAGCCGCAGGACTAGTTAGGAGATGGTGTTAATCGCTATAGAGCTACCTATATGCGACAAAGAGGTATCGACACTGTTACTATTAGAAGCCGACAGCTAGTGTATTGCTAGGGCTGTTAGTATGTTAGTGTGTGTAGAAGAAGAAGAAGAAGAAGAAGAAGAAGAAGAAGTTGAACTAGGAAGCGTAGGTCTACATTAGCGCATCGCAGGTGAGGTTTGCCTCTACCAATAGGATTGCGCTATTTACGCTACAATAGCAAGGCAACAATAACGGCTATACATCATCGCACTTTTAACGCAACGCAATAGCCGCCGACTGCTGCTGGTTGAATGCCTAAGGCCAGAATTGCCAGCGACTAGAGGCATAGGCAAGGACTTCGCATTGGGCTATAGCTGGTTTGAAAAGCTCTTCGGCACGACGACAGAATGTGCTCTGCGCTCGTCAGCCGACGCAGCTCTCTGGTCTACCGCTACTACTTCGCCGCCAACCCCCTAGTCCACGGAGCTATCAGCCATCAAGCCATCATCGTACGCCTGGCCTGGCCTGGTCAGCCATCAAACCATCATCGTACGCCCAGCCAAACCCTTCGTGGCCAGCCATCAAGCCATTATCATACGCATGGCCTGGCCAGCCATCAAGCCATCATCATACGCCCAGCCAAACCCTTCGTGGCCAGCCATCAAACCATCATCGTACGCCTGGCCTGGCCTGGTCAGCCATCAAGCCATCATCGTACGCCCAGCCAAACCCTTCGACTTTACAAACACCCCCGACGAGGCACGCACTCTGGTCTACCGCTATTACTTCGCCGCCAGGCACGCAATCTGGTCTACCACCGAGGAGGCACGCAATCTGGTCTACCGCTACTACTTCGCCGCCAACCGCCTAGTTGACGGGGCCATCGTTGTCGGCGGCAAGCGCACTTAGAAGATAAAGCTGGTACCTGAGAGATGAAGCCAGTAAGGAAGGCCTGAATGGTAGATATAGCAGGTTGGATCACTACAAACGAATACAAAAGCCAGATTCATTCAATCCTTGATCGCTGTAACCGCTACCATTACCCATTGCTGTTACAAGAGCCTTTAGGGACCACCAGTCAGATCCACCATATCCAGGTCCAGGTCAGCAAAGCCCTCAGCGTCGACGTATGGCTGGTACATAGCAGCTGTAGCATCATCGACAATGCCTGCTTGTACAGGTCCCCGCTGTGCTGACAAGGTTGGACAGAGGGTGCAGCATCTGGGCCGTCGAGCTGATTCGAAGAGAGATTCTCAGCAGTCATCACGAAGCCACAAACATCAACGCTGTGCTAATCGACTTCTTCTTGTACGACTTGGCCAAGGAGCGGGACAGGCAAGGTACGTACGTACGTGTTGTGTTCATGGTCTGTCTTGATGTTTTTCGGGATCACAGCCCACTTCGGCCATGTCATTGGCTTCTCGCCTCCTGCTGCGAAACGGATGGGCTGAAGTCGGTCTGACGATGAAACAGGGCAACACGCGATTCCCCACCATCGAACCAGAAGCATTTGGTACTGATTATGATTAGGCCGCATCGGGTTAGGGGGCGGCAGGAGAAATGCTTGGTCGCGGCTTGGCAAGGGTGGGCTGCCGCCTGCGCAGCTCATGCAGCTTTCGCCATCGTGCATAAGGGGCGTTGGGGGGTGTGATTGGACGTTGGCGATGCTGCTAACGACACCTCCTGCGGCCACGATGGCACCCAGACTCACCACAGCACCCTTCCTGGTTGTGGTGCTGCGTGATGCGAGGACGATGGCGTGCATGCCCCTACATCCTCAGCTGCGGTCAACTCGCTATGTATTCTCCTGTGACGGAGGCGTGGAGGCGTAGGCGGAGGCGTAGGCGGAGGCGTCGCCGGTGATGTGTGTTTGTTCCTGCAGCGGAGCGGAGCCGTTGACGGTCGGATGTGCCCCGTTGGTCGTAACGGTCGTAACGTAGGAATCGCCTTAAAGCTGCGTCGGCCTCTCCTGGACTCTGCCGTCTCCCGTCTCGCCCTTCCTCCACCTCCACCGTCTCTGCCAGACATCGTTGAAGTTGCTGTCCTTGGCGCTTCGTTCGTTCTTTCCACCCCTCGTCTCACATTTTCACGTCGCCAGTCGACACGCCACTCGTTACCGCACAAACCCACCCTCTTTGAAAGAGATCGGAATTTCGACAGTTGATCTGTCCCCAGGCATCCATCGAACAGTCCTTCCAACTGACTCAACATGCGCTCTCTCACTGCTCTCGCTGCCTTCGCGGCATTGGCTTCCGCAATCCCTCACGGCCACAAGCATCTGCAACTCCACGCACCCCGAAATCTCGAAAGCTCACCACTCGCCGGCCGAGACGAGCTCCCAGTCGATCGCTTGACCGGACAGTGCGGTGGCGACACAGGCTACGCCTGCTCGGCTGGCTTCTGCTGTTCGCAATACGGCTACTGCGGCACCGACCCAGACTACTGCGGTGTAGGCTGCCAATTCGGCGCATGCGATGCCAACGCGACTGCTCCAAACCCAACCGCTGCCACAACCCCACCCGTGCAAAACGCCAGTATCGTTGAGCCAACTGCTTCTGCAAGCACGACAGTCCTCAGCATCGCATCCACCACCGCTCTCGCAGACAAAGGCCACCATCCTCCTCCCTACGCATGGAGTCCCCCCCAATACAGCAGCTCCTGGTGGTCGTCAAAGCACCTCCCAACCAGTACCCCATCCCAACCGACGTTTTTCTCTCAGCCAGCGCCAGCCACAACCCTCGCGACTTCCTCCAGCGCTCCGGCCGACTCCACCACTGCAATAGTAGCGCCCACTTCTTCTTCTTCTTCTTCCCCATCACCAGAAGAACCTTTGACTACCGCACAACCCACCTCTTCCTCCTCCCCTCCACCCCCATCCTACTCCTCTCCATCTTCTGGTGGCGGCGGCACAGGTCTCGGCAACACCTACAAAATGTACACCGGCGACGGAACCACCCAATCCGGCTGGCCCTCAGAATCCTCCTGGATGTCATTCGACGAAGCCTGGACCTCCAACCTCCCCACAATAAAATCCTCCTGCACGCAATTCCACACCGAAAACAACAGCGACGAGGAAACCTCGAATCTCAAATCCTCCATCCTCAGCGTCGCCTCCTCCACAAACATCGACTCCCGCTTCATCCTCGCAATCCTCATGCAAGAATCCAAAGGCTGCGTGCGGGCTCCAACCACAACCTACGAATTCTCAAATCCGGGATTGATGCAATCCTTTCAAGGCACACACACCTGTAACCCCGGCACCCAAGCCGCCCCGCAGGGCGTGAGTCCTTGTCCTCAAAGCGAAATTCTAGGTATGATTGCAGATGGAGTCAACGGCGCGGGGTCCGGGGGCACGGATTTGGTGAATTCGCTGCAGAAAGCGGGGTGTGAGGATGTTTCGAAGTATTATAAAGCCGCGAGGATTTATAATTCGGGGAGTGTGACGGGGGATGATTTGGGACTGGGGGTGGCGACGCATTGTTATGCGGCGGATATTGCGAATCGGTTGACCGGGTGGACGAGTGCGACTTGTCTTTGTACGCTGGATGGGGGAGCGTGAGATTTTTTGTTTCCCTCTTTTCATGATGATGGGATGGATGAGTTGCACAGGACATGCGCGAGTGCACAGCGAGATGGCTACTTGGTCATGGTAGATTCATTGTACAGGAAGATTTTCTGAAACGGCGACAGCCCGCTTTGAGACGCGGTGTGCAGAGAACAGAACGGAATGAAGCGACAATTTCGAACTTCGACATCATTCACCTACTCTCCCCATTCTTCTTCTTTTTCGTCGCAGCAGTCTCGAGACTCGCCTGGTTTAGATTTAAAGCTTCAGGTTCCAAGTCATACAAGATATCGTCCGATCCTCAGAGTCGTGACTCATGCATGAATGAGGAAGTTCGAAGGGGTCCGGGTATCGGTATCGGACGATACACTCCAAGCTAACGAAGACTCTTTCCACAGATACGCGATCAAGTAGGAATCAAGTAGGAAAGTTTCAAGATCCTAGCGTGCTGTGCTGTCCTCTTCCGCGTGGCAACCCGCAAAAATTCCAGGCCTTATGAAAAAAAAGTGTATGTGAATCGACCTTCATCGATAGTTCTATCCTCCTTGCGCGAAACTTCCGAAAACCTCACCATTCCGCGACGGACCTTTAGCGGCAGTCTGGACCAGAAAATTCTGTTTCGACGCCTCGCCATGACTGAACACGATCGTCGTCTCACTCAGATACTCGGGCAAAGGATCTCTGCCATCGGAATCAGAGTAACTGACCTCCCTACTCAGCCGAGCATACCTGGCCGTCCTCAGGATGGTGGAAAAGTCGTCTGAAAACGCCGCTCCGTTCTTAAAGATCGCAATTAGTCCTAAAATGGTTCCGAGAAGAGTCAATGCGATTGCGATGCCATAGGCCAGCCATAACTTTACCGGAGAGTATTCGTAGACGTTTTGATAGATGGGGGAGGTGACGTTGACTAGAGGCGGGGCAAAGGGTGAGGATGTGTTGGGTTGGAAGTGATCTGAGCTTAGCATGCTGATGGTGATGTTTTGGAAAAGCTGCTCGATGGTGTCCTTCAAGGACCGCTGCGATGGTTCTGCGGTCCAGTCGTAGAGGCTTGGCATATTGTCGGTACTTCCGAGATGGGTGTATGTGGCTGTCTGTGCTGCAGTGGCCCAGTTGCTGGGAGTTCGGAGAAAGGATAATTCTTTGGTATCCAGCAAGACTGTGGACATGACTTTGGTGTCCGTGCTGTAGGTTCCGCCGTACTTCGACTGTTGACCGTCCAAGACTGTGCCTACGAACACTCGCCCGAACGCGTCGAGGATTGCTTGAAATGAGAGTCTTTGGAGAGTGTGGCGATCAACCTTGCATCCTTCGTAGTCGACATTGAGCCCTGCACATTTCGGGTAATCCCCATTCATGTAAAACCCAGCTATTGTATCAACAAAACTGTCTTCGCCGCGCGCAGAGGTTGTTATATCGATGGACTGCTGGCCATCCAGGTATGTAAAATTAGTCTGATAAGATGTGTTCCACAGCTGACATTCGAGCATCGTACTGTTGACAAAATACCTGCCAAACTCGGCAGTGACTTGCTCAGCTGTGGTATTAGGGTTGGCATCACAGCTGCCAAGCTCACGATACTTGAACTTAGGAATGGCTGCAAAGTAGATAGTGGCTACCTGGGTTGCATTGGCTGTTCCATTCGTAGTAGCGTTTCCCTTCGCTCCCACTGCGTTGTAAAGAAGTGGACCCAAAGTACCCTGATTCATGGTGAACGGCGTTGAGTTAGAGAATGGAACGGCGTGATTGCCGAACGGGTCTTCGTTGCTTGCGATGCCTTCGCTCGGGGTCGGACTACCATTGGCGGCTGTCCAAGCAAGATAGTTGTATGGCTGCTGACAGCTGTTACCCCTATAGGCATTGAGAATGTTTGTCTGCATGAGCTGCTGCATTGTTGCGTTGATATTGTTGCATTTCAAGGCAGGTCCGTTGAAGTCGAGAGACCAGCTAGCATTGGGCGACGAAGGACTTATTGGTAGGATCGTGCCTCCTGTGGCTACACTGTAAGCGATACGCTCGACCATGTATGTCGGGCCGTTGTAGAAGACCGTATCCACGCTTGCAAGTCCTGTGAAAGTGCTCGATTGTCCCGGCGCGAAGAACTTGAGGCTTTCGAAGTCGGCCATGGGAACACTTCTGAGTTCCGAAGGCGATGGTGTAACTGCAGCAATAGCCACGCTTAATGTCGCTGGTGTGATGATGGCAGCGATGGGAATGAGCCTAGATATGATTAGCACACACTTGGTGATACGCGACGGTTGTGTGCACCATGTCACCAATGCTGTCAAGAGCAGAAAAGGGTGTCTCCACCAAGTTTTCGGTCGGAAAAGGTTCCAAACATTACTGAGTACAGAGTAAAGAAGATCGATGGTTGACAAGTGCGTGGTAGTACTATCTCTCGTAATGGTCCACCAGAATGCTTGAGTATAGGCCGTAGACAGAGCCACCACGAGACACGATCGGCTGAGAAATGCCAAAGCCGTGCCGATTGCTGTGTTGATCTGCTGCTGTGACAGCTCAAAGTTGACAAGCTTGTAGGGTTCGGCATCGACCAGAGTGCCTTTCAGGCTGGAGTTAAACAGGTGATGAGACACGGCCAGGCAAATGCCTCCGATGAAGGATGATAAGATGGTGACTGGTGCCAGCCAGTGAATTTTGCTTTCTGATAACATACTATGAATTGCAATTGAAGGAATCAAAGAGCAGCGCGAAGTGCAGCACAACCGGCGAGAAGCATAGTCTCGCAATCTGCCACGGAGCCATCTGACTTGATATGCTCGTGCTGTGCCGCACTCAACTTCATGCGCTTAGAGGCCTTGCAGAAGTATGTTGGATATAGTACAGCTTGCAGCGACCTTGACTTGTGAGGAAATGTGCAGCAGAGTCGTTGTGTCAAGTTGGCGCCGGAGCTGACATTTCGGGATGTCATTGGCCGCAGTCGTGCTGCAAGCGCCGGAAAGAATGAAGGCCTGGGTCCATAGACGCCATACTGCAGATAAGCATATCCTGGAGCTTTTGGTGAGCTTGACGGTCCTCATCATATCGCTATACAGAACCCGCCGTCTGGGTGTTGATCTCAATGATGGATGCATGCCGAAGGTAGAAGAGTACCGACACAAGAGGGTCCTGGTCAGATTCATCGCGCTCGTTTGATTCAACGATCATTGAGCATGGAGTTGCGCATCCGCGACTTCATTGCACCTAGACTTCAACAAGTGCGTCAGCCCTTGGCTAAGGGTGTCGTGGATGGGAAACGCTGTCGATGTTGAAGTGGAAGAAGGAAGAGAAGAAGATCATCGACGGGAGTATTCTACTTGCCTCCTCGCATCGGGCCGTCTCGGTCTCGCCTCCGATTTGTTGAGGCGAGTGCGACCCTTGCCCTTGCCCCGCGTCAGAGTGTGGCTAGGGGAGCGGGAGCTTTAATTTGGCAAACTCTCGCGTCGAATGTGTGAGTCGACGAAACACTCACACATCCCGTTGCATAGTTCTACCATTCTGGAGCACAGCGTATCAACTACGAAGGGACACCGCGGATCCTGCACTCAGACACCGCCTCTGCAACACTATATAGCTGTCCATTGTCTGCTGATAGTGTGAGTCAAGACACCAGACTTTGCGATATGGCTGCCAATGGTGTCGCAGCAAAGATGGACGAACTAAAGGTGGAAGACGGCGCACCAGCTGCTCCTTCCGCTGCGCCAGCCGACAAGCCAAAAAAGCAAGACAAGGAGCGGAAGGACCAGAAAGAAGCCAAGAAGAGCAAGGAGAAGAAGGACAAGCCGCAGCAGCAGCCAGCCAAGAAGAAGACCGACGGACCAGAGCTGATTGGTATTACTGAGCCCAAGTCAGGCGACCTCTCAGAATGGTACCAACAAGTCATTCTCAAGGGCGACATGCTCGATTTCACCGACATTCCAGGCTGCTACATCTACCAGCCAGCCTCCTACAGAATATGGGAGTTCATTCAGGACTACTTCAATGCGCGCATTCGAAAACTTGGCGTCAAGAACTGCTATTTCCCACTTTTCATTTCAGAGGCAAACTTGCAGCGAGAGAAGGATCACATCGAGGGCTTCGCGGCCGAAGTAGCATGGGTGACAGAGGGTGGAAAGACCAAGCTGGAGAAGCGCTTGGCTGTGCGCCCGACCTCCGAGACGGCCATGTACAGCTTCTACAGCAAGAAGATCCGATCGCACAGAGACTTGCCGCTGAAGATGAACCAGTGGAACAACGTTGTGCGTTGGGAGTTCAAGCATGCTGTCCCATTCCTGCGCTCGCGTGAGTTCTTGTGGCAGGAGGGCCACACTGCACATCTCACAGAGCAAGGTGCTGGCGAAGAAGTCATGCAAATTCTCGACTGGTACGCCGACATCTACCAAGAGCTCCTTGCGGTTCCAGTAGTCAAGGGCCAGAAGACCAAGAACGAGCAATTCCCGGGAGCATACTACACCAAGACTATCGAAGGCTACATTCCAGCTGTGGGACGAGGCATTCAGGCCGCTACCTCTCACTGTCTCGGTCAGCATTTCGCCAAGATGTTTGACATCACCGTCGAAGATCCAAATCAAGATGTGAAGGAGGGTGAGAAGAGAAACAAGGTGCACGTCTGGCAGAACAGCTGGGGCTTCACCACTCGCTCTATTGGTGTCATGGTTCTTATTCATGGTGACGACAAGGGTCTTGTCATCCCACCGCGAGTCGCTGAGATCCAGACTGTCATCGTTCCTGTCGGTGTGACCGCGAAGACCACGGATGCAGACCGTAAGAAGCTGTACGATGAAGTCGAGGGTCTGCGCGCTGTTCTCGAAGAGGCTGGCGTTCGTGTCGAGACGGATATGCGCGAGGGCTATTCTCCAGGATACAAGTTCAACGACTGGGAACTCAAAGGTGTTCCCCTCCGTATCGAGTTTGGACCAAAGGACTCTGAGAAGCATGTCGTCACCACCTCTCGACGCGACCAGGGCGGCAAAGACACCGTCCCAATCAGCGACATCGGCAAGAAGATCCCAGAACTGCTCGAGACCATCCAGAAGGATATGTTTGCGAAGGCTGATAAGGAGTACGCCGAGCACCGAGTCATTGTGCGGGAGTGGAAGGACTTTGTTCCAGCCCTCAATGCCAAGAACGTCTTACTCGTCCCACACTGCTTGGGAGGCGAGTGCGAGGATCAGATCAAAGACGATTCGAAGGGCAACATCGAGGGCCAGGAGGTCGATGCTCGCGCTCCATCTATGGGTGCCAAGTCGCTCTGTATCCCGCATGACCAGCCAGAGGCGATCGCCGCAGGTACCAAGTGTGTCAATCCCAAGTGCGGCAAGAACGCCGAGCAGTGGGTCATGTTTGGTCGCAGCTATTAGAGAGAGGTATGGTGTTCAAAGGCGTGGAGTTTGGAGTGTGCATCGAGAAGGGCTGGCATTTAGGGGATGAGATGTTTCGCTTAAGCACATCAGTCGGCTGCTGGAGTTGAGAGCCGAGGAAAGAAGTTTTGAGCCGCCATCGGCGTGTATGCATGAGGAATGACTTTCGATGTCGCATGAAGGAATAATACCCAAAAGGTTTGTGAAAATGGACAATCTCATTTAAACTCTCACACCGGCTGAAGGTGGCTGAATCACTCCAGCTCGTGCCCAATCTCGACCCCATTTTGTTACCACACTTCGACATGGTACTTCATGCAGCTTCCCGCCTTTCACAGGCGCCTTCCGGTCGGCACGCACAATTGGCGTGTCTGTGAGACCTTATTGCAACCCCATCATGTGAAAATGCACTATTGATGCACGGTCGAGTCAGATACCACAGAACAGTGTCCAATACGCCAAGCCTTCAGTACAGGGACGACATGATCGCACGACTCATGACTGCAACAGGTTCAGCAAAAGCTCAGTCGCGGGCTTTAGCTTGATCACTCAATAAATCTACAAACATCCATCGCTTATGTACTGACACACCAACCTCAACAGTCAGGCCAATCCGCGCAGTGAAGGACACCCTCGGCATTACTTCGACCTGAGGACTACTGCATGTATCAAAACGAACATACCTAATCGCGAAATGGTTCGCATCTTTTGGCGTATCCAACAGGTCTGAGAACTATTTGCAAACCTAACTCGCTTGGGTCTGGGCGAATGCTACATAATGCGACAAGGCTGTTCACTAAGTCAAAACATGTGACGACTACTAATGTAATGGCACAGCATGCCCGGTCGAATAGGCCTTGTCGACTCACTTGTATCTGCTCGACTGCAACGTCAAGCGGTGCAGAGCCTCCACCGGGAAATCGTCATGTCCATAGCTGAACTGGTGTTGTCTAGCATGTGGCCTCCCTTTCAGCTATTGCAGCAGAAATAAAAGACCGGCAGCTCCGTTGCGGAAGCGCAGGATTGCGACACTATGCGAATCTGATACAACTGTCCAGATCACTGCAGAAATATCTATAGCCACTGTTTTCAGCATACCTTACCGGCCCTACCCTCACAAAAGCCTGGAGAAATTTATTGTTTCGTCGGGGAGGATAGGAAGATCTGACGACTCACAAAAAAAAAACAGCTTGCAGTCAACAAACGCCGACTCCGACGCCGTCTCCAGCATAATGTCTTCGTACAGATCAGTTGTGTACTTTACGAACTGGGGCATCTACGGCAGGAACTACCAACCCCAAGACCTCCCAGCCTCAAAGCTCACACACGTCCTCTACTCTTTCGCAAACGTCCGTCCAGATACAGGAGAGGTTTATCTCACCGATACCTACGCCGACTTAGAAAAGCACTATCCTACCGACAGCTGGAATGATGTCGGGACAAACGTCTACGGATGCGTGAAGCAGCTATACCTCCTCAAGAAGAAGAACAGACAAATGAAGACCCTCTTGAGTATCGGTGGATGGACGTATAGTTCCAATTTCGCGGTAAATATTCCTTTTCCCCCCTTTCAGATCTGAAATATCGAGCGCGAGGCTGACAAGCGTTCTAGAACCCTGCATCAACTCCCCAAGGCCGAACAACATTCGCCAACAGCGCCATCCAAATCCTCAAAGACTGCGGCTTCGACGGCATCGACATCGACTGGGTACGCAACCCACCTCGTATCACACCCTTCCTCCACTAACCCCCCTCCTCCCAGGAATACCCCTCCGACTCACTCCAAGCCACAAACCTCGTCCACCTCCTCTCCACAATCCGCACCGCCCTAACAACCTACTCCAACTCCCTCCCCAGCACCCCAACCTTCCTCCTAACAACCGCCTGCCCCGCCGGCCCGCAAAACTACACCCTTCTCGACATCCCCTCCATGACCTCCCTCCTAGATTTCTGGAACCTAATGGCCTACGACTACTCCGGATCCTGGGACACCGTGACCGGCCACCAAGCAAATTTATATTTTTCCCCTTCCAACCCAGCCTCCACACCGTTCAACACCGAAAAAGCCGTAAAGTATTATCTTGAGCGAGGCGTCCAGCCGAGAAACTTGGTTCTGGGAATGCCGTTGTATGGACGGGATTTTTTGGATACGGAGGGGTTGGGGAGGCCTTTTCATGGGGTTGGGGAGGGGAGTTGGGAGAGGGGGGTTTGGGATTATAAGGTTTTGCCTGCCGGGGGGGTGGAGGTTGATGGGGAGAGTCGGGCGAGTTATTTTTATGATGGGCTGACGAGGAGGTTGGTGAGTTATGATAGTGTTGAGGCGGCGGGGTGGAAGGGGGAGTTTATTCGGGATCAAGGGTTGGGGGGTGCTATGTGGTGAGGTTTTTTTTTTCCTTTTCTTGGTTTGATTTTGAGACTGATTTTGAGTACTGTAGGTGGGAAGCTAGTGGTGATAGACCGATTGACGATGCTGGGAGTTTGATTGGGACTGTGACGAGGGGGTTGGGAGAGTTGGAGGGTACGTTGAATTGTTTGGAGTATCCGGATAGTAAGTATGATAATTTGAGGGGTGGGATGAGTGGTGAGAGGGCGAAGTTGTGAGGGTTTGGTGTTTTTGTCGAAGTGAAGGAAGGATGGATGAGACGATGTTTCTTCTGCAGGTCTAGAAATGTTTGGTGTTGGAGGACGAGACAAGACATTCACGAGCATTAGTTGTTCTGGCTTCAGGTCTCACTCGCTTCGTCTCTTTCCCTCCTGCACGACCGTTTGCTCGGGTATATAAGTGCATTTCCATTCGTCTCGAAAACCGACTGGTCACATCAAGCTGACTCTAGCAGACAGCGTTCACATAGGCAATACAGCGCAAGTCGGTACCATCTCGTCCCACGCTTAGCAGCAACTAACGACTGGCAGCAACAACACATCCGCAAAACTTTTCTCCTCGCCACTTGAGTACTTACACATCAACCACTTCACCACCTCCATCGTCACCGAACCCAGCAGACACCATGCTACCTCTGCCCGCCCTGTTGACGGCTGGAAGTTGGTCTTCCCTCTTCGCCCCTTTCAACACTGTCTACGCGCCCTCTCAACCCAGCATGAAAGATATCCTGCTAGGCATGACAGCAATAGCTTCCACAGCATTCTCAGATTCGCCACAAACGACACCGCAATGGCACGGTCTAGGCTACTGCGGCTCCCACGGCGTGATTAAGTTGCCACCATCAGTCAAGGCCAGAAAAGTGCCAATGGGTTGTGAGGACACTGCAAGTAAATCCGAAGACACCGAAACGGCAGACTCGCAACATGAGCGCGCGGCCGAAGAACCCAGAAACCCATCATCGGTCGGCCTCGGTGACTCACCAGCTCCTCTTCACCTCCCAGAGACAAGCACATTATCCAAACATCTCCACGACATCAACTGGCTGAAGCTCTCCATCCAAAGCACCATCCAACTCGTATGCCCAGCCACGATACCGTTCATCGCCGCCGCGAACATGCTCGAGAACGGCTACGACATCTACGAGAAAGGCTTCACGCGCGGAAATGTCTTCGGTCTCGCTGTGGCAGGTCTAGTGCTTTTTGGACCTGGAGGTAATGAGCTGCTAAGTGCTGCCGGATTCGACAAGGTTAGTGTGCGTGGTGCTGAGTTTTGAGATTCGGTAGAGATGTTTGTCTGCATGACGAGGATATCGGCTAACACTTTGTAGACAGCTTAGCAGCGAAATATCAGTCCTCTCAGTACGGTGGTGCTACGCCTGCGGGTGGTGGATTTGCGTGGGCGCAGGCACGCGGGATGAGATCCTGAGATGGAGCGGAACTCAGATTTGAAAAGTCGAGGAGGATACCGCAGCTCGAGGGATTTGCGCTGAGTCTCGAGCACATTCGCAAAGACGTAGAGTAAACGGGAAAAGCGAATTGAGGATATCAGCGTGAGAGAGCTCGCTTTAGACAAGATACCTATGAAAATGCTCAGCACAAAATAACAGAAAAACTCCTCAAAACGCTAACGCTATGTGGGTATCTTCAATGAATGCGAAGAAATTGCCATACCACCATGCCATCACTGCAAAAGCTCACCATCCATGCATCAATCAAATATCCGCTCCAGCATGCGCCGGCTCCGGATCCGGCGAATACAACGCCTCCGTACTAGCATGCTTCTTGACCCTCTTACTGATCTCAAGCGACCTCCGCAAAGAAACGCCTTCAAGTCTCCTGCTCATCAATCGAGCTTGTCGGATCAACTCATTTACTTTTTCGGGCTCTTCTGAGACTTTCATCTGACTGGTGGTGTATGCCCAGTAGTCGCTGTCCTGTTCGCATGCCAGTAATTGCTTGTGATGTTGAGCGAGTAGTGCCAGTGCGATATTGAATAGAAAAGTTTTTTGGTCGGGGATGCATAGCCATACATCCCATACGCGGAGAAGGACAGATTCTGGCAGGACGGCGGCAAATGCTGTGAGGAACCAATTTAGCGGCACCGTGTGATCGGGTGGGATATCGAGCGCTTTGAGCTTTTCGGAAAGCTTGGGCAGCAATTCCTTGATGTACTGGCGTAGAACGTTATTGTCAGAAATTGGCGCATTCAGGTCGCCCTCTTTGGAGAAGTAGTCTTTTGGAAAGTAGTTGTCGACCATGTTGCAGAGCAACCAGAAGGCATCGCTCTCATCGGGAATGGCTAGCAACAGGTATCCTGCGATGAGATTTAGGCCTTGTGTATACCCAAGTCCGGGATATTTGTTGACAAAGGCAATGAGGACTTTCTTCAATCTGTCGTAGCCATTTTCAGCGTAGTAGTCGTACTTGCTCGTAAGTGTCCGTGGTACGTCCTTGAGAATGGCATCGATTTCCTGCGGATCTGGATTCTCGTGCATGTTGAGGTAGCGCTCGTAGGCATCTGGCTCTATGATGGCCTGCGTGTTAGACAGCTCCTTCCACAGCTCCTTCCGAAAGCGCATCGGGATTCCGCCCGTAACGAGACGGCTCAACTGGGCAAGTTTCTCTCTCCCACTGCTGCCTTCAGTGCCCCATCTCGAGGATCCGAGAAGCTCGCCTTCTTGCGCTTCTTCTCCTGCTTGCTCACGCACTTCCTTCAGTTTCAGCAAGAATTTGTTCCACGCTGCCTCGTGCTGGGTCTTCGCAGGTTGAGAAAGGGACTGCTTCGACAAGGTCGGCGGCAGCTGTGCTTCATCATGCCGAGTGCTCATCTCCACCGGCGCTCTTGGCTCACGAGTTGCGCGAGAGTCACGTCGAGCATTGCCCGAAAGTCCTTTGATAGTGCCGGCAGCGCCACCGAATGTCGAAGCGAGCCAATTCATGCTGTCGCCACTATTCACGCTGTTGATGCTCAGCACATCGATAGACTTTGGCCTTTCATTGCGAACCTTGACTGGCGGAGGTTGCCGCGATCCTGATCTGGACGACGATGCTGTTCGGATTGAAGCACCAGGCCTACCGCTGTCTTTCCTCTTGCCAGCTCCTCCGAACAGTTTGGCCAGTCCACGAATGGTGCCGAAATTGTCGACAATGGGATCTGATGCTCCCGCGGACTCACTGCTTTCCGAAGTATTGGTCGGTGCAAGATCCTCAGAAGCGGCTGTAGCCAGGGACAAACGCCTTCGCTCGGCCTGTCTAGCACGACTTGCAGTTTCAGCGATTTTCTCCTGCGGGATCTTGTATTCTTGGGCTAGCCCTGTGAGAGCTGTGACGTGAGCGTCTCTTGCCGCGAGCAATGTTGACAGATGTCGTACTAGTTCCACAGCACCGCGATGGTCTATGATTCTCTGCAGGACATCTGTAGGCCCGGCCGCGAGACTCTGCGCTTCACTCCATTCGGGCTCGTCGCGATCAAACATAGAAGGGCCCGTATCCAGGAGGCCATTGAGCGGCTCGCTGACCGGCGCGAGCTGGGGAGAGACCAGGACATCGGCATCCACGACTGGCTCGTTTATTCCCTGTAGGCTTGGAGAGGTACAGGTACTCTGCGCAGGGTCAGGGAAGGATGTGAGCGACGTAGTATCATCTGCAGGAACGAGCGGTTGGCGACTTGAACGCCTGCTCAAGTCGGTCTGCATGGTGGTCTCTGGCCGTTCACATGGCGATGTCGTGCAGTGTTCGCCTGACTCGTCGACAGGAGGAGGTGTTTGTTTCGTTTGCTGGTCGAGTGGCGGAATGATGAATCCGAGTTCTTCGCTTAGCAGCGGCGACTTTTGCCTGGCCATGTGCGGTTTGCCTTGGCGAATGTGACAGCGCGATGACGGTGGGTGCCCTGCGAGATGCAATGTTTGTACGAAGATACGCACGCTTGACTGAAAGAATTGTGCATGCTATTATGCTCTCCGCTAACATGAAGACGAGATATGACAAGACAAGCAGGAAAACAACAATGGACCTCATTCCGAGCCGATTTGATCAGCTTTCGAGATGTCAGATTTTTTTCATATGGCCGTAGCTCTTAATCACATTCACCGTATCCACATCTAAGAACACGCCTCAGCAGATGTGTATAGCGCAAAGCTCCTGACTCGCTGGCTATGCAATTCCGAAAGCATGCTGTCCGGCCTCAGCAATGGCACAGCCAAAATCAAATCCCTCTACACAATTCGAACACCTCCGCCTAGCTTGGGTATTTTTCGTATTCCTTGAAGCGACGCGCTCTAGATGTGCTACCGAGGACTTTGCAGCTTCAGCAGCATGAGCAGCATATCTGTGAGGCGGTTTGTCCAAAGCTCACGCCACTTCTTGTGCTGGAGAAGAGCTCTACTCCACCTCTTCAATCTTCTTCCCCTTGTCCGCAGCGCCCGCAGCGCCCTCCTTTGCGTCGTCTTCGCCCTCGAGTTCGGGCATCTCGTCATCGTCGTCATCATCTCCCTCTTCATCATCTTCTCCACCCATACCGGCTCCGCCCATGCCGCCGAGCTTGGAGAAATCGATGCCACCAAATCCACCATCGCCTCCCATGCCGCCCATGCCTCCGCCCATGCGGGACATATAATCGTCGTCGTCGGCGACCGCGTCTTGCTCGTCCTCATCGACCCACTGTGTGCAGAAAGCGAAAGTCAGTATCGTGAACCAGCATGCGACCACGCCGACATAGTGCGTGACGTTTGAGTGACGGAGAAAAGATTTCAATGCTGGGGCAGGGGAGGGAGGCCTCAAAGGCTTATGAGAAAGGGGTGTTGGAGGCGATTCTGGGACCAACGCTGAGGCTGAGAGCAAAGAATCGTGTCTAGGTTTTGCACTCACCTTGTCGAAGTCGGTCTTAAGGAAGTGCACCTTCTTGGTGTCCTTAAGCAGACGTGGCCAGTATGCCTCGTTCAACTCCTTCTTCTGCAGAACCATCTCGACTGCGCGGGGAGAGTGGTTGATTTTGGATGCTGAGGGCTCGATTTCGTCGTAGAAGTCTAGGCTGACTGCGTATTCGGCCTTCTTCGATTCTGAGTAGCCGGAGAAAGTGAGCTTGGCTGGCTGAATGTCGAGCTTGATCTTCTTCGGGTCGACGTCGACGACATTGATGCTGAGGAAGATGTGGTTCTTCGCAGCCTCGGTTTTGCTTGAGCGCTGAGCCCATGTTACTAGAGATCAACTGTCAGCATGCGATGAAGAAGAGCATTGACAAAGACTGAAGCTCTCCAGAGTCTTGCGATCCTTACCTTCGGGTGTGATCTGCTTGCCGCCGAACTCCTTCGCATCCGTCGTATTCGTAGGTTGCGCCGACATGGTGTATGCGATTCGCCGTGTCCGATGACCGTGATGGAGGTAGACTGCGTATATCGACACTTGTCAGAACACACTGCAGGTACGAGAAAAGTCTTGTTGGCGAAGGATTAAGGCTGAATAGTTTGCTAGGTTGGAACCGATCCGAAAGCTGTAGAAAGCTCGATATGCTGGAACTGTCGCTGTCGCTATGTCGAGATTGACCCACCCGAGATCTTGGCCGTATGACGCAAAGGTGGAGGTAAGTGAATGTGGTCGGTCTGGATGACTTACATGTGAAATTGAGGCCGGTATTGGTGTTTGGCGTTGACTGTGTCTGCCGTCTCTCCGTGAATCAATTCAGCTCAGTGTGGCTGGTGAATGCCGGGGCGAGAAAATGCGGGACATGTGGCTCTTCGCCGGAAAGTGACGTTGCCAAGCAGCGATCGACGAAGGCTCCCGCTTCACTTCAAGGCGACAGACTGTTGTCACATGCAAGGTCGAACATCACAATCTTCTGGAGAATGGTCGTTCGAGGAACGTTTGGTGTAGTCGCCTGCCTGAGGTAACCTGTGAGCATCCACTACTACACCATCAACATCACGGCCAAATGGACGGCGTGCGACGATTCTTCTATGGGCCCACGCCCGAAGAGCAGGTACGATTGCGCCTGCTGGAGTCCTGCTAGTTATTTAATGCGTGCTGATGTATGCCCCATGCAGAAACGAAAATGTAATGCTCTCCTGCGTTCCAACACGAGAAAACTCGACCGCGATATGGCCAACCTTCAGGCGCTGGAATCTAAAACACGAAGCATGATCCAGCAGGCGGCAAAGCGAGCCCAAAGAAATCCTTCACAAGCCAAGCAAGCGCATCAGGAGACACGAATATTCGCTCGAGAAATGATACGGGTACGGAAACAGAAGTCGCGACTCGCAACATCGAAAGCTACACTCCAATCAGTGGGCTTCCAGGTCAATGAAGCCTTCGCAATGAAGAAGATCGAAGGGTCCATCAAGAACAGCACAGGCATAATGAAGGACGTAAACACCCTCGTCAAGCTTCCAGAGTTGACCGGAACTATGAGGGAACTGAGCATGGAGTTGACCAAGGCCGGTATCATCGAGGAAATGGTTGATGATATGGTGCCGCAAGGCGAAGGTCTCGAAGCTGAGGACGAGGAAGCCGAGGAAGAAGTGGAAAAGATTTTGGGGGAAATCTTGAAGGACAGGACGGCTGCTCCACAACTGCCTTCGGAGCCACTTGGACCTGTGGAAGCACAGCCGGAAGAAGAATTGGACAACGAAGAAATGCTGGCGCAGATGAGGGGAAGATTGGAAGCGCTAAAGAGCTAGATTTTGCAGTCGCGGTCTATGCATATGAGACATGTTCCACGAATGGCGCCGTGTTCGGCGTTCTCCTGTGGTTTTTGGGTGTGGTTTAGACGCTCTGCTGGCATTACAACATCCTGGACGGAAATTATTCTCGTCACTCCTGCGCTGATACAACGTCTGCTTTCTCGCCTCGGCCTTCACAAATCTTGACAAGCCACAACAACATGCAAACCTCTCCGAAAACCTCAATCTCTGCCAATATCCTCAGATGACGCATTGCGAAACTCCGTCCCCAGACCCCCGTCCCTCCCTCCTAGCTTCCACCGCCGACCTTTTCTCCAGCGTTGCTCGTATCCCACCCCATTGACTCACCCGTCTCCACCGCGCGACTTACCGTCATCATACCCGCTCCATCCTTAAAGTACCGGCCAAAATCAAACATCTCCTCCCCTTGGACCTCAGCCTTGTTCTGGTTCTTCTTACCTGTGAATGCATCGCAACTCTCGCCATATTCCGGCTCTAGCGGCACACGAGGCCGGGCAGCGCGCTGAACTCTAGAAGCCTTGGTGAAACTGGCCCAGATATGATCCAGCATCACGGGTTTGATGCCCGCAAATGGCTGTTCAGTAGGTGGGATGGAGAGCGTGGAGTTGATGTTGCCGCCCCATTCGAGAATGACACGCGAGCGATCAGACTCCTTGCCAGATTTCTGTGCCGCTGCACGGAGCGACCAGCGTTGCTTCTGTCGCTCTGAATCTTCGTCTAAGGATTCGTGTGCCGGAAGTGACACTGGCTGCTTGGTCTCGATGAAGTTTTCGAAATGGCGCCGGCTATATGGGCGGCTCTTCTGGTGCTTTGCCTGCGTGGTGTGGCATGATCGGGCCATGGCTGCTTCGTTTTGCGCTGGGAACGGTGGTTCTTGGTGTGGCATCTCCGAATTGTAAGGGAAAGATGAGACTCACAGAAAGGAGGTGAGCGGTTGTGAGATAGTTCTCGCTGTGGGTGAGGTCTGAAACTCTTGGCGCCTGGTGAGTGAAGTTCACCTAGCAGCCGCAGCCGATTGTTCACTTCATCAAAATCAGATGCGCATGTGGCATTGTCAGCAACTTCACCTCGTTCACCAACATTGTGAGAAAAGAGACCTTGCTCGCATGCTCACTGAGAATTGCAAAGAACACGGAGGTACTATCAGAACACTGCCTACAAACAGCGGCTTCCAGCAGCCTTCACCTCTCACGGTGGGTCCGTGTCCATCTCCACACCACCTCTGCCTTAGCAACCATCATTCTACTTTGAAAGTAAGCCATCCTGTCAATGACAATGGCACTGTTGACCACACCTATCTTCCACTTTCGTAAAACCTCGAAATTTAATTCAAGACAAATCCAAGGAATCCGAACCACAGCACAACAATCCACGAATCCCTTGAAAACAGCCCTCTCATTCCCATACCCAGCCTACTTCCTCTTCCACATCCTTCACCTCCTTCTTCCCCTCTCTCGACCACTCACCCCTTTCCTTTCTTTCCAGATCTAACGTCCTTCAAGAAAAGCTTCTTTTCAAAAAGTCTGAGCGACATTCTCCAAAAACAAAAAAAATTCGCTCAGGAATTCTCGTCTCTGAGAGCGGCGCTGAGGGCGAGCATGTGTGCTCTGATGTTCGGGTCGATGTGGGGTGTTGTGCAGTATTGTCGGCTTTGTCGATGAATGGGTTAGTATGGGTAGGGTTGAAATTGCGTACTGTTGGGCGGGCTTCTCGTCTAAAGTGTCTTCGCTGTATGTGCTTGGGAGATGTGTGCTGGGAGTGGTTCCATATCGGCTGATGGCTTGGATTTGGGAATTTTGTCGTTTTTTTTGTTGGGGGGGGGGGGGGGCGCTTGAAGGTTGTTGTTCTGTTTTGCTATTGCTACCTCATAGTCGCACTGGAGATTCAGCGGCCCAGCTTTACCCCTTCAATTTCTTGGCAAATCAGAAGTTCATGACATTCGCCTGACCAACCTCGAGTGTCGCGTTGAGACAAATGCAGCCAACGCCAGACATCGAGCATCAATGTCACAAGCGCCCATATTGGTCTTCATTTCTCTTTCTCAGTTGTGCGTGGACCATGACTGCGTCTCCACGGCGAATGTCACCGTGAGCATGAACGTGAAATCTCAACGGTAATCATATCCGCAAGCGATGACGCATTGTAAGATAGATTATCTTGGGTAACAGGTGATTATGCTATCTTCAAGGCGGTGATGTGCCTCTTGCTTGCGATCGGAGCCCGTCCAGCTTGGGGTCACGTTCGAATTTAAGATAGCTGCTTTCCAGACATTTCCTCCATACTATTGGGCTCTTCCGTTCGACCAGCGTTTCTAATTCGCCGGCCTCCGAATTGTGAGACTGGAGTCGGAGAATATAGGCTGCTCGCATCAGTTGATTGCAGAGCACATGCACGCGCCGAGGGTGCGCGTTCCAGACGTCTCTCGAATCGTCTTTAAAATCGGCACGATACATTAGCATGGCATCAGGCTGGGTTGGATGGAACAACATGAGTCGAGCGACTTGCTGCGCCACCACAACAGGGCTCGAAAAGTTAGGAAGCGCCGATACAAAGTATTCGAACAGAGAAGCATCGTACACAGGAATTTCGTCTCTGACCAGCATGCGGCCGAGCACGGCCAAAAGCCCAGTCATGAAGCCAGAGTTTCCTGGTGCATAATATTGGGCGAACATATTCATGGCTGTTTGGAAGAATCGCAGCGCCGTAGCAGGCGAGCGTATCGGGTCCAGCTCGTAGAAAGCAGTCCCTAGTCCCGCAACCCATTTATGTGCCCAGTAACTGATGTGTATGTTGTTCTCCGCTTCTCTTCTCAACCATTCCAGAACATAGTCCTCTTTGCCCTCGGCGACGAGAAAATAGCACACAAATGCAACAAGTTCGCTATCCTCCGAGAGTTTGATGAGTTCGTCGCGCGGTAGTTTGAAAGCCCAAAGAAGGGCATGAGCACCCAGCTTCAGCTGGACGATCCGTTGCTTGCGTTGCTCAATCTTTGAGGTCCACCACAACTCTGTCCGTAAAGTTTGCAGACAGATTCGCGCTTGACGTGCATCAAGTGTTCCATCTTTTGCTGCTCGTTTGAACTGCATGACCGATAGCGTACGCAAAGGCGTTGCTTCAGTGGACTCGGCAGGTTTGATCGAATGCCCAGACGACTCGGTGGAAATTTTGCGGGTGTGTGCTGTCGGTAGAGCGGGACCATGATCGGGCACGACGGATGAGAGTCGATGTAGTCGTGGAGAGCACTGCCATCGCGAGAGTCCGTATACATGGCCTAGGGGTGCGCGGCGGAAAATCATTGGAAAGGACGGCATAGGTGTTGAGGATAGGACTGGTTGTTTTGCAACGCGGAACTCAACCCTACAGACCCCGAGACGGGGCAGCTCAAACAACCACTATAACAACCCCAATTCGTCAACAGCGACACCAATACGGAAGTACAGCATCTTGACTTCAACGCCCAGTCTTCAATGCGCCAGTCGTCTCTCAGCATTGCGCACAGAGACATGCGATGGTGCTCTCGACCAGCGTCTTGTCAAGACAGGCGATACACAAGATGCCTCCCTGATGCTCGGGCGTAGATGCAACGTACAGGTTTGCTTACCTTTAAAGGGCTTTATCTATCGCGAGAAAGATGTTCAGCTCGATCAAAGCGCTTTCTATTGCCTCTCATAGAGCCTAGCAAACACTCGCCCGTTTCTTCTTGACTACTTCATATAGCATTGCCGCACGGAAATCTGGCTCTCGGCACTACAATACACTCGTACTATGTCGAACACTAATCCCGCGCCACAGGGCAACTTCAACGTGACACTTGACATCAGAATCCCCGGCAGCCTCGTCAAGAATTGGGAGATTCCAGCGGAGACACTTTCAGTCCAGTCGACCATAGATGAGGTATTGGCATGGATCAAGTCACATATCATCAAGTGGTTGATGGAAGCCAGCTACATTGATGTCGAAGGTTTCACGGGCTTCATGAAAAGGCTGAGTGAAGATGTACAGAGTCCCAGCATATCTTTCGCCACTTCAGTCAGCTCGTGACCTCTTTAGCGACCCAACGCAACTTGGAGGTTCCACAAGACTCGATTTCAAGATAGGTCTCAATATCTGCCGCCAGCCTCCCGGAGTTCCGCCTGCGACAGACTCAAGCATGCTGGGCAATTTAGTGCATTCTCGTCGCCAGAGTGCGACGTACATTACCGTTGGAACTGTGCAGTATGGGTCTGTCGGGAATTATGGTGCGATGCAAAGCACCAAGAAGACAAAGGTCGGACAAGCAGTTCACAAAAACGTGATTCTTGCAAGATTTCATCCCTTGAAGTCGGACAAGTTCTCGGGCTTCTTTCATACAGTACCCAGATGGTCCTTTGACGGCTTTTCCGGAGGCATCGGCGACCCTGATGCAAGTATCGAGTGGTCATTCAAAGATCTCCAAGACAGAGGCACAGACCTTTGGAGGATTTCATGTCCCAGGATGCGCAACGGAATAAGACACTCCGCCTAGAGGAGCTAGAAAAAGAGCGTCGTCGTCAAGATGGATTGAGCACTGTTCAAAGCAGGAACAACGACACAGAGAAGCTTCGAAAATTTCATCCCCCCGAGCGCCCATACATGACATTCCATCGCCCAAATCTTACCGGATTCGGGAATCCTCCTGGAGTCTCACTCAATGCTGCCGTGAAGTTGCAGGCCGTCATTCAAGTCTTTTACCACTTCAACAACGCGCCTTCGGACCAAAACCACGTGCCACGAAACATGCAGCTTCCAGTCGTGGGCACCATGTCAGTACAGGCACTGGAAACGGCGTTTTTCACCGAAGGTCGTCGGAAAGGACAACAGGAAGAGGACATGATCATCACCAAGTATCGAGATTCGCAACCACCGCCTTGCTGTCAGTGGTGGGTCATGCCTCTGCCGCAAACCACGCGCTTACTGCACAGAATCGAAGACAAGAGCGTCCATGTAGCTAGCTTCATTCCCAGTGCGGCTAGTGCGACCAGCGATGTGAAGTTGTACATGGAGTGCCATATTTGGGATGACCCAGAGATGATCTTTGATGGCTGGTGAGTGTTTGGTGCTTGCGTAAGCATAATTCGACGACTAGTAACCCTGCGAATATCCATAGTTGAGACGTGAAGAGACTAGCTTGAAATCCAATGAACTACTGGGGTGACTCCTCTTTTCTGTCTGTCTTTCAGAGTTCTACGTCAGAAGCACGGTCTTGAGCTGAAGTCTTACCAGATGTCTATCGTCTCATCAAGGCTCAGAGCGGAATGCAATAGAGTAGTGTCAATTTTAGAATGTCATCCTACAGCCAAAGTTTACCACAACGATAGCCACTCTCAGGGAGCGAGATTCTCAGCACTAGGTTTCAGCAATCTTGGCTCTATGCTATGGTATGGTTTCTTTCCGCCAGATCCGGCTTCATTGGGGTATGCACAGATTCATGAGTTGGAGACTGCGAGGCGTTCTCCTCACTCAAGCGGAGACAGAGAGTACTAGCATCGGATCACTTTAAATGAGCCAGGGTGCTATGGGCGTTCTCCTCACCCAACCATAGCCAGCGAGCACTGGCAGCGGATTACTCTACCTGTACCACGGTGCTATGGGGATTCTCCTCTCTCAAGCGGAGCCAACGAGCACTGGCAGCGGAATACTTAACATAGCCTCACTCCGTTCTTCCCTCCTCACGCTCTCGCCAATTCTCTCGCTAAATCTCCCACACCACAATCACTAAAAAACCAAACCTCAACATGAAGCTCACAACCCTCATCGCACCACTCCTCCTCGTCTGCCAAGCCTTGGCCACTACCGAGGACAATCCCCCCACCACCGTCATCATCGAGGAGCAAGAGCAAGGCCACTCCACCACCAACAACATCTGCAGCAAAAAATACGACTGGGGTCACGCCAAGAACAAGTTCCGCATCTGCGGCGACAACAGCTGGGGCCATGGAGGAATCGACGTGCTCAGGGAAATCAACGACAATAGGTTGAGAGTCAGGGATATCAAAACCGGTACGGGAAATGGTTGTGATTGGTGGATTACGTTCATGGCACGTCTTCATTATTTGGATAGTTACTTTGAGAGGGCGATTACCGAGGCTGGTGGGCCGGCGACTACCTGTAGGACGGTTAAGTCGTGGAATGAGGTTGGGGAGGGTCACTAGAGGACTAGGGGATGGGGTGGAGAGGAGCGGAACGGAGCGGAGCGGAGTTGTTGGTTGGATGTAGATGGATGGGATAGGGTGCGGAGAGGTGAGGAGGTTGAGGTGAGGAGGTGAGGCTCTGGTTGTGAAGTTTGGTGCGTTAGTAATAAATAGTCATAATCAGGAATGTCTGCCAAACTACTCGATAAGCATGATTTCGATCTGTTTTAGAAGCGGAGAAGGTTCCGAGTGAGATCCGTCACAGCCGTAGTCGCCGTCGTTCACCGACCTGGTTTGGGTTCAGATGATGCTGAAAGTCACCTGCGGAGATGGCGTTGCAATCCCGGGATTCTGTGACCGTTCTTGGATGACCTCCTTGACGTGTGGGCCACAGAAGGCTTGATGGTTCCTGGTGGAAGTCCTACAAATTCATCAATGGCGCATAAGGTGGAAAAATCACCCAGACCTCCTCAATCACTGGCTGTATCATCTCGTGCAAGTGCTTTCTCTCCTTCGTTACGCCTTGCTCGGTCTTATAGTCTTTGAATGCTGCTTGATCCTGCTCGATGGTGAGACCTGGCATTGACCAGAGACAGCATTTCTATGACCCAGGCCACAGGTGCTCGCGCCATGGATATTGCCTTCTGCACCATCACAGCCGCCGAGCGTGATACTTTCAAGAATGCTCAGTGTTTTGAACATGGCGCGTAGAGACTCTGTGTAGAAAGCTGTTTTGCTGCCAAGCCATGACGATGATTCCCACTGCTGTAGCCGGATGTCATCTTGTATTCTCTGCGTATATCGTGTGGAGATGAATAGGCTGTACCGTATGGAAGGAGAGGATGGATGTGTGTCGATGGAACGTGAAGGTGTCTGCAAAGTTTCACTCAAAGCAGCATCCCCAGTCTCAGTGCACAGACCATTCTCGCTACGGGGGGCAGCCGACCCGGAACGGGCTTAGCGTTATCTTGGCAATATGTGCGATGTTACGACAGCATGCCAATTCCACCTTCCTTTCCAACATAACCACAGCCCTCCACAGGCTTCACAGCTGCACATGGTCCCGAGACGCCTACTTCCCATGGCAAGTGAATGAACTGGAGCTCAGCATGCTGCTGAGTCCACAAGGCCGCCCTTGTATCGCTTGCATTGACTTACTAAGGCCTCAAGCAAAGCATTGCCTTCACGCATGTTAACAGAGAAAGGGCATTTTCAAGCCCACAATGACCGGCAGGGACTTGTGCGATGGAGCTGCCTGGAACATGTCGGACTCTTTGCCTACAGTTCTTTCATTGGGGCTGATGGACAAGCTCAAAGCAAACATCACTGCCTGCCGCTAGCTTATTTATACCACGATTGGGCTGTGATTCGTCGACTTTACAGAACAGCAGCAACTTGGCATTCAAGATGACTACTGCGAACGCAACTGCACCAGTTCCGCCAGCAACTCATTTCAACGCAACTCTGGTCTTCAAAGCTCCAGGACTTTACCAGCTTGGTCCGCACTTCCAACCCTTGCAACACTCTTTGCCGCTCGACGACACCATTGACAATGTCCTATCTTGGGTGAAAAGAGAAATTGTCCAGCGTTTGCAGCAAGAACCTGCTTTTCTGAAAGGCCGCCACCAAGGACTGATTGCCAGCTTGGGTGAAGAAGGTCTCTCTCCTCCTGGGTTTATCTTTTCACACGTACCGGTGACCAGGTCTCCTATCGTCTCTTTTGCAACATCGGTCAGCGCAACATTGAATGGGAAAAAGTGTGGCGAAATCGACTTGGATCATGAACACGCGAAACGATTCATTGCACTTCAGGATCTCTGCCTCGATTCACAGCAGCTTCAGAACATGTCTATCGAGATCAGAGCCACTCTCCGCATAGCTCCGAAACCAGTTACCGTCCCCGCTGTCACAGATGACAACATGCTGCATGACCTGGTGCATTCGCGCCGACAGTCTGCCCATTATATCAGAGTCGGTACTGTGCAGGACAATCGTGCTTCAAAGATTGGATTGCAGCCGACCACCGCGGGAAATGCAGCGCCACACCATAATGCGATCCTTGCACAGTTCGACCCATTCAATGACAGGTCATGGACTGGAAAATTCCACATGCTCCCAGTCTGGACCTATGATAACTTTCCCTGGGGCCTGGCTGACAGCGATGCTAGCCAGGACTGGTCCTACGAGACCGTGAAAGAGTATGTAAAGACAAATCTTTGGGGCCAATTCGATCATCAAGAGCCTCAACGCAGACGACGGATCGAACGCGAACGTGCCCGTCAAATCAATCTGACTGCTGTGGCGCGGAATGCTGAAGCAAGAAGACTTACCAGAATTCCTCCTGAACGACCGCAGTTGACATTCAATCGGCTGGGCCTGGCCCAATTTGGAAACGACTCTGGTGTTGGAATTCCAGCTGCTGCCGAAGTTCACGCCATCATCCACTTTGTGTATCACTACCAAGGCCACGATGCCGAGGATGATTGCTTTCCACGGAACATGCAGGTCCGTATCGCAGGCAATATGACGGTCGACGGTCTGGAGAACACGGCATTCGCTCAAGGCGGCACCGCTCGTGAAGACGAAGATCAGATTCTCAAGAAGTACCAAGGTGTGGAGCCTCGTCCGCCTTGTGAGTGGTGGGTCATGCCAAGGGTTGGAAACGGTAAAACGCTGTACAAGGTCGATGATACGACTTTGCAGGTGGCGAGCTACATTCGAAATGCTGCGAGCTTGGCAGCCAACTCGCAGACCGTTCTTTACATGGAGTGCCACATTTGGGACCCAGAGACTTCGGCTTTGGCGGGATTGGGATGATGAAGGAGGGAGGCTTGCATAATTGATACCTCCAACATCGGAATATCATGCAATTATGTAGCATCTCAAGAGCAAGGCGGAAAGTCTAAGCATATGGCGACTACCTTCGCATCACTTCATGTTGCTAGCACAGAGGTCAGTATGCCCTAGAATATCTCGCTGGGACTTTTTGACAACAGAAACTCCGATTACAAGACCCATCTCTGCATCTCAGTGTCGCAATCGAAAGAGCCAAAGAGACATTAGTTTCGAGTAAACCTCTCCTAGAATTGCACTGTGAGTGTATGGTCTGTGTTTACTTATCACGTGCGTAATGCCTGAGGCTGCAACTGCTACACTCCATCTCTATCTTCCGGACTTGGTGAAGATAGTCCTTCTTCCGAACACATCACTTACATCAAGTATTGCAAGCTTCTCGCATCGAGATATTCCGTAGCCTGCTTTCCGCCATCAAGTACGTTTTCGGGGACGCTGAGGCATTCCACCGATGGTGCATTGCTACTTAGCATAGACCTCTTCTGTAGCGAGTGCAGAAGGACATGTGCTTAATCTGAGCCGGTCGTTCGGCTTCTGCGGACTCTCCGCGATGGTGCGTCTATTGAGCTCAGAAACTCCAACTCTCCTTCGTACCATAGTTGATGGTCATGATCAGCAAGGAATGCAGTCGACATGCCGCTAGACAGTCGGACAGCTCCTCGTGGGTCCTGATATATACATCGGATACGTTTCTTCTGCAGGGTCGTAGGGCATCACAGGCTTTCTTAGACTTCCGGCATCCTCAGCTCGAACAATGACGGGTGCCGGCTCCATACCGGTCTTGGACTCTTGGCGTTCATCAACGCCGCGGCCTTGACCTAGGTCATCGAATAGCGGCTACAAAGCTTGTCTTCACTCTGCAGGGCGCACACATGAGGTGGATATCGTTGCCATTGGACATGAGTGTGGAGGCTCTGCAATGGCAAGCATGGCATGACGACAGACTGTCACTTCTTCAGCACTACATTGCTGCTCGCGTGGCAGAACGTGACAACCGCGCTTCTTGGCTGGAATGGCGTTGATGTAAGGGATCATCATATCATTTATTATGGCTGACTGCTCTCCAGCTTACGGCTGGCTTGTCTAACTTTCCATTCGTGCCATATTCCAGCATCTTTCCTCCCAAAGCAACGAACAAGATGGAAAAGACAAAAGCACCACACTCCTCGCGATCCTCCCAAACCCTCCAAAACGAACCACCAGCAGCACCACCCTCCCTCCCCACCGACAAAATCTTCAACGACACCTCCAAAGTCCCCTTCCTCACAACCCGAACCTTCCTCATGACAATCCTCGTCTCCATGGGCGGAATCTGCTTCGGCTACGACACAGGCCAAATCTCCGGCTTCCTCCAAATGGACGACTTCCGCTACCAATTCGCCGACAACCGCTCAACGCTCGAACTCTCACCCACCCGCACAGGTCTCATCGTCGCCATGCTGTCCATCGGAACCCTTTTCGGCGCCCTAATCGCAGGCCCCATCGCCAACAACCGCCGCCTCGGCAGGAAATATTCAATTTGTCTCTGGTGTGTCGTGTTCATCGCGGGGAACTGTTTCCAGATCGCAGCGCAATATCCGTATTGGTGGATTATGATGCTGGGACGGATAATATCCGGGTTTGCGATCGGGGGGCTTTCGGTCATGGTGCCGGCTTATCAGGGTGAATCTGCGCCTACGCATTTGAGAGGGGCGATTGTGTGTTGCTATCAGCTGTTTATCACGATTGGGATCTTGATCGCGTACTTGATCAATTTCGGGACGGAGACGATTGAGGGTTCGGCTTCGTGGAGGGTACCGGTTGGGATATCGTATTTCTGGGCGCTGGTTTTGGGGTTTGGGATTTTGTTTTTTCCGGAGACGCCGAGACATGAGTTTCGACATGGGGATGTGGATTCTGCGGGGGAGAGTATTGCGAAGTTTTATGGGGTTTCCTCGAGGCATCGGGTTGTGAAGAAGCAGTTGGAGGAGATGAGGGAGAAGTTGAGGATCGAACAAGAAGGTGGTGAACATTCGATTTGGGAGGTTTTCACTGGACCCAGGATGTTTTATCGCACGGTTCTTGGGATGACGATTCAAATGCTGCGTAAGTTCAATCTAGGGAGTGTATGGCCAGGACGTCTCTTTCAGCAGAAGGTCTAGTGTCTCGGATGCAGGAGACCACTCTAGATGGGCCATACACTCTTTCTACGACGAAGAAGATTAACGCTAACTTCCTGATTCTACAGAACAAATGACAGGCGCAAACTTCTTCTTCTACTACGGAACAACAATCTTCTCCGCCGTCGGCCTCAACAACCCCTTCATAACCCAAATCATCCTCGGAGCCGTCAACGTCATCACAACCTTCCCAGGTCTATACATGGTCGAAAAATACGGCCGTCGAAAATGTCTCACTCTCGGAGCAGCCTGGATGTTCATGTGCTACCTGGTCTTCGCATCACTAGGGTACTTCGCCCTCGAAGACGAAAATGGAAATAACAGGCAATCGATCGGATACGTGATGATAGTTTTCGCGTGCCTTTTCATAGCCGCGTTCGCGAGCACGTGGGGTCCAATGGCGTGGGCGGTGACGAGCGAGATCTATCCGTCGCGATATCGCAGTACTTGTATCGCTTTCTGCGCTGCGTCGAACTGGGCTTTTAATTTTTTCATCGGGTTCGCGACGCCGTTTATCGAGGCCGATATTGGGTTCTCATATGGGTACTTGTTCGCTGCGTTCAATTTTCTGGCTGTTCTGGTCGTGTTCTTTTTCTTACCGGAGACGTCTGGTAGGTCTTTGGAGGAGATTGATACTATGTTCCTACTGGAGGTTAAACCTTGGAAATCGAGCAAATGGGTGGCTCCAGAAGGCGAGAATCTGGGGACGGCAGATCAGCGCAGACTCTCGGAAGGAGAGACAAAAGACGAGGCTGGAGAGAGTGCTGGTATCCAGCAGGAGAATATTCGAGAAGTGAGATAGAGTAGATCCTGCCATCCACTCGAGGCAGCACAACCCATCGAGAAGTTTCCGAATCATTCCACTTTATCCCGCTTCCACGCCCAGCAATGCAAGGGCCGGTCAGTCCGTACATCCTACTTATCCCGTACCGCCCGCGCGACAGCATCATTGCCTCCAACCGATGCGATCGCCAAATGTCCAACCTCACTCGCCGGCTCAACATCACCAAATCTAATCTTCGCATTCCTCAACAGTCTCGACCGATGGATGTCATCAACCCGAGAGTCGGAAATCGGACCATCGACGTATGGATTGTCTCTGATCACCGTGGTCCAGTTGAGCATGAGTTCTGGAGTCGTAAGCTTAAAGCGCAAGACAATCCCAGCGATGCAGGCCACTACAAGCAGTAGCGACGCCAGAAGAAGCGCCGCTAGCCAGCCGGCGTTGCATTTAATCACTTTGAAAGTATGAACTGACTGTGCAGTCGTGTTTGCTCGCTCGGAATTGTAGAGAGACTGCCAAGTACGGGCGACACCCGTCCCATTATTGTTTAGATTCGTCGCTTCTCCATCGAAGCCGTAAGCCACGGCGTATGGTCCGGCACAAATTGTCCAGAAAGCATTCATCAATTGCGCGAACCTTGTGGCGAAGACTTTGTGGTCGAGGTGAGTGAGTGATTGGTGCATGTTTGGAGATGCTGGGGCGTCTGGCTCCATGAGATAGCCTTCGAGAGGTGTACTCGTACCACTTCTGTTAATCACGACGGTGGCGAGAAAATAGTGAAAGTAGTAGCGCCACCAGATACAGGAGCCTACAGGACCATCGAGCCATGTCCAGGCACGGCTCGGATGCGGAAGAGTCGAGTTGCGAATTCTAGTTGCTGCACAGTTCGATCCAGTACATTTGATATCAACTTCCACGTAGGTCATCCGGGCTGTGCAAAGCGCCGAAACACGACCGTCGTCGTCAAAGCTATTCCATGCAAGGTAGCGTGGTGGTAGTGCCGGATTGTCCGGATCTCCACGACAGGTGGTGGAATTGGTGAGTACAGTGCCTCCCATTCCGGCTGAAGCTGCACTAACTCCGGTAAAGCCCTGTCCATAGTCGCCATTGCTCACATTTCCCCAGTGTTGAGGATATGTATTATTTGACAAGATAGGGCAATCCAAAACGAAATACGACGTTTCGAGAGTGAATGTGCTCTCACTGGTGCTAGGAAATTGTGACACAGGGAGACCGATGAGCGAAGAGTAAGTAACATTCTCGGAGGGGACGTCGAGCCATTTGTGATGCAGTAGTGCATCCTCGCTGTTGCTTAATGCCTCGAGCTGCGGCACTTTGACATTACTCCACGTGTCGACGGGCGATGCTTTGGTCTGCTCGGGCCCAAGAAGTGCCGCGTTGAAGAGGCCGTTGATCATGGTCTGCATCTGTCCAAGATCCCCGGTGACGAAGCCATCGAACGACTTGTTCGTAGACATATAGCTAGTCTCGCTCGTGCTGCTGATCGAAGAGGTTCCAATCGATACAACCCTTAATGAGGCTTGTCCTCCCAGTGGTGACAGGGCCCAAGTAACAATGAGCGCTAGGCCGACGAAGCTTGGCAGGCGAAGTGCTGCTTGGTACAGGACAGTTCCTGCTACGCTTGTGCTGCCGGCAAGCAGATTCAGTGTGCCGAGTCGTGAGCCTCTTTCAAGCAATTTGAGCATGATGACATGGAGTGATCGACTCAGTGCCGAAGCGAACAGGATTGGAAAGATGGTAGGTCCCTGGGCATAGTTAGCGGCTATGGCAATGTCTCCATTTAGCCACCCACAAGCTTTGCAGCATTCATCAAAGTATTCGCCATACTCGCGTTCTTCTCCACGGGTGCATCGCGAAATTGCAGTACTAGAAGCCCGAAAATGAAGAATGCCGCAGCGCAAAGAGCTAGTATAACATCGAGGAAAGTCGTGAGTAAGAGGTAACAATAGTTGCGATGCAGCTTCTTCGACCCATCATATAGTTCTACACTTGGATGCTCCGTAGTGATGCCTTTTTCTTTTACTGCAGTTTGTGATTTGGATTGTCCTGCTATCTTGGACTGAGTGAGAGGCACTGTGGATCCTGAAATTGTTTCGTTGTGCGCACGCTCATCCACATTCCATAACTCCGGGAGCAAGGTACTGCTGCTCGAGTGCTTCCTTGAACTCTCGCTGCTAATGGGCTGCTGGGATGCAGATTGGCCACAGAATTCGATCGAAGATCCATCTCGACCGAGATATCGTGGACAAAGATTTCGCCGTGGCAGCGGTGGTGGCAGCTAGTCTAGCCTACACATCTCTTGAAGCACTCGAGGTGGCGATGAATGTAGGTACACTGCTTTGAGGATCATCACTGCGCACAAAGTCAACCCTGCAGAACTGAGGATAAGCTTGCAGCTTGTTTTTGTTAGAATACAGCTCTGACGAATTGTCATCGTCGCCGCCGACCTAGAGGTGCAAGGCTTGGTATTTTTAGATCTGGTTGCATGTACATTACATACCACGCGCAAGCTTGAGCAAGGTATCGAAGGACCTGCCGAGGCGGGGCCAAAATGCAGAGCTGACAACGATAGAACTACTGCTCCAGCTTATGTTCAGATGACGGTGCAGATCACGTTGGAACTGCGTAGAGCATTTGTGGTCCACAGAATCGAGCAGCTTATAGTCTGACTGGGCGCAGGTGAAGCCTGCATTCTGCCGAACAAAGCGATCTTCCGCGATGCAGGTTCTCGGCTGTCAGAGTCTGTTATAGGGCAGCTCGTCAATCAGTCTCCGCCAGCCTACGCAAGGCAGTGTTTCTCAGCAGCCGGCCATCGTACTCGATGCCTTTGCCAGGCGGTATTGCTTCACCGTTCCCGATCGCGAGCTTCACTGATGTTCGGCGTGCGCTCGGCAAGGAACTTGCCCTTAGGATTGATTCCGCCGGGCCTTATATTGTACACTCGCAGAGATGGTTCCTGCTCCTGCAGCTTTGAAAGCTCACGTTCGGCTCGGCCCTTGACTCTGGCAAACAATTGTCCAGTCTCTTTCTCGGCATTCGCTCCTTCGCCAGACATGTAGACAAAGTTGAAGTGCGCTCCGAGGCTGGCGAACGCTCGGGCAGCAGCAAGCGGATAGTCCAGGGTGAGTTCCGTGTAGTCCTGCTCAGACATGCCGATACTGCTCTTGCCTTGCGCCCAAATACATCCTATAGCGTCTTTGAGTTGAGCAAGAACTTCGGGCGAGTAGATCTTGAAGTCCTTGTGTATAATGACGTGTGCTTTGGGTTGATCGTTCGCAAGCTTGACTGGGCGTCGAGATAGGATGGAAATCTTCGATATAGCGGGCGAGGTGAGAGCGTAGGATAGGATGCCGGCGCCTGCTATGCCTGTAGCGCCGGTGAGAATGATATGTGCCATTACGAGTGGAAGAGGCTCTGGAATCTGAACGTTCAGTAGGATGGCAGTGGAAGGAGACACGGGGTGAAGTGGATGTACTCAAACCTCGACGGCCCAAAGATATAAGTCCTCTATTCAGCACGGACCGATCACTCTGCGCCCCGTGAAACATGATGATGAGCAACTAATGGTATTGTCGTCCGTCAGGACGATCAAGATGGCTTACTAAGTGTCTATATAGCTAGTGCCATGATGCCATCGTGTGCAGTGCATGGTCAGGGGTCTGCACACCTCGCTTGCCCTCGAGCTTCACTTCTCTTTCGCATGTGACTCTTTCTAGAGTAATAGATCTGTCCCCGGGCTCTCGTCCTTGTGGTCCGACATTCCCAATTCGACGCCTTCCATTGACAACATGACGAGATCACGAACATCTCCCCGAGCTGCTAAGCTGTCCTCTAGATCTCTGACATGGAAGGCTGTCGCAGAAAACGGTCTTCCAACGATTCGCACCTATGGGATTAGCCTTCTCAGAGCACAGGTGTCCTTATGTCACCGCCAGGCGAAGAACGCCAGTCCATGGCCTGGGTGCTGTATTTTCCGCGCCAGAATCACTACACGGCTTGTTTCTAGTTCACAGAATCGTCGAACAAGATGAATGGCTGCCTTGTAGCGCAGGCATGCACGGATGCTACGTGGCAAAAAGCTGACCAAAGCTGACTGTCGTTCTTTGCCAATGAATGGTACTGCCGCCCAAAGCAAGCCATCGACGAGCCGCAGAACAGAGAAATCCGCTTACCACAACCTTTCACTTTTTTTTCGTGGCACTCTCAAGCATATTGCGGAAAGAGACCTGTTCCTAACAATCCTGAATTGAAGCCTCTCGCGCCGTGTGAGAGAGTCTTCGACTCCTGTTCAGAAGACATGCCGCTCAAGGCCCCGACGAAGCTTGTCCTGAAAGAAGTGCATCCGCAAGTCCAAGGCCTTGCGCTTCGAATGTACGATGGCTGTTCGATGGAAGAGAGAAGGATCCTGCGAAGGCAACTGCTCACGCTACATCGAGAATTTCTGGATGCTGAGATAGGATCGTCGAAGGTTGTGGATCCTCTGCTTGCGCATTTCATTGTGAAAGCGAGGAAGATTTATGATAAGCAGCATGGTCGGAGCTACTGTCATTGAGCGAGAGGCCTCACCATCCAATGAAGCTTTTTGGACTTTGGACACTTTTACAGCTTCCTTACATATGCTTGGCTTAGAGACATGCAACCTTTGGGGACTTTTGTGCAAACGCAGAAGTCTCGATTGAATCAAGGCGAGGCGCTTCCAAAAGACCAAGAAATTGAAATGTACAGGAAACAAGCCATTCGACTCCATTCACGCCTCAAATGCAAGTGCAGGGGCGCACCCTTCTGGAGTGAACCTCCAGTCTACGCCTGAGGATAGCTTCAGAGACAATTGCAACTTGAGAGCGCGAGAAAGAGCTCCAAGTTACCTACAAAGCTCTGGTCTCGACATCTGCTTCCCGGCGATAGGATGAGTACTCCGAGGAAGCCGCGCCCTGCATGAGCCATGGATTCATGTCGTGCTTTGCTGCAAGCATCGCTTGCATCTCTATCATGCACAGATCTATCTACACAGCGGCCTTGGAGATAAACAGATTTGAACCTCACATCCACGACGACCATCAATGATCCAAGCAACGGAAACCTTCGTCACCAAAGTCAAGCTTACTTATTCAACCCAAATCGATACAGTATCGAACATCCTGCGTGGTTGTACCTTTGTTCGGCAAGCAGCATCCGACATCCATCACTCTCATTTACCATTTCCATGAAAAAAACCAACCAATCCAACCAACCAATAAATTCCATCATTCGCATTCGGCGGGGTCAAACAAAGGATATCTTGAAGATCTCACGAGCCAACCCCACCCAAGAATTTTTTCAGATCTTCTTGCAGCAAAAGTTTGACATCGAAGGATTTTGAACTTCGAAGATCCAAATATTTATTGGTTTGCCCTAACGTGGCGTTTGTGGCTATTGATGTATCTCTACTTCGATACATGATGGCCGGGGCTCGGGCCGAGGTCGTTATATATGGTTGTCAACGGCTTGAGGATGCGATGAAAGCTGTGAGATGGCTCGGTGTTGCGTAGAGCAAAGTCTGAAGCGCAACGGATCGAGCGTGCTGTTTATGGAATTTGGGATCGGATGGGTTCCGGGAGTGGGGAGAAGAATGCAGAGGCGATTAGTGAAGTAGTTGTCCATCCAAGATCGTGACTGTTTGATTTTATTGTTGGGGGCACGTTTTTTGGAGTGCAGAAAATGAATGTTTCCAAAGCACTTCGTAGATAAAGAAAGCATGATTGCGATGGGATTATTGGTTGCACAAACAAAATGCTACAGGTACATCAAGTGGAGAGGGCAGAAGCTCGAGGCTGAAGTCAGTGTGATCCGTAAAAGTTCTCGTTCTCGTGGAGACTGCGGATTGAAAATTCGTGCCAATTTTCGACCTGACTCCTTCCCCATCACTCATGATCCCGCGTTCCAGACCCACCCACACTGACATGCTCCTCTTCAAGATCTTCCAAGCCAGCAGCAGCATGAATCGCCGCCAATTTATTCTTCTCACAACATCTCGAAAAAGCAGCATCATATTTCGCCGGCGGGAACTTTCGAAAGACAACGCTGAAACTCTGAAGCTGCTTCCTACTCTGTGCCCGTCTCGGAGCCGAGATCAATGAACGACGCTCAGACATAGTCTTGTTACCCAGAATCTCTACGGTGTCGAGGCTGGTCCAGTCTGCAAAGGATGCCAAGCTTCCCGGCACGAATCTCACGCTTCTGCAGCAGCCGGATACGCGGTAAGCGTTGGAGAGATCGATTTGAAGGAAGCGTAACGACTTGCATGCTCCAAGAGCGCATTTGAAAACTTGGGCCAGTTCGTTGCTGAAGCCGTATGCCGAATGTCGGTCAAGGATTCCACCAGCGTGCACTAATGGATCTTCGGCGTGAAGATTCCGTGGGTCTACCGAAATGCTTTACGATCTCATGTGTTGCCGTGCCAGGTGGAAAAGCGCAATCCCTGGTGGCGGTGATGGACGCGATTGATCGGCGGAGACTATCTTGCCGCCCAGCAGATGATTGTAGCCGTTCAGGTCATGGTTAAGAACCAGGTGATTCTTGAGAAACAGCAGCAGGCGGTCGTCAGAGTCGGGTGCTCGACGGTAGCGTTGTGGCTTCTTGCAAAGATGGAGTTCGCAAGGAGCGACGAGGTATTCGTAGACAGACAGCATTACGCAGCTCGCGCGGGAGGTCGAGAAAGCGGAAAGGGGGCGCCGCATGAACAATCAGTATACTCATAGGACGCGAGTAGCCTCCGAGTCGCTGCCTCTGAATTTTATGCTGCGGAGAGTGTCGATTTCGGCTTGCAAGCGCGCAATTGTTTCGAGGCGACTAGCGATGTCGCGGTCCACCTGAGCGCTGTCCATGTCTTCAAGAGGTCGTAACGTTTCGTTATGAGTGAGTTCAGTCCGAGGGCGTTTTGAGGTAAGGCGCAGGACTCGGCGAATATGAAAGATTTCAAGTTCGCATACAGGCACATGTGCGCCCAGGATTGAGAGCACGGACCACAAGTGAACAGCGCTGCATCACATGCGATAGCGGCCGAGTTTACCTGAAGGATTTACAGCCCGCGAGACACTTGTATGCTCGTTGGTTTCCAAGAAGTGAAGCGCCGTTCTGATACGCACCTCTACACTTGAATCGTAGAATCTCTCATCGTCCCGACCTGTGTATCTCCCACAGGACTACCCAAGTTCTCGTGTTTAGCCTGCACGTCTTGACTATCGTGGAGAGGTTGATGTCTCTCCCAGAACTTGTCGAGTTTCATTCCTTTGCCAGTCGCAATACCGTAAAAGTTGAACGGATCGATAATGGTGATAAGAAGTGGTCGTTTGTCTGCTTTGCCGAAGCCAGGCCCAAGACGCTCTGTCTTACCGTCATCTGGATCCAGAAACACTTTGCTACTGCCAGGAAGGAATCTGCCAGGGTGAAATATCGAAAGCAAGATAACGAAGAGTGTGATGTTTGCAATCTCGAAAAGCCAGAGGAACCATTCGTTTCGGGAGACGGGACCACAGTATGGATCATCACGGTTTGGATCGCAAGATGCCGCCTCAAAGCCTTCGATGGTTCGTACGATGCAGCGCACCAGAATCATGCCGGAAGTGATGTATAGGATGTAGCAAACAGTCCGTACGGGGCTCGGGAAGCTCTTCGCCTTTCGACACCGATATTCGACGGTTGCGACTAGGGACATGAACAGTGCCTCGATAAAACACTGTAGTATGAGTGCAGATTTGAGCAAGCTGTGACCAGTTCTGTACTGAGCTTCCGTCCTACCATCTCCCACGCTATTGGCCGCACCATTGGCCGTCAAGGCCTCGACAACCGCGCTGAGGAGGATGAAAGTGCTGTATACTCTGCCAGGATGAATGGGCGTGTGATACGGTAGGTAGGCGAGCAATCGACCCAGGATAAAGTATTCTGCAGCGGCGTACAGTGGAGGGCCCATGAGTACGAGGACGTATTGAGCAATGAAGATGTTGACGCTCTGCACGTTGAACACCGAAATGCTCCGACAGACGAAACCAGCAATCCAGACCGAAGATGCCCATGTCATGACGCCGCCGAACTTCTTCCATTTATACCGGAAGAATGATTGATAGACTTGGAGACATGCGAGGCAGGTTAGGAGGATTGCGAAGGCTATCGGAGCTGGCTTGTTTGGGTCATAGGGATACAAAGACCAGGTGTCCGGATTATCGGCCATCGTTGATGTCTTGGTAATATAGATGCGTTGAGTGCGATCAGTGTATGCTGTCCAGCCGTTGTTGTTTTCGTGTGTTTGTCCCAGATATCGATTGGGTGGTTGACGGCGACGCACACGAGGGCTCAGGACTTCTTCTTAAACATGCGGTATTTCACGGGTTTGATACGCGAATGCGATTGAGGCGATGTCCAAAGCCACTGCCTGAGGCTTGCATGTCCAGGGCTGAGCTGTCGGGCGTAGAGACGTCTTTGATCCAAAGGTTGCGATTGGCTGAGCCGTACACTCTTCGCCTAAACAAAGGCCGTGACCATTCTGTCCTCCCCTTCATTGTGCTTCCGCTCTGCGCAACGACGGTGCGCTTCCGGGGCCCTCTCAAGCCTTGGCCATTATTCTGCATGCCTCTCCGCGCTCGCTCTCTCTCTCGCTGCTGCAAGCCAAGGCAGCAACTTTCTCGCAAACGGCATAGGTTCTCGTAGAGACTCTTCAATTTCCACCACTATGCCCAGCTACGCATGGATGATATGCCAGACGGAGAGAACGATCCGTCCATATCACGGCATATCTGTGCCGCAGTTTGTTGATGCCTGTTTTTACATCCAAACCGGCCCACATGTGGACTTATTGCCTCAAGACTCATCCACAGAGACACAACGACATCCGGAGAAGCAAGATCGGGTGTTCATTGTGCCTGGAATGCCAGGCCGACGACACCGCCGCGTCTTCTGGATGGAGAGGTCCAGGCTCCGAAATCCTGAGAATCGCTTCATAAGTCGTCTCGCACTCATTCAACCCATGAGTAGGCATCATTTTCCTCACCAGTAGGCATCAGGACGTCGACGTTCGTGTCGTAGGGTCTCGCGTAGGTGCATGATGTGGAAGCGAAAAGGAGAAAATGGAGTTTGAGGTCTGACGATGCCAAAGAGTTTTTGCCAAGCATGTCTCAGCAGCTCAGACCCCGACCTGACTACATATTTACATGACAGTATGTAGCTCACTTGCGTCTGCAACGCCTCGTCAAGTGTAGCATATATCCCATCACTACTGCGCCTTGAAATCACGCCCGCCCTCCTTCAACCTCCCCCTATCTCCTTCTCCCTCTCAACCCCCTCCCTCTTAACCCCCTCCCTCTTAACCCCCTCCCTCTTAACCCCCTCCCTCTTAACCCCCTCCCTCTTAACCCCCTCCCTCTTAACCCCCTCCCTCCTCCTCCCAGCCTGCTCCTCAACCCTCCTATTCTCCCGAAAAACCGCCTCCCTAGCCCCCACCCAAACCTTGCGCCCCCCTCCCTCAAAAACCCGAAAAATCGCCGGACTCGCGAACCCACATAAACACAAATCATAAAACTCCCGATCCCCCCACCAAAACCCCCAACTCGTTTTATTGATCCACCTCTCCACCCACCCAAAATGCTCCCGAATCCCTAGCCCCGCGGTGCGATCCAACCACGCCACGTGATCGGAAAAGGGGACGAGGGCTGGGTAGAAAGATTCCGAGGGTGGAGAAGAAGCAGAGTATTTGCGGAGGGTGCGTTGGCGCCATTGGAGGAAATTGCGGTGCCAGGTTTGCATTTCCGGAAGGGGAGGGAGATGGGAAAAGCGGCCTTTCCAGATTTGGGAGATGGCCATGGAGAGGAGTTCGAATTGGCAGAAGCCGGGGTATGTGACGGCCGCTTGGCCGAGGAAAGCGAGGGAGTTTCGGATCTTTGCGTCGGGGTGGAGAGGGAAGGTGTTACGGTATAGGTATGGGGGATCTCCGAGTTTGGGGTAGGGGTTTAGGGATTTGGGGGAGAAGAGGAGGGGGATGGAGAAGTTGTAGCCGGTGCAGAAGATGATGGTGTCGATGTTGGAGAGGGTGCGGCCGGAGGTGAGTTCGAGGGTGGTAGGGCCGGTGATGCGGTCTATGGAGGCGACGGGCTCGCAGGCGCCGGAGGAGAGGTGGGGGTAGAGTTCGGTGGAGATTAGGGGGGAGGAGACTGCGATTGAAGGGGCGGGCGAGAGGCCCCAAGATTCGGGGATGTTTGGGTAAGCTTTTTTTGAAACTCTGCCGAGGAGAGTGTCGATGATCTAGACATATTCAATATGATTAGCTGTAATTCGGGGTTGAGAAATGTCGATGGACTCCAATACCCAGTAGTATGCCGCAGGCCAGATGGCAGACAGGTAAACACTGAAAATTGCAAACCACAGCGGCGGCATCTTATCATAGATCGCACCATCATCATCAAATCGAGGCACAAAAACCACTCCCGATCTGTGCGAGATGAAAACTTTCGAAGCCTTCCCAGCCAAACTACACGCAACGTCCGACGCCGAAGCATGCAAACCAACAATCACCACATTCCGTCCCGCATACTTCGCCGGCTCGTGGAATTTGGTCCCATGAATCACCGTTCCAGAAAACTTCTCAATCCCTTCGAGCTTGGGCTGTTTAGGCTTTGCAAAAGGTCCCGTCGCGACGGCGACCTTGTCGAAATGCCGCGTCTGAGATTTCCCATCTTTGTCCGCCATGTCCAAAGCCCAAAGATCTTGCTCTCGCCGGACGGCAAGAACCTTGGCGCCGAGTTTGATGTGTGGCCAGAGATGGAAATGATCACAATAGTCGTTCCAGTATCTATATAATTGCGGAGCGGTCGGGAAGTCGTCCATATCGTCAGGCATGGGGAAGTCTGTCGCAGCTGCTCGATACTTGCTGGTATTGAAAATTGTGTTCTCGCCGGTCGAAAGCGCGTCGTCGGTGGAGTACTTCCATAGCCCGCCGACCCAGTCGCGACTTTCGTAGAGGGTGGCATCGAAACCATCCTCGCGGAAGTTCTTTAGAGCCATGAGGCCGCACGGGCTGGAAAGGCTGTTAGTGAAGTCTGTATGAGAGGATGGAGGATGGGATGATGAAAACGCACCCTCCGCCGACGACTGCGGCGCTTGTTGCCATGTCGAAACGATCAATGAAGGTTTAACTTTTGCAACATAGACAAACTAGAAGTATTCGCGGCTTTCATGTGTCGAGGGGAAGAAAGTAAGCCTCGTCATTCCAAGAGGACAAAGGATGCAGCTTTTCCGCCGCAAAACGCACAGACCCTACTCTAGGTATTGTCTTACCCACAGTCAGCTGAAAGGAATCGTTGCGTGTTCAGCTTGATGCGGTGGAACCAAACAATAGCTGAGTTCAGCTCGGGTTCGCTCTCAATTTTTCAAGCATCGTCACCTCATGATATTGAAAGTATTATTAATTCGTCGCACCGCTCGTGAGATGGATCCACGTCTTTCGTAAGTAATCCGGTGGTATACAGTATGCCACTGGGTGCCGCAAAGAATTCGTTTCCGATCCTGTTCCTGGGGTTGAAATGTTACTGGAGCGAATACTTTGTTTGCTTCACATGGCTGCGTCTGTGACAAAGCAAAAACGATTCTACTCCCTACATATACGGCCACGGCGAAAGACTCGGAGGTCGCTCCCCAAAATCCCACTTCTTCGGCTCTTCGCCTAAAAAATCACACACACTCTCGTCAGCAAATCTTTCTACATGAGGATGGGGATGTTCGCATCACGAAAAGAAAAGAAAAAAAAACAACATACCCATAACAAAAGTAAGATTCCCCCCAGCACCCATCTCAAAATGCGTGATCCAACTCCGATCCAATTCCCGAGAATTCCACAAAACCTTTTGCGGATACCAGCTCTTGTCCGACAAGTTCTCGGCTCTGATCCATAGCCAAGTAGCCTGGGCCGTGCCTGGGAAAAGTCTGATTTTCAGGGATGAGAATCGGGGGGCTCCGAGAAGGTAGATGGGTTGTGCGGCGACGGGATATAAGCCGATCAGGTTGAAAATGAGCCAGCTGGGTAGGGCTCCGGCGTCGATGTTTCCGGGATAGCCGTTTTTCTCTGCCGAATAGAAGTCGTCGACGATAGCACGGCTTTGGTTCACGGTTCTCCAGTGGTTTCCTTTGACGTAGTTGTACAGGAATGGGGTCATGAATGAGGGCTCGTTTCCTGCGTTCATCGTCAGGATTCTGGGTATGTTCACATTAATAATGCCAAAGTCCATGCTCACCAGGATTGAAGAGGGCACTTCCAGCATCGTTGTTTGCGCCAACACTCGTGCCAAACCCAGGCAGGAAACTGGCATCGAGTCTTTTCACAAAGGCTTCATCGCCGCCCATCAGCGTGATGATCTTTGCCATATCGTGCGGAGCAGCAGAGAAGGCTGTCTCCCAGACCTTGGCCTCGTATATATCATCGCTCCAACCACATCCACCACAAGTCAGCGGGTCGTAGTTAGTGAAGTTCCAGCTTCCATCGCTGTCTCGAGCACCTGGGAAACCGGTGAAGGTACCGACTCCTTGCAGAGTGGTGTTGGCAGTAGGATTCCATTGATTCTGCCACCAGTCTGCTCGATCACGGAATCGGGCAGCTTCCGGCGCATTGAGACCTTTAGCAAAGGAGTATATCGCAAAGTCGTTCTGCGAGTATTCCACACCTCGTGAGATACTCCTGGTATGGTTGCGAGTGATGTAATGCAAGGATAGATAGTCATCCAGAGCGCCCCGACCTTCTTTTGTAGCTCCATCAAAGGTTACTGAGTCCTCATTGTGGATGGGAAGATTGTCCGCATCATTCAGAACTGCTTTGAAAGCCTCGTGCCAGTCAACGATCCCACCAATTTCATTGCGGCCCCGCTGTCCGTTGGCAGCCTTCACACTCTTCACGTATGCATCGGCCAGAATCATATCTGCATGAGTGCCGCCCTGCACTCTGCCGTTCCAATTTGCAATACGACCAGCAGGCAAATATCCATCGTTTGTGAATATTGAGATCAGGCCGGAGAGCACGCGGGTGTACGTATTCGTGAAGAGCATGTGGTACAAGGGCGTCACTGTCCGATACGTGTCCCAGATTGTATAGTGATCGTCATAGTATGGATGGCGATCACTTGTCTTCCAATGGGGATTCTCGCCGGTCTTGTCTGTAGGTAGAAGGCCGGTCTGATACAACGCGGAATACAACATGAGCTTCAAGGTATCGTTGCGGCTTGTCTCATGTCCGTCATCGATGACCTCTATTGAACTGAGGATCTTGCTTTCCCACTCATTTTGCGCTTGTGCAACAGCATCTTCAAAAGTAACCGAGGAAACTTCCTTGGCCACGTTCTTACAAGCCTGGTCTGCGCTGATGTAGGAAATGCCAACGCGGCTTTCTATGACATGCTCTGCCGATGCATTGGCTCCGGTTCGCTTCCAGCTGAACAGCGCTCCAATGCCCATGCCGCTGCCATCATACGCTACCACATCACGATACGATCGAGGAATTGGTCTTTTAACGAAATCAGGAGCTTGCACTGGGGAGTAAGACCAGGTCAACGTGCCAGCACCAGGAATGGGATCGGCATTGTTGACAGACACATAATCGGCCGTCGGCTCCAGGTTCGACGATTGACTAAAGTTCCCACAGAAGAACAGCGTTTGACTTTGGGGTTGGCTCCATGCGCCAGTGTAAGTGGCGGATCCGAAGTAGGATGGAACGCCATTGGGACCAGAGCGAAGATGCAGATCTCCATGGCGGAACTTCTGTGAGTAAGCCTGAGTGCCGTATCCAGGCAAGACGTGAGTGAGATCAACCAGGACATGAACGTCATCTGATGCTGCGCCGCTCGAAATCTTCATGCCTTGAGTGGTGCTATCGCTGCTTGCAGAGTTGTTGCTCCTGCTGTCAGACATTTGCGGAAATGTGTATCGCAATATGCCGGAATGATTGCTGGCGGCCAGATCGATTTGGACGCCGTTCAATAGTTTCGTCTTGAAATGCCCGACATTTGCGACTTCTTCTTCAAAGGTCCTATTCTCCCAGTAAGTCTTGTTGTCTGCCAGATTTACATTGCTCAGATCGCCTGAAAGTGGCATCTGTGAGACCAGTCCATACGAAGGGACGCCTCCAGTGCCTGATACGTGCATCATAGATACAGCAGTAACGTTTCCCAAGGGCGAAAAGCCTGCATTGCAATCGACTGCTGTACCGTTTGGCACACCCAGGTAACTAGTATCAATTCCAACCTTAGCCATACCCCATGGCAGACTCGCGCCTTTGCAATGAGAGGGTTAGTGGATGCATTGTGATCAACCAGTCGCAGAGACTCAACGGCGGCGCCATACCTGGGAAGCTGTTTCCACCTGCAATAGCCGATCCAGGCGTAGCGCCCTCTGTACCGATCAATGGGTCAACATAGTCGGCCAGGCGAGAGCGGATGGCTCCAGCAAGGCATACATGCAACACGACGCAGACAAGGGAGCGAAAATAGGTTGGCTGCATTGTACCTGCATTGCGATTGATGACGGGAGTACCTGGGAGAGGACAAATTCTGTCTGTTTTGCTCCAGGGTCGCGATTTCACCGGCAATCGAAGCATTTAGGCTCATGTTCCATGATCCTTGTCCGTTCAGGCGTGGCCGGCGCAGAGCGGAAATGTATCCGAAATACAACAGCTTGGCAAATTGGCTGTTGCTCCAGTGATCTGCATCTGTCGGCCTAATAATGACTCGCGAGACTACGAGAACGAGGGACATCGACATATGAACAGATCATCGCCGCCCCTCCGACCATACTCATATCGAATTTGGTCACTTCCCACCCAATCTCAGGCGCATCTGGAGCGCTGAGCCTGGTTGCAAGGACCGCTTCACCTTTGAACTCGACAACCAAGTTGATCAAGCAAAGGTGTGGGATAACCAAGAAGGCTGAAAAGCCCGGGAAGGCACCACAGGCACTACAAGCACATCATTTCCAGCGAAGCAACAGCAACCTCGTAAGTTGCGCAGGTCTTGTGACCTCGACAATCTGTTGTTGGAGGAGCAGTTGTGCAGAGGTATCGTAGAAGTAGACAGGTCATGACGACAGAAAGGCCTTGTCGAACACCACCCGATCAAGATCATTGATTGTTCTCAGCAGGTCAGAATCGGAGACTCGGGATAATTTCGTGCACTACTCTCGTCTTCATGCCGAGTGAATCGATGCGAACACCATACCGGGTTGCAGTAATGCCACTTTGCGTCGCTATCAAGGGCGTCGGCCTGCGAGCGTTTGACATTCAGGCCATTCATCGCCCAACTAAAGTTCGCTGTCCAGTATAGTTCTCAGTTTACTGCGACAGGCCTCTGCACTCCGTCCGGGTAAGTGTGACGGTAGATGTCGAACTGGGGTACCAAGTTTCCGCAATCTCACAAGCTCATTCGTCTCTTGGAGAGTCCACGGATGACGCCTAGGTCGCGCCCGTTGTATTTTGAGGTGCGCAGCCCTGGCTCTGAGAGAACCCAGCGAGCGCGGAGGTATTGCAGCTTGAATCGTCCTCCAGGACGCGCCTTCGTTGTATAAGGATACTAGTGTCGTGTCTTCCTCCTCAGTGAAACCGATAAACGGCGTCGATCCAGATCGACGGCTAATAAGAAGACGAGACCATTTTGAGCTGACAGCATCACACGACCTGCCAAGTTCTTCGGCTATCGCTTCCGGATTCGTCCCAACTTCCTTCAGGCTCGCTAGCCTCTCCATCTCGCTCTCTGACCAACGTCTGGAGCTTGATCCTCGTGAGCGGACAGTCTTGTTCTCCATTTTTTGACGAGCATCTCGACAGTGGGAGAGCTGGGATTCTATGCTCGACCGACTACGCCCAAATTTGGTGGCCAAGTCCGATGTGTTCATGCCTTCGGCGTGAAGCGACATGAGTTGTTGACGATCTTCATCGCTCCATGGTCTCCACCACCGCGACTGACAGTCTTCTTTGGTCCTTGTCCATTCGTAGTATATTGCTTTTACCGGTCGACCAAGCGCTTTTGCAATGGGTCGTGCTCTGTAGCCTTCAGCCTTGAGTGCGTGAAGAGTATGCCGCTCTTCAGTGGTCCAGAGTCGTCTGCTTCGATTCGGCAATGTCGACTCTGGCGATTGCGGTGGTGCATTTTGCGTTGAGTCGCTGATACTGCGGTTGCGGTTGCGGTTGCGGTGCAGAAGACTAGCAGTCAAAGATGGAGGGAGAATCGATCGAGGTAGTGTCAGGCTTGGGAGCCTCGCTGCATGGTTGCGACTGAGATTCCATATGCTGATCGGCATGACCTTCGTATTCTCACATGTCATGCATGTCTCCAAGCCAGGTAAATAATAAGAGGAGAGGTTCAGGTTTGAGTTGACGCCCTGCATCGATGAAGCTCGGCCAAAGATCGGCTCCAGCTCCGGGCTCGATCTCTTGGCACGGACGAGAGATGTCTCGTCCGCAGACAAAGCACAAGGACTAACTTATGGAGCATCACCGACCAACACATCGAGCACTCCCACCGAAATCTTGTCCGAGAGCATGGCATACTCACCCGGCCGAGAGACGAAAGGATAAGTACAGCCTCTCTCCTACCTCCAGCATTCCTCCATTCCTCACAACACCTCTCGCTCTTCCCCCTCTCCAACAGCACCCTCTCCCCAGTGCAAATCGACATCACCTCCGACCCCTCCATCACCTCTGCCCGCGACACCATCACCTCCCGCCACGGCCGTCTGGACTGCCTCATAAACCACGCCGGCGCAAACTTCGACGTCGAGCACGTTTCCGGAGACCTCAGGCACCTCCTCCCTCTCAGAAACCGAACGCCACGATCCCCCCGCCTTCCAACCTCTCAATGCCTCGCCCGGAAAAGCTTGGCCTAAACCCCCCGGCCCGAATCCCGTGACGATGTATCGTAGCGTCAAGTGTGGTATGAACATGGCGTTTCGGGAGTGGGTTCGGATCTTGGGGAATGATGGGGTGAAGGTTTGGGCGGTGAGTTCGAGGTTTTTGGCGACGAATCTTGCGGGGATTGGGGCGGAGAAGTTGAAACTGATAGGGGCGATTGATCCGGCGGTTGGGGGGAGGGGGGGGGGGGGGAATTGTTAAGGATGTTGCGGAGGGGAAGAGGGATTCGGATGCTGGGAAGATTATTCGGAAGGATGAGATTCAGCCTTTTCAGGGGGTCCAGACAGGATGGGTTGGTAGAGTAGGCATTATGATACGGCGAAACTACAGCAGCGTTGAATTTACTTCCTTTTCGTCCGCTTTTTCTTCTTGCGCTTCTTTGATTTCGCCTGAGCTGGCTGGGCGGCGCTGGTTGATGAATCCTCCTCGCCATCCAGTAAATCAACCTCTTCCTCCTCATCCTCTTCTACCTCCGAATCACCATCAACCTCAGCCATCTCCTCCCTCCCACCCTTCCCCTTCTCTTCCCCACCACCCCTCCTCCTCACCCCAAACCGCCTCCGATTCTCCTCCTCAAAACCCCCCTTCTCCTTCCGAAACAACAACATCGCAGTCCTCGCATCCTCCACACTACTATGCTCACCAACCTGCACCTCAATCCCCAACTCCGTCCTGGCCAATTTTTTTAAAGCAGGAGCTTTCCCCTGACTCTCAACCCTAAACCTGCCATACCGACTCGTATCCCTCACATCCCGTTTCGGATGACTCAACATCAAAGCATTCAAATCATTCCGCAAAGCATGTCCCACCAAAATCCTGCCTTCCAGAATCTCGGCCACAGATTTCTGTACTTCGTTGAATGTCCGCGCGTAGGAGGGTTGAAGGTGGCGGGGTTTTATTCCGGAGACGTGGGTGCGGTAGTCGTGGATTTTTGTGTTTGGGGGAGGTTGCACGTAGGAGTCGTAGATCTGTTCGCCGTGGAAATTTACGAGCGAGGCGCGGGCGAGGATGTTGTCGAGATGCGGTGGGGGCCCGGTGCCGACCATTTCGCAATCTAGCGATATGTATTTTCCGATTTTCCGCGTGGGGTGTAGGCCTCCGTTGACGTCGTCGTCTTCGGAGACGCGCTTGGTTGGGACTGATGCTCCGTATGCTGCTGATATGTCTGCTGGCGCAATGTCGTGGTCTTTGATGAGAGTTTGGGTTCTCGAGGTGTTGCTTGCAGCTTCGGTTGCGGTGTTCGTGGAAAGATAGCCACCCATCTTACGCTTCTTGTCGCCGACTATTGCATTTGCTCCCGAAAGCCTCATTTTCTTGAATCCATTCGATGTGCTCCTGCTCTTCTTCGGTTCTTCTCTTTTGCGCTTTGTGCCACTGCCTGCACCTTCCGCCTTCTTCTCAGCCTTCAACTTCTCCTGCAGCTTCTTCCAATTGCTGCTCAGCTGTCCGGCGTCTGGTCGAGACATGGAGAGACGTCAACGCATATTGTTCTCACAGCACAGCATGAAGATTTCTTGAGGTTGATGAAGCTGGAACTTTTTTTACGCCACACATCTGTGGCGGAGCTGAGCTGTGGCGCCCCGTCGCATTCAGACCTCAGCGTCGCGACGACGAGGACGTCGAATTACTTCATCACCAAAACTACGCAGCATCTTCAAAACTTGCGAAACTTCCGACATCGTCTCAGCGGGCCTCACTATGGCGCGAGATGATGGCAAAAATGGCGCGAATGGCGCAGATGACGCCAAAGCAGAAAGAGGCATGGCGACGCTTTCGACGCTGAGGTACGATACGAAATTCATACCGCATACTCTGAAGAAGGTGTCTTTCATGCCGTTTACTGACTGTCATTTTGTATAGAATCGGCACGAAGGCTATGGTCGAAAAGGTACGTTGTTCGAGAGCGTTTTACAGCTTGCTTTCTAACACATTGCAGGATGGCGAGAAACGTAGGGCCGAAATTCTGTCCATGCAGACAAGAAAAGGCAGGCCGACCTTTTATGTTCACTACCAAGACTTCAACAAGCGTTTGGACGAGTGGGTGCCGGCAGAACGTCTCGATCTCACGCAAGACGTCGAATGGCCGGTGCCAGAGAAGCCCGACAACAAGTCCAAGCAAAAGCAGACTCAGTCGAAATCAGATTCGAAGAACACCAAGACGGGCTCCACAAAGGCTGGCCAGAAACGTTCAAGAAGCGGCACTACGACTCGAGAGGCCTCCGAAATCCCTGGCGATCTTGCCGGCAAACTAAGCAGACAAGTCTCGCAGAGTGGTGGCAAAGAGAATAGAGATCCCTCAGTGGCGGTGCTTGCTCCAGAATCTCTCGATGGCACGCCCGGGCCCGACGATGAGTCTGCGATGGACATTGTCGACGTGCAGGAAGCTGCAGCAGCCGCCAAAGCAGCCCCTGACAGCGTCCCATATTCTCGTGAAGAAGAAATCGAGAAGCTCAGAACTGGCGGCAGTATGACACAGAACCAGACCGAAATTAGCAGAGTCCGCAATCTGGAGCGTGTGCAAATGGGCGACAGCGAGATTGAGCCCTGGTACTTTTCGCCTTATCCCGCTGAATTCACGGACGTCGACATGGTTTACATCTGCGAATTCTGCCTATCATACTTTGGCTCGCAATTCCAATTCGGGCGGCATCGCAAAAAGTGTACGCTGCATCATCCCCCTGGCAATGAGATCTATCGCGATGAGAACGTGTCATTCTTCGAAATCGACGGCCGAAGACAACGGACGTGGTGTCGCAATCTGTGTTTGCTGTCAAAGCTTTTCCTCGACCACAAGACACTGTACTACGATGTCGACCCATTTCTCTTCTACTGCATGACCACTGCAGATGATCAGGGCCATCATCTCATCGGCTACTTCTCAAAAGAAAAGGAAAGCGCAGAGGGTTACAACGTCGCCTGTATCCTAACCCTCCCTCAATTCCAACGAAAAGGCTACGGCGGGCTTTTAATCCAGTTCTCGTACGAGCTAAGCAAGATCGAAGGCAAGCTCGGTTCTCCCGAAAAACCTCTGTCCGATCTCGGACTTTTGGGCTATCGCGCGTACTGGCAGGAAGTTATCGTCGAGCTGCTTCTGGAACGCGAGAGTGAAACCCCGGGATCCTCGGCTTTCATCTCGGTGGAAGATATCGGAGCTACGCTTGCCATGACCACTAACGATGTCTTGCATACTCTTCAGAACGCCAATATGCTGCGGTACAGCAATAAGAATCATGTCATCGTTCTGACGGAGGCGGCTCTTCGGCAGAGAGAGAAGAGGAAGGAGAAGGAGAAGATGAAGCCGCGCAGGTATATTGATCCTGAGAAGCTGATTTGGAAACCTCCTGTGTTCTCTGCGAGCGCGAGGACGTGGAATTGGTAGGGCCGGATTATTGCTTTTGGGGGATATTTTTTAGCGTGGTGTTGGACGGTAGGTAGAGGCAGGTATACCCACGGAATGAATCGAAATTTTTGTGTTTTGAGCCTTAGCCTTTCAGCATGCTTATATACTTCCATCCCTTATTACTCCCTACCAAACCAACGTTTGCTTGCTAAGAAGCCGAAATCTCAGAACTGTTTTGGCTGAAAAAAAATTCCAAATCTGCGATTCAAGGATATCGTTTCTTATCCAAGGCTGTTTCGAAGCGAGCGCTCGCTAACTACCGCACGTACCTTTTTTTTCCTTGACTCTCGACCTTGGTATGGCATGGCAATGAAGTTCTCGGGGATAATGATCACAGACAAGACAAAAGGGAGTGGGTTTCATGCTCGTGTCGAGGTATCTTCTCCTGGCTAATATAGCGTGTAGATATATCTATACGTTTTCCTGTAACAGCTAATAATAATTAGGAGATGAAATACCTGTTACCTCTTACCTCGAGCGGTTAAAGTAGAAGAAGAAGAAGCTACGAGAATATTTAAGAGAAGAGACTTGTGTTTATATTACCGCTGTTATATACGAGCTCTAGTCTTTACTCTGGACGATATATTACTAAAGAATTCGCCGCTACTTCTTGAAATGTATACGAGGGAATATTACTTAGGGAACACGAACATTCTAAAGAAAAAAGCAATTAATAATAGAACAGCTGCATTTTTAGGGGGGGTTTTTTTCTCTCTAAGTATGTATATCTATCCACCTTACCGAGCTTTTAAAATCAACAAAACACACCTAATTGATTCGCTACCGACTTGTCGACATGTAGTAACTCCCAACAATCCAAAACAGAAATTCGCGTCACTATACATACATGTACAACGGAACCCCCTTTCAAAATCGCTCTCAATCAATCAATCTGCTGCGTCGCCCGTCCACCACGAAGCCAGTCCATAGTACGACTCCTTCCAGAACCATACTCCACAGCATGTGAGGATTCAGCTTGATCCTCCACTCCTCCACTTCCCTCAACACCACCAGAATGTCCCTCAAAATTCGAAGGCCCAGCTTCAACATCAACATCCATTTCATCCTCCTCAACAACCTTCCCTTTCCCCTTCCCCCGCTTCCTCTTCTTCCCCTGCCCCTCCCCCTTCTCTTTCCCCTGCTCCATAATCCTCTTCTTCACCAAATTACAATCATTATTCGCCACCTTGCGTTTCTCGAAATTCTCCGGATGCCCCACAAACCCCTTGACGCCCCTCCCTTCCACAACATCCATCACCACCCTCTTATTCGTGCGTAACATCCCACAAATCTTCTCGACTCTCTCCTCGAAACTCAGTCGAGTGTTCTCGCTATACCCGGAAGAGTCTCCGGAGGTGCCGTAGAAAGGGTTCGAAGTCCCGGTGTGGAACGCCAAAGTTTCCGCGAAAAGCGCACGTAAGCGCGCGGTGATGTGTGCGGAGGAATAAGACTCTTCGAGCGTGGATTTTTGATTGTAGATGATTTGTTGGCGTTGCGGCCATGTGAGGTGTGGTTGATTGTGATGCCCGATCCCTCCGGGGACGAAGGTATTGATCGCGGTGAGGAAACGCTGGATGTATTCATCCTCGTTTTCTCGGATGTTTTCGAGTTCCAAGGGTGCTATTGGGGGACCTCGAGCGAGGATGGATTTGCAGATGAGTTGTTTGGCGAGTTCTTGATTGGGGATTTCGGGGTCGAGAGTGAATGTTACCGGGGTGGCGTTGTGGCGGAGGAATTTTTCGGCGCAGCGGTTGCAGCGGTCGGGTTGGATGGATTTTTTGAAGGGTTTGGTGCAGGCGACGCAGGGGATGGAGTCTTTGTAAACTATTGGGGAGGGGACTAGATGGCCTCTGCCTTTTTTGCGACTGGGCTGTGGGTCGGGGGAAAAGGTTGGTTCGGGGGAGAAGGCGGATTGTGAGCCTCGTGGATCCGGTATGTCAGGACTGGCAGATGTGTTCATGGGCGAATTTTGTTGGTTCTCATAGGCGAGGTACATATTGCGCTCGGGCATTTGTGTTGGAGGGTAGTATCCTAGCCTGGAGTTTGAGGGTTGGGCGCCAGGAAATACCGCTGGGGAGTTGAGCAGATTTATGCCTCCGTTGGATGCAGTGTGGTTCGAAATATCTGGATTGTGATGCGCGCTTCCAAGATCTGAGCTTGCATGCCGTGATCGATCTGCTAGATCAGATTCGACAGAGGATGTAAAATAGGGTGCTTGGCCAGATCTCGAGTCTTCGTAGATTGACTGCTGATGAGAAAAGGACGGAGTGTGCTGTCTGTACCCATTTGGTATCTGATCTGGAAACCAATTCGGGTGTTCTTCGTAACCCCCACTGGGAAGCCATTGGTTGTGTGCCGTGTCAGGTAAGGCATTGTCGGAGAAGCCATGTTCATGTGGTTGTTCATGCCGAGACAGAACTTGCGGCGCGATGGTCGTCGGTCGTGGTTCAAGCGGCGATGGTGTGTGCTGTTCTGTTGAGGGTCGCGCATCGTCCAGGCTGGTATCGAAGGTGTACCAACTTGGCTGCTGTTGATCCTGACTCTGGACAGCATCTCCGTTCTGGGGAATGCGATGCTCGCTATCGCCCTGAGTGTTGTCTAATCTCTGCTGATCTTCCTCAACAAAGGTCCACTCATTGTTAACCCAGGTAGACCAATCGATGTCATCCATAGTGTCTGCTGGAGCAAGGGTGTCGTCCATTGTGACCTTTGTAGAGAGAGATAGTTGTGCCAATTAAGCAATACAGATCACTTAATGTATCTGTCAAGCTCAGTCTGTCTTGTGGTGTATTCCCGAATGAGCGAAGAAACGATCGTGTCCTGAACATATCGCATGCATAATCATATCGCCTTCAACAGCAAGCGAAGCAGCATTGAATAGCTCGGAAGGCCAATGATTTGTTTGCCAAGACATGTGATGGCAATGAATGATGCCAGTGCCATCACGATTGGCAGTCCGCTCGGGCAGAGTCGCATTAGGAAGGATGGCAAGGAGATTGAGCCTAGTGATAGCGTGTCAGAGCCGAAAGCCGCACAGCCTTAGTGCATCAGGCTGTACAGATGCTCGGGCTCAACATGCACTTCAGGAAGGCTTCTATCGGCTAGAGGTGGCAAGCCGAGCTGTGGTCATCACGCTCCCATCTTCGTGCTCTCGTGCTCCTGAGCAAGCATGGGTGCAAGCTGCTTGCTGAAGGTGTTCCTGAATTCAACGGCGTGCTCGACTGCTGAACGCCACACTCACAGCGTCTTAGTCCCAGCAACATCATACCCCGGCAGAGTCCTCAACCTCGTAGCCATCCAACTCCCCGAAATCTTCCTGAACTCCAACGTACTGACCGCCGGACGAACAAGCCCTCCCGGAATCCCATGCGTTTCCGTAGACATCATGACCTTTGCAATACACGCCTCCTCATCAAGACAAGTACAAGTGGCATCAATGACCTTGTTGAAATACTCGGGCGCTCCAATCGACATTTCCTGATGGAATCGAATATGTTCTTCTTTGGTTTGCGGACGATGGATGATGCCTTTTTCTTGCTTCTTGACGACGGAAGGCAAGAATGATGCGGAATCGAAGCGGCCTGCTGGGTCGTTGCGGAACTGGGGCGCTAGGAGTGACCAGGGTTCTGATGATGGGTTGAAGTTTCGGTCGTTGACTGCTTGCATGATGCTTTTTGTGACGTGCTCTAGGTATCGTGCGGTTGCTGACGAAGCAGGGTCAGTTGGCACGTAGTCTGCGGTCATATTGGAGAGCAGCGCATTGGGTATGAGGTCGAGGTGATGGTGAGTCTTGTGATGGCGTTGATTGAATCACGGCGATGGCGATATCAGGAGTGTATCAGTGAGGCCCTGTCTACTTGCAACAGGTTATCGCATAACCTGGCCGTAGATTATAACAACTCTTCCAATAACCAACCTGTCTCATGCGACAACGGTTATTGAATCGTAGGTTATCGCTGTGCTCGTAAACTCGCTGAGATTATGCTATATATAGTATGATTAGCAAAACCAACTCTTGAGGAGCTTTTAAGCCTATCCGTGCGCCTGGTAGACTTCCGGCCTAGCGCCGTAGTATCTACCTCTTTCTCTACGTCTTTTGTAAAGCTACGAGACTAGCGGTATAGCGATCGAGAAGGTATAGGACGGCGGAAGCGAGGATAGAGCGATTATTAGCGATAGTGTTGTCGGTAAGCGCCGTTGCTAGCACTATACCGTTACTGCTCGAAGAACTACCTAAATTGCGCCGCCGTGCGATATATCGACTACTAGGACGAAGGTCGGTTTAAATAGACTATAATAAGATAGAAAGCGAGGCGTTTCGAGTGCTATATAGTCCGCCGAAGTACTACTACGAGCGTACGAGGTTAAAGTAGCCGGTATTGCGCGCGTTAGTTAATAAACTACGGAAGAATAGATTAGAAGATAAGAATAAGAACAAATACTCGCTAGAGGTACGCGTTATCCTCTTCCTAGTTATAGTAGGGTATAATAGGAGCCTTAGTAACCTCGCTAACGACTTCGGTATAGCAAGAGAGATACTAAGAAGGATAATATATACTATATCGCGCTGTTTGTATCGTATAGCAAAGGACTAGATTAAATTGCTATAGAAGGACGATAAACCGCTATAGTCTAAGGGTGCCGATAGTAGCAAGTTTTAGCTATACTTTAAGGGCGTTATAGGCGCTATCGACGGCACTTTGTTAATAGCTAGTCTACCGAAGATTAATAGTAATCTATAGCGTTATCGGAAGGGCTATATTACGTAGAATGTAATAGCCGCCTATAACTTATTATTGCGCTTCTTATTCGTAATGCCTAGATACGAAGGATTAGCGACAGATAGTACTATATTAAGGAAGGCCTATTAGTTAGGCTTCGACGTACTAGATAGCTATTTCTATCTCGCTAACGGTAGTTATTCGTTTAAAGATCCACGGCTTCTCGTACTATATTAGAAGATACGATATTATCTCTATAAGCAAGGCGAGGCTAAAGAACGACCGGCTAACTATCGAGAGATATATAACCTCCGCTACGCTTAGCTTCGTAACTATATCGAGAGGGTATTTAGTGTAATAAATAGGCGGTTTAAGATTATTAAGGAGGGACTAAATAGCTAGCCGATTGCTTAATAAAGTCGCTTTGTTATCGCCTATTGTGTTATCTATAACTTTATCCTATCCGACGGTCGACAACCGCTGTCTTTAGAGCTAGGCCTTCTTCTAACTAATGCTAAATTAAACGCCGCCCGAGAGGCCGATACTACGGCGGAGGTCTATGTCGATAATAGGCGCTACGCCGACGAGGTTAAGGATGAAAGTTACGTAGATTATCGTAATAGAATAGCGAGGTAGATATATAATAAATATAACGGTAATTAGTTAAGAACTAGACTTAATATAAGGGCTTAAAAGCAGGAGGTGCCGCTTAGAGTATAGCGAAGGATATAATAGGGGAGGGTTAATGTTTATAGAATGTAAAGGCAATAGGCGGAGTTCGGTTTTTAGTAAGGAACTTAGTATAGAGTCGATTTATAGGCTTAAACCGTACATATTCTAGACATTACTATCGCCTCTTCTACGCCTACTACTTCTCTAGTCGAAATTCTAGTAGGGTCGATATCGCAGGTTCTTAGCAAACTTCTGCGATATTAGAATTCGAGCTAGTAGGATATAGCTTTTCTATATATAATAGGCCCTCGTACGTAACTACAATTTGCTAGTAAAAATTAACAATACCTCTATACAAATTAATAGTATAGACGTTAGCGTACATTTCTACTAAAATTCTATACCTAATCTACGAATTCTCGCATCGAACTATATAATTATAGTATAGATATACTTCTTCTGCTATTTCTAAGCATTCTTATTAACAATAACCTATTGTCTATATCCTAATAGTACGTATCTACCTTCTATCTGCTATAGGTATATATTCTAGCGAATATTAGCCTTAATGTCCGTTAATACGGATAGGAAATACTCTTCAAACTGCTCCTAGTTTATACTCGAAGCGACTTTATAATAGTCAAATTCCCCGTTCTTCTTCGCGTACTCGCGTACTAACAATATGCGATTAGCTAACGGCATGTCTATCTTTGCGAACGTCTTGTTGTCTAGCAGTCGCTTTATAACGTTACTAACGATAGTACTAGCTTTAGTAGCCGCTAGAGCGTTAGTACGTTGCTCGTCCGCTAACTTCCTCGTTAAAGCTCGTTCTTCCTTGCTATCCTTTACGACCTTAGCGACTATTAAGACTATAGGCTTAAACGCCTTCTATAGCGACTTTATAATAGTTAGGTTCTTTTTACTAACCTCCTCGGCCTTCTTATAGACCCGATTAGCCTCCTTCTATATCTTCTTTTAGTGCTTTTCCGCCGCCTTCGTAGTACGTAATACTATTAATTGCTCTTCCGTAAAGGGCGTAGAAGCTACGCCTTCGGCGGTAACCTTAACCTTAGATTCCTTACTGCTACTACCGCCTTCCTCGTCGCTTTCGCTAAGAGCCTTATTAGATATTACATTCTCGCCCGTAGCTACCTTAGAGCCGATTAACTCGTCTATAATATTAAAGAACTCCGGCAATTTATCGCGGAAGGGAGTATACCTTAGATTCTCGTCGAAGTAAGCGTCTTCTACGTCCGACTCGGCGGTTAGAGGCATACTATTCTAGCTACTTATATGCTTTAAGTAAGCAATCTATATACTCTAGTCCTTCTTAATTAACGTCTACTTATTCTTTAGGTAGTTAGCAGTACGCTCCGTGCTATACTTCTTATTTATTAACGTTACTAGGTCTCGAAGGTCGCCTAACTAGAAGTTATTAGTATCGGTACTACGGCTAATCTTCTTAAACTTATTTAACTAATCGAGGAAATACTCGGTCTGCTCTTAAGTCTACTATTGCGGCGCTTTACGTTGCCTATCTTTATTAATTAGTATTGCAGTCGCTATACGCTTCCGAGTCGCCTTTAGTACTAGAGTCTTTAATAGAGTCTAAGAAGGTTAAGACTCGCTCGATTGAGAGGCTATAATATCTAGTATTCTAATAGCTTTAAAACGAGAGATTAGCTACTCGACTAACTAGACCCCGCAGTAGTTCGGTTTCCGAACCACTAAACGTATATAGTTTGGTTTCTTGGCGGCGAACTAGCTCCCTAGTTCCGGTTTGGTTTTTTCGAACTATATAGATTCCTAGTTTAAACTAGAGACTGTATTGGTTTTACTATAAGGATACTCTTATTCGACTGCCGGCTACGATTGCCGGCTATAATAGTAACTCTGTTACATTTACTACGCTCTTTTGCCGTTACTAGGGCGTAGTTGCCGTTGCTAGGGCGTAGTTGCCGTTACTAGGGCGTAGTTTTGCTATAAGGACACTCTTATTCGACTGCCGGCTACGATTGCCGGCTATAATAGTTACTAGGTTGTATTTACTACGCTTTATTACTGTTGCTAGGGCGTAGTTGCCGTTGCTAGGGCGTAGTTGCCGTTGCTAGGGCGTAGTTGCTATTACCGGGGCGTAGTTGCCGTAGTTGCGAAAGCTTACCTATATAACGTTACGTAGGCGGCAACAATTAGGGCTTCGCGATATTCTTACACTTTTAACTTCTTCCTCTATACCTATACCGACAATAACTACTATACGCTACGCCCCCGCCCCTTTCCCTTATAATAGTAAGAGAGAAGCGCGCCGTGCGCTAAACAGAAGATAGAACTAAAGACCGCGAGTTTGTTTTACCTAAGCGTCTAACTAAAAAGCGTAAGACTAAAGAGGAGTACTCTACGAAGAAGAATTCCGTACGAGACCGCGAGAGAAAGGACAAGATAGATAAGGATAAAAGAGCTAAGAATAAGAGAAGAAAGGCGCGGAATAAGGTATTCTATCGATAGCTAGCGCCTATAGAAAAAAGTAAAGGTTAGAATAAGAAGACAACCTAAGAGAAGGCTAAGAGGAGGAAAGAATTGCGGCTAGTTTTCGAGCGTAAAGTTCTAGTAGCGTAAGTCAATCTAGCTAGCGGCCGTAGCTAGCAGCTATAGCCGGCAGCTATAGCCGGCAGCTATAGCCGGCATATTTTTCTTTAATACGTTAACTAATAGCATTTAGACCTATAGCCGCTATCTCTATCGATACGACCGATAGTAACGGAGATGTTTAGATAGCCGAGAACAACAATACTAGAGTTTAGGATACCGCGATAGAGCTTAATACTACGAATAAAGGAACTAAAAAAAGCGAGGAGATACTATACGTCGATCTAGTAACAGGTATAGTCTTAGGGCCTAACGCTATAGACGATAAGCGCTAGGAGTAGATCGAGTATAGTTAAAGAGACGAGATACTAGTAAAGGGCTAAGGCATAAGTCCTATTAATTTAGAAAATTATAGTTAAAGCTACTACGAAAAGCTAGCAAGGATTAGAATCGAGACTAGTCGTCTTTATATCCTCGATATAGAGTAGAAGTTTCTTTATTAGTATTAGAGCGAAGCCTTTACGTCTATAAAGGCAAAGTAGCTTACGATTAATGCGATCGGGGCTAGGTATCTAGGGACGGCAGAAGTGTTACTATAGGAGGAAGGGGTATAGGTAATTATTCTATACTCGGTATATATAGCCGGCGTTCGTAGCCGGTAGATACTAATAGTTAAATAGAAAGCGTTTCTCGAAGGTAGAGTGCTACTACTATATAAAATCTTTACTAAGGTAGAGAGGGCTTATATCCGGAATCTAAGCTACTAGTAGGATAGGTTAGCGTTGGAATTCTCTAAATCTCTATATAAGCCTCCGAAGGATTACCTATTTCAGCGATACAGCTTTATCTCGACTACTCCGTAGGTACCCGAAGAAGCTCGAGCGCTCTTTAAGGTCTTTACTAAGAAGCGGAAGGAGTTCGAGGATTAGGATTAGTTAATAGAGCTGTTAGTTAGTCTTAGGTTTCGTAGTTAGACTCGGCCTAAGCATTTACTTATCGAGTATCTTATACCGAAAGAGGATAGATTAAGACTAAAAACGAGCTTAGATTCGTTAGGTATAGTAGCTCGGTTCCGTTAGTAGGAGAGAGCCGCCGTATAGAAGGCAAAATTTAGGTAGTTAGGGTAGCTAGGAAAGAAATTCTAGTAGTTAGGCTAGCTAGGGTAGCTAGGAAAAAAAATCTAGTAGTTAGGTAGCTAGGAAACAAAAAAAAAAGGTAGCTAGCTATTTACTACCTAGCTATTCCTAACGATACGATACTATAAAAGAAAGGGTGTTTCTCTATAGCTACTAGTATACATCTACTACTCCTAAGTCCTTACCTTACCGTACGAAACCTTAAAACATGCCGACCGACATTGTATATATACTAGGCGCTATACTAGGAAGGGTAACAACGAGACGACAGTCGAAATAGTCTAGTATACGAGCGAGATTACGACAACGTCGAGAGGAGGTCGCATACTTACCTTCGAGCCTATCGAGTCCTAGACTACGATTAGGGCTAGATTTATCCTCTCCGAATCCTAGTAGTAGGAATTTATTATAGGGTACTACTACCTAGTCCTTACCTTTACGGAGTCTAAGTAGAAGGTTGTTCGGAGATATAAGAACATCGAGTATTAACCCGGAAATCTTCGAAAAGGCTAGCTAGGCGTATCTTTAGAAACCCGAGTATATAGAGCAGTTCAATTAATAGGTCTATAAGATATAGTTCCCTTTATACTTACGTTCGAAGGAGTATAAACTCCGGAAGTACTCGATACGATAGAGGAGTAAGGAGCGAACGGACACATTCTAGAAGTTCTTTATAGAGGGGGCATTATACCGTTATACGACTTCTCGACTTAAAGGTTAACTAGTAATTATCTGTAACTTCTACGGTTTAATCTTAAAACACCCGAAACTAGGGGATAGGAACTCATCGCCTACGAACTATCTCTATTCTAAACAGTATCGGGAATCTTAAGGAGAGAGGAGAGTTAATATAGATATAGCGTTCTAGAAAGAGGTATATCTTCTAAAATGCCGGCTATAGCTACCGGCTATAGCTGCCGGCTATAGATTCCGGCTACCTAAATTAACCGTAGAGATCTAGCTAATTATTATAGGCTGCGCTTAAAGAAGCTCTAGGATTGAAGGCTACCGATTTCTCCTCCGAAGACTTTAAGCAACTAGCAAACGAAATGCTAGCTATAAACGGTCTTCCGGAAGACTTCTACGAAAGGGAGTCTATATAGAAGATATATCTATATCTTATAAACTACCCTCCCCTATTTCTCGGCGCGACAACCTAGCGTATTATATTCGAAAAGAACAAAGAGGCTACGTTAGACGATATTCGGGAGATCCTCCGTAATACTCGCCGAGTAGCTATTGCTATCGATAGCTAGTTAAGCCGGACTATAAGAGCCTCCTTCCTCTCGATTATGCTATACTTTATTAATTCGGATTAGAAACTCTAGGAACTTATAATCGGATTCCCTGAAATTCTAGGTTCCTATACTAGTAAGGATATAGCGAAGCTTATCTATACGGTAATAGATAGGGTTAGCGTAATAACGAAACTGATCTCGATTACTACGGACAACGCTAGTAATAATCGAACATTGTATAAGGCGTTATATATACAATTCACTCGTATATGTCTTTAAAATTACTAATTATATCGATAGGGTCGAGTACGTAGAGGAGATTATAAGGTCTACAATCTAGCTTAATCTTCCGAATATTAAGCTCGCTACGATTCCGGATACGTACGACAATACGCACGATAATAACGATAAAGAGGAGCCTATTAATAGCCCTAGCCCTATTAAATCGGAGCCGACGTCGTTGCTAGTTGCATCCCTATAGAAGTTTCCCTACCTCGCTTATATAGTTCAAATCGCGATCCGAGCCCTCTTTAAGACGCTTAAAATTGCACTATTAAACGACGACTAATAGAAGATCCTAGATAAGGATAAAGCAAAGTCGAAAGTCGAGGAACTTATTATAGCAATAAGACGGGATAAGGTAGAGAGCCTCGCTCTTGTTTTATATAAGGTATAACTTTTGTCCGTAGCCGGTACCTATAGTCGGCAACCTAGTATAGTTCTAACTCTTTTTCTCTAGCTTCGTCGTCTAGCAATATATACGAACTCGAGCTTATAGAGATATAACCGATTCGAGGCTATTTAAAAGAACCTAATCGAGCGCCCTAAAACCGATGCCTAGAATATCGTATAGAATAAGCGATAGCAAAAGCGGCCTCCTTAGCGCCTACTCCGTTTTACCTAAGACGTTAAGACCCGGTTCGATTCGACTTTCTATATAGTTACGAGGGGATATACTTTACGTACCGCTCTCGAGATCTATTAGAGTTCCGAGGGTATTAAGTAGCTCGGCCTTACCGCCGCCGAATAGCGCTAAGTAGAGTATCTCGTCGATATTAGTAAGCATTACGCGAAGGTTACTACTACGATTAGAAGAACCTAAGGACCGACGATCTACCTTGTCTTTGCGTACTATAACTAGCTCTTTAACGAGCTCGAGGAAACCGTAGCTAAGCTAGCTAAGAAGAGCGTTCCCTAGAAAGTAGCTATAACGAAAGCTATAGACACCTCCTATACTAAGTTGTATAAATATTATAGTACTACCTTTAACTCGTTCGGGGATATCTATAGCGTTGCGTACTTACTTAACCCGGTAGAAAAGGATATATACTAGTAGAGGCTAGAATAGAAGGCGGACGAGGTATAGCCGAAGCATTACTAGACTATTCTAGAAAAGATGTTCTACGAGCGTCGGAAAGAAACTAGTCTAAATACAGCTCCTATAAAGAAAAAGAAGGTTTAGAAGGCTCCGACATTATACCTATTTCGTAGGTAGGAAGTAGAGGCAGAAGAGGAAGCAACTACTAAAGTAAATAAAGAAGAGTTCGATTTCTATCGGCGCGCGAGTAAGTATAAACCCGTAGGCTCGGAAAGAGGGCTAATAATCTCTAGATCTTACCGGTCTTCTAGACGAATTCGGAGACGATATTCTCGCTATATAGCAGCGGTTAGAGCCTAAGTTTCTAACGATAGCGTCGGTCGCTCGGGACGTCCTCGCTATCCCGAGCGTAGGTATAGGCTATAAGAGGTCTTTTAGTATCGCTTGTTACTAGGGCCGCTTTAATCGAATATACTCGCCTACTACCTTCGAATCTATTATAGTATTCCGATACTATCTCCTCTACTAGAATCGCTAAGGTAGGTTACTAAAGATTATACTAAAGGAGTTAATCGAGGAATTAGAAAACCTTAAGATCGAAGAAACCTAGGAGCGCGAAGAGAATGCGAAATTTAGTCTAAGCGAAACCCTAATTAGCGATAACGAAGAGGAGGAGGGCGGAGGTAGAAGGCGATACCGGGTCGAGAAGCGGAAATATATATAGGCTTAGAGCAGCTTTAAGGAGACGAAGCGTTTACGTATAAGGTAATATAGCCGGCGTATATAGCCGGTATATGTCCGAAATGTGTTTCGAATTCCTAGGACCTAAACAGACTAGTTGCTATAGCAACCGACCCCGCTTACCTATAGACTATTTCTAATTCTCTATTCGCTCTTCCTCTCCTTCTTCCCTTTCCCTATATTCTTAAAGACAAACATGCCTTAAGGATTCGGCTCTTCGGGCCTTCCTAAGCCGGCTACCTCCCCTTCCTTAAGCTACTATCCTTTATTCGAATCTAACGATAACCTAATAAGGCGGTTTAATAGAAGACTATTTATTCTAGAAGGCAAGAAGTATTAATGTCTCCTTACGATTATATGCTTATTAATTTCTAGGTCCTACCGATATGCCCTCGTCGCCTAAACGCGTAGATAAATATCTTTAGAGGCTAAAGGGTAAGGGTAAAGCAAGCTAAGTATAGAGAGACCGTAGCGAGAACGAGATATCGGAAGAGCAAGGCTCTCCGTAGTATATACGAAGGAAGGGGGTTCCTCGGAAAATAGTACCGAAAAACAAGAAGGCTATAGGTAGATAGGAGAAGGCTAAAAAGAGTAGGCGGACAAAGACTATCGCGAAGAAAAGTTATCTTTCTATTAAAAGAAAGGGAATAAGGTAGGACTCGACGATAAAGAAGCGGCGCTTTAAACTAGGTACTATTGCCCTTCGCTAGATCCGGCTTTTCTAAAACAAAAGAGGGACCGAGCTTTTAATCCCTAAGACTCCCTTCTAGCGACTCGTCCGAGAAATTATATTAGATTTTCGGTCTAGTATACGATTTACGGCTAAGGCGATTAGTACTCTTTAGGAAGCTACGGAGGCATTTCTCGTAACCGAGCTTAAGCTTTTAAACCTCCTTACTATCTATACGAAGCGGGTTACTCTTTAAAATAAAGATATACAGCTTCTAGCTAAAATTCGGCGTCGGTTTATAGCGGATTAGTTAGAAATTGTATTTAGTCGTTAGATTAACCTAGGAGGAGGCCTATTTTCGCATCGTTTTACCGGCTATAGGTGCCGGCTATATTTCTGATTTTATCTCCGCGCCGTCCCTAAATCTAAGGTACGAAGTAGAAACCTAGCGCTCTATATTTATCCGGCTATTATAGAGACGAGCTACATTTAGATTAGTTTCTTCGTATATCGCGACCTAGCGGGTAGTAAGCGAAAGGGCGATAGAACGTTTATAATATGTCTCTATTTAGACCTAAAATACAAAGGTCCTAAGGAGCCCTAGTATCCTAACTATAAGGAGATTCTTTAGTATTAGTACTTTAATCCTCTATACTACGAGGCAGATAGTAAGCCTACGAGAGAGAAACTTTAACGAGAAATTCTCTATAATGCGTAGCGCTATTGTATAGCTATAGATGCGTACTAAGTCCGGTAACTCGAAGAAGAATTAAGACAGCGTATTAGCGACCGAGGAGGAGATCGATAGTATACTAGTAGAGTCGAGGTCTTATAAGCGAAGCATAAGATAATATAGGCTCTTAGTCGTATAGAGTAACGTACTATATAAATAACTAGGCGTACTACTCTTATTCACTTACGACCTATATCCTAGGATGCTCTTCTCGTACTTTTTATACTCTTTTCTAATACCTTACCTATAAGCGCTCCGCGATAACCGAGTAAATATAAGCTATCGGGTTTCCGCTCGGTACCTTAGCCTTCGAGATACGGCGGAGTTGATTCTCTATAATACGTAGCGCTATTATATAGCTATAGATACGCACTAAGTCCGGCAACTCGAAGAAGAATTAAGACAGCGTATTAGCGACCGAGGAGGAGATCGATAGTATACTAGTAGAGTCGAGGTCTTATAAGCGAAGTACAAGATAATATAGGCTCTTAGTCGTATAGAGTAACGTACTATATAAATAACTAGGCGTGCTACTCTTATTCACTTACGACCTATATCCTAGGATACTCTTCTCGTACTTTTTATACTCTTTTCTAATACCTTACCTATAAGCGCTCCGCGACAACCGAGTGAATATAAGCTATAGGGTTTCCGCTCGGTACCTTAGCCTCCGAGATAGGGCGGAGTTAAATTTAGAGCGATAGTCAGCACCCGTAGCCGGTATATAGAGACGGTAGTAGGCCTTTTTCTACTAAATAACTAGCTTGTTTAGTATAGCCTACCTAATATTTCTTATATTTACTAGCAATAGGCCTAGGTTACTTATAAGATTACTATAGCTAGTAAAGGCATTACTAAAGAATATCTATACTATAGTAGGATACTATTATTACGCCGGCTATTTATTAAAAGGAGGCTTTCGCCTATTACTATACCGGCTACATATGCCGGCTATATTTCAAAGTCTGCCGTACCTACCTTTTTTAGCCGTGCCTGCCTTCTTTCCTTGCTCTAACGTTACTATAATATAGGCTTACGCGAAGCTTACTCTATTACCTAGCGATACCGCGATACTACCTCTCTCGCTATATTCAACCTTCGTATCGATACCTATACCTCTACGCTCTATATCTACTACCTCCGTAATACCTTCGCTCCGCGCGCGCCTTCGTATACCTTCGTAACGCACTTTTTTCCTCAATTCGACGACTTTTATAATAGCGAATCTACTTAACTAAGTTACGACGCCTCGTAAGAAGGGACCTACTACTTCTACGGGTCGTAACAAGATCGGAAATAAAGGAACGAGTATAGTATATTAACGTAAGATAGCTACTACTACTACCGCTAGCTCCGGTGCTAGAAAGGGCGTCGCGAGTAAGGCTCCGCGTAAGACAACGGCGGGCAAGGCTCTACGTAAGACGACAACTAGCGCTTCTACTACTAGTAGCAATCGTACGAAGCGTCGATAGCGCCTAGGAAGTAAGTCCTATTTGTAGCCGGCAGCGTAGCCGGCAGCGTAGCCGGTAGCGTAGCCGGTAGCGTAGCCGGCATTCTTACTGTCTTTTTACTAATCCTTCTTTAGCCGTAGCCCTCCGTAAGATTCGGTAGTATTAGAAGAGTTCTAAGCTCCTAATCCGCAAAACTCCTTTCTAACGACTTATTCGCGAAATTGCCTAGGATTATAGAATAGACCTTCGCTTCTAAGCCTCCGCGATAGGCGCCCTTTAAGAGGCTATAGAAGCCTACTTAGTTCGTATCTTCGAATGTATGTTTCTCTTCTACCTCTTTTCGGACTATACTAATACTATTTTAGCGGTTAACCTTATAGCTATCTACGCGAAGCGTATAACGATTATAGACAAGGATTTCAAAGCACTCGATTAGATCCTAAAAGGCTAGAATGTCTACATTCGAGATAGTACTAGATAGGATAGATATACTAGTAGGAAGGATGTTCGTAGTGTCGTCTATAAGCTTTTCTATATACGAAATAAGCCGCTATTATACGGCGCTATATACCGCGCTCTGAATACTCTCTAAGTATATATATATAGTATAGTATACTTTATTAGCCGTACGGAATAGAAGTCTCCTAAAATCCTATTAGTACTAAGGAGTAAAAAGGCCGGCTACGCTGCCGGCTACGCTGCCGGCTACGCTGCTAGCTACGCTACTAGGTTTTTTAAAGAACTAAAAGAAGATAGACATTCCGGTTAATTTGTATTAGTTTAGATTTTTATAAAAAGAAAATAGGGAAAAATAAGGAAGGTTAAAGAGCCTAATAGTTATAGTTATAGGCACTATCCCTATTTTCTAGAGCATATTATATACCTGCCTTCGTAACTCTACCTAATACTCCCTCTAAATATCCTTATACTCTACCTACTAGAAATTCAACTAGGTACCTAGACCTGTAGCTGCCTCTATATCTTTTACTATCTTCTATAGGTTAAAGGCCTCTTCTATAGCAGCCTCTACCTCCTTATATAATACGAAGTTACTACCTGCCCTACCCTTTATATCTCCTAAATAACTAAGAGTTCTAAGGAACGAACTAGCATTCGGCCTTAGTATAGCGAGTAACTAGTAGAACGTTCTATAGAGCTGCCTTATAGCTCTTTTATATACTATACCGATACCGAGGGAGGAGCTATCCTAGTACTTAATATTGTCGAATAGTTCGGTAGGAAAGTGTATAAACTTCTTAAGGAGGAGGACTTCTAGGGAAATCGATAAGTTCTACCTAGATCTAGATAAAGACATTCTACTAAGCAGTTAGGGAATTGAACCGTAAACGAAAGGATGAAATTTATACCTAAGGAGTGCAGTTTCCGAACTAAACTATAATGCCTTATATATATATATATGCTTTTGATTAGTTAGTGCCCTTAGCTGATTGTCTATAGATTTAAGGTTATATAAGTACCTTTATATAACTACGTAGCCTAAGTAGGATTCGAAAATTCTATAAGTACTAAGGACTAAAAATACTAGCTACGCTGCCGGCTACACTGCTAAGTCTTACAAAGGGCTTGCTTAAAGCTACGTATACATTCGTACACTTCTTAAAAACCGATAAATTATATAGTTCGAACTAGCTACTTATATAGTTGCTTAGTAAACTAACCTAAACTAAACTAGAGTTTCGGCTTAGTAAACTAAACCAAACCAACCCGAACTACTGCGGGGTCTACGACTAACTATCTTTTTATATAGTAACTATACTATAAACTATACCTATCGAAAGTACTCGTCCTCCTCGCCCTTCGTCTATCGATTTCCTCGTTATTATACCGCCTATACCGCTATCGACATTATATATACTACTAGAAGCTATATAGTCTACTGCACGACCTTAATAATTATTATATAGCAAGAGGTAGAAGATAGAAATGTAGCTGCCGAGCCGCTAGCCGCGGAGGCTTAATATATAGGTCTTAATACCTAGTATTGTCTAATAGATAACCGGTTATAAGGCGCTATAACCTGAGCCGTTTATGAGGTTATTATAATCTCTTAGGTTGCGCTATAACCTGTTGCAAGTAGACAGGGCCTGAGGAAGAAGGGAAGGTAGTTCTAGAGAAGTTTGGAGTTGCAGGATCGATCCGGCTTGGCAGAGAGCAAGCGTGCTGACAGCCTTCCTCCGCATCATCGGTCACTCTGCTGCGGCAGCCGTTCCGTGCCTTGACACGAGCAAGCATGAAACTCACTCACTTCATCTAGTCATCCCCGGGGGCCTCATTGCCGTGTTGAGATCGAGCACATCCAACAGGCCTGCCGAACGTGATCAATATCAATCAGGCTGCGACGCTCCAATGCATCAAAAGTAGTACGGTCGTTGTATACTAGCGGATAAGGTAGCGTAGGCTAGGCTTCGGCATACCAGGATTCTCCACATCGACTAGCACCCTGGTAGTGTGCAGTTCGGGAGTAGGCTGATTGTGGCGGACAAAGAAGGAATCCGCTTCTCGGTGGAAGAATGTGAAGAGTCCACAGAGTTGGATGGAATGTCCACGTCGTGGGAACGCCATATCGATAAGATTGTGCTGAGACAAAGCGAGACGGCCCACATTCTTGAGAATGCTGAAGCCAGATTGGATATAAAGCACGCAATCGACTTGCGGTCCAATCACATGCAGCATTAGTAAGGATTGTGAGTGAAAAGCCGACGAAATTTGTGCCGATCCCGCTCTCGGGAGTGTGGGTGTAGTACTGCATCTCCGCCACCTCGACTTGGACTGCTACTGCACCTCCATACAACTTCTTCTTCTGCTGAGCATGCAATAACAACTTCTGTCCACTCACCCCACGACATGGCGAAAGTCCTGACTGCAGGCGAGGCAGGTAAGCCCGCTCCCATGCCCCGCCATCACCATCACGAGAGCAGCCTCTTCCATGCGGCGTGCCGGCCGACGACCCAGCCGACGACAGTGACAGTCATGTACATATTGACCATGCCTGATTGTAGTCGCCCGCATCGCCTACCTCTCCTCCGACGCCATTGTATCCGTCCAGCCCTCCCTCGCCCAACCCTCCGAATTCTCCAAATTCCTCAAGCAGTATGCGGGCAACAAAGCCTCCAGCATAATCTGCCCGACTGTGCCCGACGTCTTTCCAGTCCGCCACGATAATGACCCGTTACTCGACGTATACTCGAGAGTGCGAAGTGGGAACATTACAACCGTTACCACAAGCAGCGATGTGCTGCTCAGAAGTATCCCGCACCTGTACCGCTTGGCCCAGTATCCCGTAGTCATCCACGTCAGTCTCCACCCGAGTGGATATCCAGACTATGGCGATATCACGAGCATCCGAAATACTGGCTTCTCGTTCCTTCAGAGTACTACTCTGCAGGAGGCCCAGGATCTCGCAATTACAGCACATGCCCTGGCCATCAGGTCGGGCAAGGGAGTGGTACATTTCTTTGATGTCGCAAACACCACGCAGGACCAGCCCATCGCCGGCGAAAGCCGCGAGCTGGTGGCCGAAGTTTTGAATGTGGGTGCTGCAAAGCAAATCCGGGCGACGAAGAGCGAGGAGACTGGTATCTATGTCAACGAGCATCTTGCACCCAAGGTCAGCGGTCTTGAGTTGCGTGGGAAGGCAGCATCAGCCACAAAAGACGCTGTTACAAACGCTGAGTCCGGAGCCCAGGATGCTTCTTCGCCATCCTCTTCTTCGTCAGAGCGGAAGAATAGCAGTTCCGGCGCGTCTGAGGCAGAATCAGCCACTACTGTTGATACGCAGCCGAAGCCGGTGAGATCGGAGGAAATTGATACAATCTGTGCCAGCATCTGGGAACAAATAGAGGCCAGAACTGGACGAAAGTACAGCGCTTTCAATTACACTGGACCACCAAACGCCGAGAATGTGCTCTTCCTGTTTGGAAGTGACCCAGGACTTTTCAGCGCCGAGTTTGACGCGGCTTCCAAGGCCGACTTCTTCGCTGGAGTAGGCTTAATCACACCTGTTCTGTACAGACCTTGGCTTTCAGAGCGACTCGCGAGCAGTCTGCCAAAGTCCGTCAAGAGAATAGCGGTTCTCGAGCAGATCAAGAGGAAGACCACAAAATGGGGCCCGATCCTGTTGGATCTGCTGATGTCCCTCAAAGCAGGCGCTTCAGGTGCATCGCCACTCATTGTTGGTTATCAGCTGGGATACATTGAGTACACGACAGTCACACAGGCTCTGAGCGGCATCTTCCAGAACCTCATCTCCAAGAGCCCCATTCAGAATCTTGGAATCGGTGCCCACGACGGTCCAGCCAAGCCGGAACTGCAGGTGAAGCAGCCTGCATTGGAGAATGCATACATGAAGATCTTGGATCAGCTCTTTGGGCAACGACTGTACATTGCGAATGCTCTCAAGTCGAGCAACGCTGGCATTAACGATACGATCAAAGCCAGTCCAGAGTTTGGCTTCGGTTCACTTCTGGCCAGGAAAGAGCACAGGAAGCGATTTGTCTCTGAAGTTCAGGCAGCGGCCAAGAGCAGAGACTTTGCGACAGACGCCCCTCTCAAGTGGCTGTCTCAGTGGGCTTTGGAGGCAGAGAATGCCGACAAGGCCAACAAGCTTGCTCCAGAGGTCCTGTCCCGTCTGCAGCATGACGGCTCGCCAGCTGCTGCCAAGCTGCTCCGCTCAAAGGGACTTTTCTTCCAGGAATCTCAATGGCTTGTTGGCAGCGATGCTTGGGCATACGACCTAGGCAACAGCGGTGTTCACCACGTCCTTGCAAGCGGCGAGAACATCAACATGCTGATCATCGACTCGACACCATACAGCGAGCGTGCAGCTGCCGATGCCGCACGGAGAAAGAAGGATATCGGACTATACGCCATGAACTTCGGCAATGCATACGTGGCCAGCACAGCTGTCTACAGCAGCTACACTCAAGTGCTGCAGGCGATGATGGAGGCCGAGTCTTTCAATGGTCCCTCCGTCCTTCTTGCCTACCTGCCTTACAACCACGAAAACGACAATCCAATTACCGTGCTCCAAGAGACCAAAAAGGCTGTCGACCTCGGTTACTGGCCACTGTATAGATGGGATCCCAAGGCTGAGGATCGCGGTGAGGAGACATTCAAGCTGGACTCCGAACGCATCAAGGAGGAGCTCAAGGAGTTCTTGAGGAGAGACAACTACCTGACGCAGCTCATGAGGCGCCACCCACAGTTCCACGCAAACCTGTCGGAGTCGTATGGCTCGGAAGTCCGCAAGGTGCAGAAGCGCAAGGCCAAGGATGCATATGAGGCTCTACTTGAGGGTCTTCAAGGAGCTCCCATGACAGTCCTGTTCGCCTCCGACAATGGTAATGCCGAGAGTCTCGCCAAGAGACTGGCAAACCGCGGCAAGGCTCGTGGCCTGAAGACTATGGTGATGGCCATGGACGACTACCCGCTCGAGGATCTGGGAAATGAGGAAAATGTCGTCCTCATCTCGTCAACTGCCGGTCAAGGAGAGTTTCCACAGAATGGCCGCAATTTCTGGGAAGGTGTCAAGAACTCGACCGACCTGGATCTTGCAGGTGTCAAGTATGCAGTCTTCGCGCTCGGCGACTCGCACTACTGGCCACGCAAGGAGGACAAGCACTACTACAACAAGCCTGGCAAGGACCTTCACGCACGTCTCGCTGCACTGGGCGCCGAGCAGCTGGTTGACTGCGGTCTTGGTGATGATCAAGATCCTGATGCATACCAAACTGGCTACCAGGAGTGGGAGCCCAAGCTCTGGGATGCCCTCGGCGTGGGCAATGTCCAAGGCCTTCCAGAGGAGCCACCGCCAATGACCAACGAAGATATCAAGATCCAGTCCAACTACCTTCGCGGAACCATTGTGGAAGGTCTTGAGGATCAGTCGACCGGTGCGATCAGTGCCGCCGATCAGCAGCTCACCAAATTCCACGGTACATACATGCAAGATGACCGTGACCTGCGTGATGAGCGCAAGGCACAGGGTCTTGAGCCTGCCTACAGCTTCATGATTCGATGCAGGCTCCCCGGTGGTGTCGCGGCCCCAAAGCAATGGGTGCAGATGGACGACATTGCCTCAAGCTTGGGCAACGAGACAATGAAGCTGACCACTCGACAGACGTTCCAGTTCCACGGTGTCGTGAAGGCGAAGCTGAAGCCTGCTATGCAGGCCATCAACCGGTCCCTTATGACAACCATCGCAGCTTGCGGCGATGTCAACCGAAACGTCATGTGCTCGTCGCTGCCTACCATGAGCAACCTGCACAAGGAGGCACATGCTGTCGCCCAGCGCATTTCAGACCACCTCCTCCCAAGCACCACCGCGTACCACGAAATCTGGCTCAAGGGTATGGATGGCGAGAAGGATACCCAGGTTGGCGGTGGCGCTGTCCAGGACTTCGAGCCTCTCTACGGACCAACTTACCTGCCACGAAAGTTCAAGATCACCATTGCCGTTCCTCCGCACAACGATACTGATGTTTACGCCCACGATATCGGTCTAATCGCGATTCGCGACTCCAATGGCGGCTTGAAGGGCTTCAATATTCTCGCTGGTGGTGGTATGGGTGCTACTCACAACATGAAGAAGACCTACCCCCAGATTGGCCGCATGTTCGGATATGTGGACAAGGATGAAGCACACATCGTCTGCGAGAAGATCATGCTGGTTCAGCGCGACAACGGCGACCGCAAGAACCGCAAGCACGCTCGTCTGAAGTATACCATCGACGATATGAGTGTCGAGGTCTTCCGCGCCGAAGTTGAGAAGCTGTGGGGAAAGACCTTCCAGGAACCACAACCCTTCAAGTTTGAGTCGAATGTTGACAGCTTCGGCTGGCTGAAGGACGAGAATGGACTGAACCACTTCACCATGTTCATCGAGAACGGTCGTATCGAGGACACTGCCGACTTTAAGATGAAGACTGGGCTTCGCGAGATCGCCCAGCACCACAAGGGTGAGTTCCGACTTACTGGTAACCAGCACTTGATCCTCTCCAACGTCACGGATGAAGATTTGCCAAAGATGAAGGAGTTGCTTGCCAAGTACAAGCTCGACAACACCAACTTCTCCGGTCTCCGACTCTCCTCGTCGGCTTGTGTTGCATTCCCAACCTGTGGTCTCGCCATGGCTGAGTCGGAGCGCTACCTTCCAGAGCTCATTACCAAGCTCGAAGGAACTCTCGAGGAGAACGGCCTTGCTCAGAGCAGTATTGTCATGCGTATGACCGGTTGTCCCAATGGCTGTGCACGACCGTGGTTGGCCGAGGTCGCTTTTGTCGGCAAAGCTTTTGGTGCTTACAACATGTACCTCGGAGGTGGATACCATGGCAACCGCCTCAACAAGCTGTACCGAAGTAGCATCAAGGAGGACGAGATTTTGGCTATCATGAAGCCTTTGCTCAAGAGATACTCGCTTGAACGCAAGGATGGCGAGCGTTTTGGTGACTTTGTGATTCGCGCTGGTGTTATTGTTGAGACTAAGGAGGGTCGCGATTTCCATGATAATGTGAGTGCCACCATCACTTAAGAAGTACACTTTGACACGATACTGACGATTCTACAGACTGCCGAAGTCGAAGAGGACGACGAGTAATAACTTCTGAATTCGTCATTTCAGCATCGCTGGGTTGAGGGTGCATAGCATAGCATAGCATAGCGTTGGCGTTGGGGTGCGTGCATATCTGGATTGCCGCTGCAGTCTGGTTCCATTTATTCCTACCGAAAAGCATTGAGAACTTGTACATATGGTTGCGATGTAACATGAATAGTCTCAAATTGAAGCTAAGCCTCATGTTAAGTGTTCACGAGATATGGGTTTAACGCTTCCTTAGCCCGATTAATTACGAATGCTAATGTCTTTAGCTAGATACGGCCTACGGGTACTTTCTCGGATGTTCCGGTAAGGTCTTTAGGTTATAATTAGACACTTGTATATAAGACGCGATTATCGCGGTATTACTTTTATATATACTATAAACGCGCTAAGAAAACTATTAAACTATATAACTTTATATAGTATAGGCAACTTATTTTCGACTCGAGCTTTACTTCTTACTTAGATTAGATAATACTCTTACTTGTTATTATTATAAAATTAAATAAGTTTAAGAAAAGTTATAAAACTACTACTACTACTCTTTATTAAATATTCTTTAAAGTACTAGAAAGTATAGTATAAGAGAAGAGGAAGAAATAGAAGAAAAAGCGTTTACTATCTATACTTAGCTATCTCTCGCCTATCTTATATAAAGTATATTATAACTTATAAGAAATCTTCGACTTTATTTAGTACTATATCTATACTCTACTAATACTACTACTTATAACCTCGACGATCCCTATTCCCCTTCCTTTTCTTTATCTCTTATATATAATCCCGCTCGCTATATTTTAAAACTTTCTTTTATAACTTCGCTTCGTCTTATAGAAATAGCTCTTTATACTTAAGCTAACTTCGTATAAGAAGTAGTTTTATAAGAAGTTAAACGAGATTCTTCTTTTTTTTTAATAGTAAATATACTAAATTTTTTAATTTAGGAGGTAGGAGGTAGATAGGTTTAGAGATAGGAGGGGGGATTAGAGGTTAATAGTAAGTATAGAATAGGATAGAATATAATATTTAATATTTTTTTTAGGAAAGGAGGATATAGAATTAAATACTAATAATATAGGTTTTCTAGAGAGTTTATTAGTTTAGATTAGAAGGGGAGTTAGGGATAGGGATAGGGATAGGATAATTAGGTAGGTAGAGGAAGGGAGAGATATTAGTAAACTTAAATAGGATTCGAATTCTATAAGATTATAGAAAGAGAGAGAAAGAGAGAGTTACTTATAAGTAAGTAAATTTTAGAGATATAAGAAAGATACTCGATTAGTTTCGGCGTAGGAATTTAGCTATTAATAAAACCGTAGATTTACTATCTTTATAGGTACTAGGAAACTTAAATCTAACGCGCTATCCTATTATATAAAACGAATACTACTTTAATAATAAAGTACCTATTCTACTTATTAGCCTATTGCCTAGACTTGAATTTCTCTATCTAAATAAACTATATCTATAGTATTAGTAGTAGGCTCTTCTTATACCTTCTTATAAAAGATAGTAGTAAATACTTAGAGAGATATAGGCCCTCTTATAATCGTAGCTTAGATAGATTCTCTACAAAGTTTACACTTCTTATAAGTAGTCCTAACAAGGGATAGCGATAAAATCATAAGAGCACCAAATGTTAATTCTAGCCCGAGGCTCGAAGAGGCAGGGTTCAGGTCGCTCACATGCAAGAGCTCGGACCACATCAGCGCTTGCCCGGTGCCGGCCGTGTATTTAAACCTCGATTTCTGCTCCAGCTTTCTCGGCTTCGACACTTGACATCCAGCATCCGTCGGAGTGGGCTACACGCGATGTCGTATCCCAAATTCAGACGGCCAAAGTCGGCCTTGATCACACAAAATTCGCCAATCAGCGCCGAAGAACTCCGCGAAGGACTCGCTACGCTTCCACAAGAGTTGTACGACAACATCTACGACCTGACATTCACTGCGGCCGATGGGGTTAGAGACCTCGGTGAGATCGAGTCTAGTCAAGAAAGCAGATTTCATTTCGCACGACTTCGATTCGCACATCGCAATTTTAGGCCATCTGCCGTCGAAGTCTTTCGCGAAGATCCAGGAGCACCTTTCACCGGGAAAGACAGTCGCACGCTGCTCCAAGTCGATCGCGCAAGTCGCCGGAAATTCGCGGCGTCCTATTACGGCGGAGTCTTTTTGGCGCGAAACAGATTGACGGCGGTGACGTGGCTTAGGTCAGTCTCTCTACAACACAGAGCACTCGTGCGGGAGATGTGGGTGATGGATTCTTTCCTCCAAAGCAGCAGAGGTCCCTCTCGGCGAGACGGCGGCTTTAGACGAGTGCAATACATTCGCTTTGGTCCTCCTGAGCAGGTGAGTGTGGGAGCTCTCTTTCCAACACTTCAATAACTAATGGATGCCGCAGATCGAACTTCAATTTGGCCACAGGCATCCAGGACTTCAGTTGCCGCCTCAGTACAGCTTGGAAAGTGCTCGGAGGATGAGGCCAGAAATAGAGGCCATGGTGTTAGAAATGTTGCGATCAGGAAGCGAGTGGAGCGATCATCGGGCACCCCGTCGCCAACGAGCACGGATCTTGGGGGAGTAGAGGTGGCCAAGGCCAAGGCGTGATAGCTGGGAGGAACAAAGTGAAGCACTTCTGGAAATGTGTCTTGAAGGGCGCTGTTCATTCCGAATGGCCGTGTAATGCTAGTCAAGGAGCAAGAGTTCGTTGCTAGATGTCTGCGATGGCCGTCGTTCGAGGGATTCGATTAATGGTCTCGCATCCAGGGGAGAATCTGCGACTGGCCAAGTGGTGGAAAGATGCTGTGACTGTGCTTCTCCCCCATCTCTTCCACTTCTAGTGCACGTGAAAGTAGAGGCGCGTTCTTGCCTGCGCACGGTTGCCAGCCGTTCCGTTCCGCATGTCTTGCCGCTGAAAGCTCACTTTCGGGCGAGACTATTCGAGAATCCACTCCGGTTATTCGAGAATCTACGGACCTAGGGCCGCTCCGGTCTCGGTGAGACTATATTGTTAGTAATCCACACTGTAGAACATCGCATAGTGACTTCTGATGCCTATACTAGCTGCTTAGTAGAATAATAACGTAGGATAGAAGAATTAAGTAAATAATAGACGTAGAATTCGATACTATAGCTAATCCTAACTATTCTAGGCATACTGCCTGCCTAGCAAATAAGGTTCTACGACCCTCGTATTAACGTATAGCTCCTACTATACAATCTCAGTATAACCTAGTATACCTACTAGCGCTATAGGTACTAGTAGAGCCCTCGGAGCGGGCGGAGGTCCTTCCTAAGTAGGTAAATAAGTATAAGTAGATACAGGGTTTCTATCGCACTGCCTATACTTGTAACAGCTAGAGTAGCAGTCTACGTTATCTTTAACGCACTTGCACCTCCTATAGGCCGTTTTATATATACAGCCCTTACGTAAACGTTCTCGTAGTGCTAGTAGCGGTAGAATAGGCCTCCCCGGCTCGGCCTGTCTTATCGCTTCTTGCTAGTCTATAGCCTTAGCGGCTTGTTTAATAAGCTTAGGTCTAGTCGTAACACGTCGAGTCGTACGAGCTAGTCGGTTGTTAATCCGCTTTAGTAGCTCTAAGGTACGGTAAGTAGTTGTCTCGTTGCTATTATAATTACTCCTTAGCACTCGCTAGTGCTTCTTAAACATACGAATAGTGAGAATGCCGGTTACAAACTCCTTAAGTGCTAGTATCTAGTATATATAATTCAAGCTATAAACCCTCCGATAATACTAGGTACAATCTAGCGGTAAATAGTCGCTAGTAGAAGACTTCTTCTTCTTAATCTCGGCGCGTATAAGTGCCCTTCTCTCGGCTACTTTACGTAGAGCGAAGGTACTAATATACCTAACAACTTATATATATAATAGGTCGTTTGCGAACACCGTTACTAGTCGTATAATCTCGAGTCTAATTATTGCCCTATAGCGGTTAACTTAGTGCTAGAAATAGGGCACTATACGGTTAACAAAGCTATAGATATCGTTCCTATAGGTTGTTAACTAAGCCTTAATACTAGTATAGCAACCTTCGATAGGCGACGTCGTTATATTGCTAAAATAGCGTGTTCTGTCGATCTAGTATTTAATATACTGTTCTCGATAGATCTACTAGGTATCCGCGACGTATTAAGCTAGTCTATGCTATACCTCGTTGTCCGAGTAGTTACGAGCTAGTTTACTATTGCTAGCGGCAATCTTGCCCTCCTTAAGACGCCTACAGTTGCTAGTAAACGAGTTAATAGACTAAGAGCCGATAGCGGCGTTAAATAGGTCTATAAAGTCCTATGCCGCTAGACTTAATAGCCTACGCTTTGTCGATAGATTAGGTGGTCTAGTACTAAGGAAGGCCTTCGCATTAGCTTCTACTGCGCGTCTAATATGCTAGCGGCAGAGCTAAGTACGCAGGTAAAGCTAGTCGCTTGCTAGGGCCTTTATTAATGCCCTATTACGGTCGTAGATAATAAGGCGAGGCTCTTCTACGCTATATTCCGATAGTAACTCCTACGTGCAGCTAATATCGATAGAATACTATTTAGTAGCCTATCTAGGTATAAACATTAGCGCTAAAGGGAAGGTCTAGTTGAATTAGTTAAGTAAGGCGATTACAAGTAGCGGCATACTATAATCGTTAGTCTTGTAGGTGCAATCTATAACTATAATATCCGGGCAATTCTTATATATATTAATTATCTTAGGGTGCGAGAAATACAGCTATTCTAACCGTTACTTACCGCTTAGTCTAGTACCGACAGCCTTCTATACGAAGTAGTTCTATTATAGGAGGTCCTTAATCGTCTTATCGACTACTAATTTGCTAGCGAGTCGCAACTTCTTAGCCTTTTGCTAGGCATTTAAGATGTCTCGTAAAGTAGCGGGTACAATAGGCGATTGCTAGTCTCTACTACTACTACTAAAACGGAGCTTAATAGCGGCCTTAATCTGTCGATTAGTAACGCCTATAGACCTTAACTGCAATATAGCCTTAACAACCTCTGTCGTACGAGCTCGGCGGCGGTAATTAGCTAGCGCTATTAGATAGACTGCTAGATAGTTGTAGTTAGAGCTATTAAATATAAGAGACTAGGTGCTATTGTCGGGGTCCTTCTAGTCGTCCGCAGTAAGGGCTATAGACTAAGGGTAATTACACTTCTTCGAGCGGCCCTTACGAGCCTTAGCAGTAGGATAAAGAAGCCTTCTCTCGTTACGCTTCTTCCTTACCGTCTCGCGCGATGCCGGTATTAAATACTTAGCGTAGCGTAGTAAGAAAGTCTAGTAAGTATAGTCCTTATTGCGCTTATAGCCGGTCCTTCTAAGCTTAAACCCCTTCTCTAATGCGAATAGGTCTATATAGTCCTCGGCTGCTATAATACTATTAAACACCTAGTTTTCGGGGTTCTCGATAGTTACGTACGATCTAGGTTTATATACCTCTGCTTCTAACTTAGACTAGTTACTATATTCGTCGTTGTTACTAAAGTTATAGGCTAGTTATTAAGAAGACTCGATTTCTACCGAAGGAGGGCATTGTTCCTATTGCTAACTAACCCCGCTTTCCCCGTTGTTACTATTACTACTACTACTACTACTACTACTACTACTACTACTAACTTCTTCCTCTTTACTATTCTATTTATTATTCTATTTACTATTCTTACTACTTAGTAGCATCTACCTCTTACTAGGTATAGTATATAGTATAAAGCAGATCGCTTTATGCCCTACTTCGTACTATTCTAGCAAATTGTCGAGGAAGGGGATAGTTAGGTTAAGGGTCTCGAAGGTACTATCTAGCTTACTAGCTAACTAGCTAGAGGGATTAAGACTATCGTATCTAGCCTTATACTAATAACTAATATAGCGCTACTAGTACGACCGCTCGCTCTCCGCTATATCTTCCTAGAAGTCTAAAAGGAATTGCTTTAAATACTAACGGTCGACACCCTCCTAGTATTAGTAGGCTAGATAGTCCTTTAGTCTATATACCTGTTTAACCTATAATTTAAGGCCTCCGAGGTTGCCTAGGTACGGCTCTCGCTCTTACTATAGCCTCTTACTACGCATTCTTTGCAACTAGAAGACCTTAGGATTATACTATTAAATAGGGGCGGCGGCGGCGGTAGTAGAGGTAGCGGAGGCGGCGGAGGCGGCGGCATTATACTCGGCTTGTAACTGCGCGGAAGGGCTTAATAATATAGCGATAGTAGGGTTAAAACAGCGGCGACGGTGAGGTTAAAACAGCGATTAAAACAGCGGTAACAGTGAGGTCTAGTGGTGGAGAACATGACTAACAAATTTGCCTTAGGCCTCCTCCGCGATCGGACGCGCGGATTCCCATATAGCCGGAGTGGATTCTCGAATAGTCGCGCCCCTCACTTTCCATCGCACCGTACGTACATCTTCTTTTTCGGCCAACAACCTTCAAGTCAAGGTGCATCACAAGCACTCTTGCATACCACCATGGCGGTGATCAAATTCATCCCTGGCAAGCAACGCAAGCAACGCAAACCACGCCAGCTCGGCGAGCTGCTGCAGACGCTGCCTCAAGAACTCTTCGACAAGATCTACGACCTCACATTCACCGCCGAGCCAGGACTGCGCGATCTTGGAGACATCATAGGTGAAGATCAAGGGCTCACATGCCGCCGCCGATACCGTGGTCAACAATTCCTAGGCGCCGATACCCGTGCGTTACTGCAAGTCGATCGCGCCAGTCGCGCCAAGTTCGCCTCGTCTTACTATGGGGAGGGCTCTGTATTTCTCGCTCACTCCCACTTTGCTGCCTCAACGTGGTCGGATTCGGTGGACCCACAACATCGGCGCCTAATTGCCGCTTTGCCTCGTAAACTTTCATGGGCAGAATTCTGTACACATGAGGCCAAGAACATAATCGATGCTGAGTATGGGCACAGCAAACAGGTGAATCGAAATCTCGTGTCGTCAACGAGAATTTTGGATTACTGAAATTTGAGGCAGATCCTCGCAGAGCTTCGTAAGATCGGTATCCGTGGATTACCTACAGATCAAGAATGGGATAACATTTATGATCTGGATCTCGACGGCAGACTCATGCTATAGAGCGAGGGATGTGGAGAGTGGCTATACGGCACTAATCAATGAGCTCGTTGTTGAGAGTGGTCACCAGACCGGCACCTCTCAGCAAGGAACATGGAGCTCAGACTGCGGTAAACTTGTCACCAGGTCGGCACGAGCCAGGCAGAATTTGTGAGGCGAAGCACGTAACAGGACTACCGAAAGTGTGTTTGCCGCCAGTCGTGCTGCGATAGCGGTCCTTACTTCAACTTGAAGTCCTTATAGGTCCACTTCTCAGTTCGTTGCCGTTGCGGTTTCTTCGCCTGTCCCACCTTCTTCCTGACCTCCAACTTGCCATTGATCAGCAGATTTCGATATCGATCGGTAAGCAAACTGCCCTCTGGTTTCAAGCGTCGCAGCGAGTCGTTGAGATCCTCCGGCAAAGTCACCTCAACCGGCGCCTCTGGGACAGAAAGCTTCCCAAATCGCCTCTTAGCAAGCTGCGATGCCTCATCCTCATCCGACTCAGACGAGATGTCAACGTCTCGCTTCGCTAGCTTCTTCTCCTTGTCGTTCGCAGATACCTGCTTGGCGATCTCTTTTATCCTCTTCTCTTGCACGTCCCGCTCTTTCTGCTTTTTCTCCCACTTCTCCCTTGCCTCACGCTCCTTCTTCGCCTTCGCCTTATTCCGCTCCGCTGGAGTTTTGCGGCCCTTCTGCTTCTGTGTATAAATCTCCTGTTCCGCTTCGCTCTGGATGCCGTCCCACTCACTTTCCCACGCGCTCTCGTAGTCGGTCGCGTATTCTTCCTTCTCTAGCGCCTCCACTTTCGCTGCCTCTTCTTCTGCCTTCCTTTCTCGCTCGGCCTGCTCTGCCTCAGCCGCAAGACGAGCTTTCTCAGCATCCACCGCAGCCTGACCTTCTTTCTCCAGAAGCGCCGACCAGTCATTTAGAAGTGGGTTGTACGACTTTCCAGCATTCGGCTTCAGCACTGCTGCTACAGCCTTGCCATTGGCAGTGAGCGGTTTGGGAGCTTGCTTCAACGATTTTGGTGCCACCTTGTCCTTCTTTTTCTCCAGAAAGCTGTATTCCTCTGGTGGGGCCGCATCAGGTGCTCCCCAGAGATCATTCGAAGCCTGCTCCTCTGCCAGCACTCCGATTCCAGCGCCATCTGCCACATTCCTCAACCGCCGTAATTCTCTGTGCGACACATATTCCCCATTACCCTTCACTCTCTTCCCACCAACGCCGCTTCCACTGTGATCCTCCACTTTCCTCTTGCGGCCAGGCTGTAATGCTTCAACCTTGGAGTCTCGTTGCGCTAATATCTCGTCGACCCTCAGCTTCTTCTGCTTGCGCTGCGTCTTTTCGAGCTCCACATCTCCAGCGACATCTGTCAAGAACAGTTCATCTGCAGGCTTTTCACTGACAGGTCCACCTTGGATGATATCTGTGCGTAATTCGTCCAAGCCAGACTGGACCTCGGTGATGTCGACATTCTTTCTCCATGCCTTCTTGCCCTTCCGACTAGGCTGCTTGTATGTAGCCGGTGCGGTGTTGGACGCCATTTCGACGGCCATTCTCGGTGCGGTGCGATATATGCGGCAAAATTTCTAAGTAGTCCAGAATCTGCGGAGCGGAGCTGATTCCGCCGGCTCGGCTCAGGGTCCATTTCCAAGATCCCTGCACCAGTCGTGCGGATGGAGGACATTTGTGTGGGTACAAGTCTCCTGAAATGTGTTGATGCTGAAGGTCGACAAACATCTGGCCTCATTTTCGCATCGACCTACACAAACAAGACAGGGTGACTGCTGTCGCCGCCCTCACTCGCCTCTCCACATCTGAGACATCACCGCCAAATCCGGAAGCCATCGAACAAGCCAACAACTAGCATCATCACTTCTGGAGGCAGTCGCATTCCGAGCTCGAGCACAACCGCAGTACTCCGCATAGCTGCATCGCACACGCATAGTACATACATATCGGCATCGAAGAATCTATCCGCAGCAATGGCGCAGAGCGTGGGTTCATACACGAACCCGCTCAAGAAGTTCAAGCTGGTCTTCTTGGGCGAACAATCAGGCATGCGACACCAACGCCATCCTTCATACACCCACTAACAATGACATTCAGTCGGCAAGACCTCACTGATCACCCGATTCATGTACGATTCCTTCGACAGCACATACCAAGCCACAATCGGTATCGATTTCCTTTCCAAGACCATGTATCTCGAAGACCGCACAGTCCGCCTCCAATTGTGGGACACAGCAGGCCAAGAACGATTTCGATCTCTGATCCCCTCATACATTCGCGATTCCTCAGTAGCGGTAGTCGTCTATGATATCACAAGTCAGAAATCCTTCCAACAGACACGGAAATGGGTCGACGATGTGCGAGGCGAAAGAGGAAATGATGTGATCATCGTGCTTGTGGGCAACAAGACGGATTTGAGCGAGAAGAGAGAGGTCACGGCACAGCAGGGAGAAGAAGAGTCCAAGCGATTAGGTTGTATGTTTGTGGAAACGAGCGCCAAGGTTGGGCATAATGTGAAAGGGCTGTTTAAGAAAATCGCTCAGGCTTTGCCTGGGATGGAAGGGGAGGGGCAGCAAGGTCCGGCGAATAGTGAGTCCCATCCATTCATCTTCCTCGTGAAAATATTTGAACTTGTTTTCACTGACATGAGACACAGCTATTGATGTGAATGTAAATGCCCAAAAGCCCGAGAGCGAAGGTGGATGTAATTGCTAGAACTGGATGGATATACACACATATACCGCAACGAAACTTGCGGCAAAGGGGCAGGGCAGAGCTGGCTGTGCATCGAGCGCGGAGTTGAGGCGCTAGGCTACTGTACTTACTTACTGCTGCCTCAATGCGAAACATCCCTTTTACACCCATTGGAGATCGAGCTCTCCGAAGAAGATCACTCCTGACTGACGACTGGAGGTGTTGTGGCCTGCGATGATACGCAGTGCAAAGACCGCAAACGTCTGGCAGGTGCGATCATACGTCCGCAGACTTCGCTGCGGACTTTTTTTGTCTCTCTCCAGTCAACATTGAGGGCAATATCGCATCTCATGCCAACTCGATCTCGGTCATCAAATTATCTGTCCAATTCCAGGTTCGCTCCGCTCATCATGAACGTTAACTAACTTAACATACGCTTAGTCAGACAAGTTCCGCTTCCATTTTCCTTGCAGCGCGATCGTGCTTCCGCGTATTGCATACACCAACAAAGTGAATGCAGTCATGCACCCGCGGACTACTTATCGCTACCTCGCTTTCAGAAGCAAGCCAAACGATTGCAATTGTGTTGCCAGATAAGCAAGCATTCGCTGTTTGGTCGTAGGTTCACCGCGTCAATACATGTGGTCTTAGGCTTGCTAACCACTCCACAGCAGATGCACAAACATGGAGCGCTACCTCAGCTCGGCTTGGATCCGTCCTTTGATTGCTTTTCTCTTCAAGGTGATGAGTAGGGATGACTCTCGATGTTCCGGAGGTGTCGTGTTTGTATCATCAAAGCTATGCATCAAGTCAACGCCACAGACGAGTCTCGCCGAAGCAAATGCAATGGAGTTCGTCAGACAGAATCCTACTATTCCGGTTCCAAGGGTTTACTCGGCTTTCGGATACAAAGGCCATGTGTACATTGTGATGCAAAGGATTGAAGGGACTATTGTTGCTCGCAATTGGCATCTCCGCACGGAGAAGTCGAGATTGAAAATTCTCTCTCAGTTGAAGAGCATGGTCGAGCAGCTACGGAAATTACAATGCCCGGATGGTGCTGGTGTTTCGAATATCGATCGAGGCCCAATCTTCGACCCTCGCCTCCCGAAACAGTTCTACTGGGGACCGTTCGACGAAATTTCCGATTTCCATTCCGCGTTGGTAGATGGCCTAGACTTGAATGTGCCCTCAGCCGATGCATTCCCGGAACTTCAAGAGCTAGCGTCGTTCTACAATCAACCGTGGCCTCAGCCGATATTCACGCATGGCGATCTGAGTAGCCTCAATATCCTTTGCAAGGAGGATAGCGTAGTTGCGATTCTTGACTGGGAGACAGCAGGGTGGCTTCCACCTTACTGGGAGTATGTTACTGCATGGAATGTTAATCCTCAGAACAGCTTCTGGCAGGAGGAGGTGGACAAGTTCCTAACCCCTTTGCTTTACGCCAGGAACATGGATGCGATTCGGAGAAAGTATTTCGGATTCTTCTGAACGAGTGTCTGTTTAATCGATCGAATCGCAACCTATAGAACCGACTCCCTTCCTTCAAGCATGTCCCACGTCGCCACCTATAACAATCAAAGTTGCCCTGGCCGTCGAATCGATGCTGCGCTTCTTCCCTCTACGTAGCGCATCGCGGTACTACGGACGGCACTCCAGTCGGTGTTTGAAGTCCCTAAGGCTCTTCCATCTTTTTCCTCAGACGGTGCAACATTGTCCAAATATAAGCATCTTCAGGACCAGTCGCAGTATGGACATGGAATGGTCGCATATCGCAAAAACGATCCCGGTCAAATCGATACTTGCTCGAAGACTTTCATAGTCGTGGGACAGCCCAGGAAGTGATCTGATAGGTTTGATCGAGGGGGCTTGTGGTCCCTCATGTGATAGAGCCATGGCAGGAGAGATTTGAGATTCTCCGAATAGCAGCCGTGCTCGCGCAGGATTACCTCAATAGCGCTCGAAGTCCCTTGTCTTCCTTTTGTACTGAGAGAGCTGCTCGCAATGCTTCCACATTTGACATTGGCTTGATCATCCTGAGGAGCCCATAATTGTGTCCGAGAAGATCGGCGAGGCGTGTTCGGCAAGCAGCAGGTAGGGTAGTTGAAGAATTTCGAGAGAGAATCTTTCCGCAAAGTTCTGCTGTCCTGAATACCTTTAGCACGGCAGATGTTCGTCTTGCTGGACCTGTATGAGTGGCTGAAAATGAAGACATGGCAGGGGCTTGCATCGATAGCTGTAAAGAAGGGTATTGGGTGTGACTACCATCTTTCTGCTGAGGCAATGAAGCTGCTCCGTTGGAAGCTGCTCTACATGGATTCATGTTACTCCGCCAGGATGATAGCGGCCAGAGCGATGACGGCCAGCACGGTGAACTCACAAGACTTCACATGAAAAGCTTCTGCCATAGCGAGAAGGAGATGTGATGGAAACGTGAAGATGATGAAGCCTAGCACGCCAGCTTTCGCTCTCGGCTTCGGCTTCGGCGGCACCCGCCTTGCAGTACAGTACCGTGCGCGAGTCATGCACGGCATCTGGAAGTTCGCCGGCGATTTCGTTGCTGCGATCCTCATCTTCGCCATGGACGACTTGGAGCAGCTGGAGGTGCTCTCGCTGGTGAGCAAAATCACCAGCGAGATCAATAACCACTTGGGCATCAACGAGAAAACGATCGCCGAATTCGTGATCGACCAGCACGCCCAAAGCGCAAACATCAGCCAGTTCAAAGAGAAACTTGCCGAATTCGATTTTCCCGACTCACTAAGTGAGAGCATAGATCGCTTGATCCGGACGCTACATCCGAAGCACAAGCCGAATGGCGCCATTCGGGAAGAGAAAGCGAGCAAAGGCAGCGAATCGAAGGGAAACGTCTTCAAAGGCCTCGCAATTCCAGACAAGGCCATCGAGCCCGAAGATGGCTTGGATGATACTTTCGCAGCGCTGGAGTCGTTAGCAGGACCGCCGAAGTCGAACGGGCGAAAGCGTAGCATATCACCGGAACGACCAGTGCGCGAAAGATCACCAAAGCGTTCGAGACGATCGAGATCACGAAGTCCGAAGCGGCGCAACGACGATTACCTTTTCGAAGATGAGTTTGGACGTACGCGATCGCACCGACCGTCGGATCAGAAGCACGAGAAACGAGAGCGCAGGAGCAGGAGAGACTCTTTTGATCGACCTCCAAGGCAGGAGCTGGACGATGAGCCAATTCTATACAAGATTTATGATGGTCGAGTGACAGGTGTCAAAGATTTCGGTGTGTTCGTAAGTCTGCAAGGGGTCAAGGGCAAAGTAGATGGGCTCGTTCATATCTCTGCCATGGCCGACTACAAGGTCAATCACCCAAGCGATCTTGTGGCAAGGAACCAGGAAGTCAAGGTCAAGGTCATGAAAGTGCAGGACAAGCGAATTTCGCTGAGTATGGCGGAAGTCGACCAACAGTCGGGCCAAGATCTTGCTCCAAGTAAGCGCATACATCTCGGCACAGGTGCCAATTCAGTAGGCTTGAAAGGTGCAAGTGATTTTGGAGGTGCTGTGCCAGTCATCGAAAGCAATGGAAATGGGATCAGACAACGAAAGAGAATGACTAGCCCAGAAAGGTGGGAGATACGGCAGCTTATTGCGTCGGGAGTGGTCAAGGCAGCCGACTATCCTGATCTGGACGAGGAATACAACGCTGCGATGAATGGAGAGACTATCGAAGAAGAGGAAGACGTGGATATTGAGGTCCGTGAGGAGGAACCGCCATTCTTGGCAGGCCAGACCAAGCGATCTCTCGAGCTGTCTCCAATTCGTGTCATCAAAGCTCCGGACGGCAGCATGAATAGGGCTGCGATGCAGGGAGATGTGTTGGCTAAAGAGCGACGAGACATGCGACAATCAGAAGCTCAAGACAAGGCGAAAGCCGAAGCCGCGAAGACAGACCTCAATCAGGAATGGAATGACCCCATGATCGCGCCGGGAGAGCGAAGATTTGCAAGCGATTTGCGACAGCCGAAAGCTGCTGCTTCAGAAATGCCGGAGTGGAAGAAGATCGCGACTGGACGTGGCGAGCTAGGAAAGAGGACAACCATGTCCATCAAGGAACAGCGGGAATCTTTGCCAGCATATAAGATGCGGAAGCAGTTTCTCGATGCTGTTCGACAAAATCAGCTCTTGATTGTGGTTGGAGACACCGGATCCGGAAAGACGACGCAACTTACCCAGTACCTGGCAGAGGACGGCTTTGCGAACGAGGGCATGATCGGATGTACTCAACCTCGACGTGTTGCGGCCATGTCGGTGGCAGCCCGTGTGTCAGATGAGGTTGGATGTCGTCTCGGCGAGGAAGTGGGCTACACCATACGATTCGAGGACAAGACCAGTTCCAGCACCAAGATCAAGTACATGACTGACGGTATCATGCAACGTGAGATTCTACTCGATCCTGAGCTCAGCAAATACAGCGTAATCATGCTTGATGAGGCGCACGAGCGTACCATCGCCACTGATGTGTTGTTCGGGCTGCTCAAGAAGACTTTGAAGAAACGCCCTGACATGAAGCTCATCGTCACCTCGGCAACACTTGATGCAGAAAAGTTCTCGGAGTACTTCTTGCAGTGCCCGATCTTGACCATCCCTGGCCGTACGTTCCCAGTCGAGATCATGTACAGCCGCGAGCCTGAAAGTGACTACTTGGATGCTGCTTTGACGACAGCGATGCAGATACATCTGACCGAGAAAGCTGGCGACATCCTCCTCTTCCTTACAGGTAAAGAGGAGATTGACACAAGCTGCGAGATCCTTCACGAGCGCATGAAAGCACTAGGACCGTCAGTACCAGAGCTGATCATTCTGCCAATCTATGGAGCTTTGCCCTCAGAAATTGCCAGCCGCATCTTCGAGCCTGCCCCCGGTGGTAGCAGGAAAATTGTGATAGCGACCAACATCGCGGAAACCAGTATCACCATCGATGGAATATACTTCGTCATTGACCCGGGTTTCGTGAAACAAACTGCTTACGATGCAAAGCTTGGTATGGACCGACTGCAGGTCACGCCCATCTCACAGGCACAGGCGAAGCAGCGAGCTGGACGTGCTGGACGTACCGGACCGGGCAAGTGCTTCAGGCTTTACACCGAATCTGCTTTCCAGAATGAGATGCTTCCAACAACGATTCCAGAAATTCAACGCCAGAATCTGTCAAACACCATTCTCATGCTGAAAGCAATGGGAATCAACGATCTGCTTGGATTTGACTTCATGGACCCGCCGCCTACCAATACTATGCTTACAGCTTTGGAAGAATTGTACGCTCTGGGCGCGCTTGACGATGAAGGTCTTCTCACAAGACTTGGAAGGCGAATGGCAGATTTCCCCATGGACCCAGCATTAGGGAAATCTCTCATCACTTCAGTGGATCTCGGGTGTTCTGATGAAATGCTCAGCATTGTCGCCATGATCTCAGCTGTACAAACAATTTTCCACCGTCCCAAGGAAAAGCAGCAACAAGCCGACCAGAAGAAGGCTCGCTTCCATGACCCAGCGGGAGACCACCTCACTTTACTGAACGTCTATAATGGCTGGAAGAATGCCGGCAAGAATGATGCCTGGTGTTTCGAGAACTTCATCCAACCTCGCAACATCAAGCGAGCGGAAGATGTTCGGAAACAACTGGTGCAGATCCTGGAGCGTCACCGTCTGAAAGTGATATCTTGCGGGCGCGACACCACCCGGGTCAGACAAGCTCTTTGCGCAGGCTTCTTCCGCAACTCCGCCCGCAAGGACCCTCAGGAAGGCTACAAGACTCTCGTCGAAGGTACTCCGGTATACATGCATCCTGCCAGCGCCCTATTCGGCAAAGCTGCCGAGCATGTCATCTATCATTCTCTGGTCGAGACGACACGAGAGTACATGCACAATGTCACCGCCATCGAGCCGAAGTGGCTTGTCGAAGCTGCTCCTACATTCTTCAAAGTTGCCGGCGGCAAAAATGGCGAGTTGTCGAAACGTAAGAAAGCTGAGAGAATACAGCCTCTTCATAACCGCTTTGCTGGTGAAGATGATTGGAGGCTGAGCGCTCAGCGAAAGCAAGGTAGAGGTGGTGGAGGCACGTTTGGATAGTGAAGTAGATTACGGCTGTGAAAGCATGACTTTCTAGATTTGATGAATGAGAATTAAGTGCACCCCTCAGGCTCCTCTGCGCTAAAACATGAATGCTTGTCCGGGCATGTATCACGATCGGGCACGACGACGTAGTTTTGGGGAAGTTTTTCCGTGGATCATCGCCAAGTCGCGACTTGAGGAGGAGAAGGCTGTAGATAGTGATCTGTGCCGAATTTCAAAGCAGTCAAGACTGACCTTGCGAGACACAAACATCTGGAAATGTTCATTGCTTTAGACCTTGCGGAGAATAAGACAGTGTCTCTCATCGAACCAGTTCCGCAGGACTTGATGCGTGCAAGACAGTCTCAGCTCGCACCGTCAGATGAAATGGTGTGGTGTGGTGTGGTGAGGAAGCTCGAGACATGGATCATATCTTGTCTCAGTCGGCAAAGATGTCATCTCTACCAGCCACGAATAGTAGGCTTTGAAGTCCGGACCTCAAGAATTAATCGTCGGAGAGATAGAACAGCTAGCTACAGACATTCTATATTCTACCTACACGTGCCACAAACAACAGCCGGGCTCCAACGGGCGGTACCGGTACCTGCAGCACACGCACCGCGCATGAACCAGATGAAGTCATGATCCCGGGGGGGGGGGGGGGGGGCGGAGTGACCAGGGGTCCCAACTTCTAGCACTACAGTATGTCGGTCAAAGAGCAAGTCTAACATATGACAACAAGTGTCCAGAAAAGCATGGCTGTGATGAGTGTAAACATTGCCCACGCCAATAGTGCCAACGGCCTTTTCAGCCACACCCGTTTGTCGGTGTTCGCTGCTATTTCATACCGACCACGACCCAACCGGCACGTTGCGTTCGTTGCACGGCGTTCGTTCTCATCAGCAAAAATAGCCAGCCAGATAGATCCTCTTGTATGTACACTGGCATCACCGCCATCGTTTCGAGAGCATGACTGCCGGGGTACTTTGAGATATCTGGCGGCAGACATCCTGTACAGCACTGCCCAGAAAATGTGCATCCATTGGAATACAATGCAGTCCATACCATTCTGGCGCTGATCGATGGTCAATCCCAGTAACGGTAGGATTCTGGGCCGATCGGCTGAAGATTCTCTCGTGCTGACGAGTGGACCGGAGGCTATTTACATCTACAGTAGAGTGCCAAGATGAAGCCTTCCGACATGCATTCTGGCACGCGATAGTATTCCCGAGGAATGCCAATGTGGTTACGTGTAGACGGTGAAGGCATCGTGATGGGATGGCCATGTGAGCCGCCGCACACGGAATGCCGCCGTGATGCGCTCGCTCGGAACACCCGTCGGCAGACAGGGGATTCGTTCCGAGCCTAACTGACTTCACTTCTTTGAACAACCCAATCCTCCCGACCATGGCCATTATTCATTGTTCTTCCTATGACCTCCTCCCAGCAGTGTCCGATGCGCTGGCTCAAGCGCCACATGTCTCGGCAGTGCGAAGCCTACGTAAGGCGCCTCAGAGGGCCCTCGACTCGACGACTCCCTCGCACCGGCTCTCCTCACTCTCTGCCTGCAGGCGGCAGGCCATCGATCTCCGTAGCGCGTCGGAGATCTAAGTCAAGGCCACATGCATGATGGCGGGAGGCCTGCCGGGCCTGAGTGGTTGTTCTCGCTATCGCTTCGCGCTTGCGTCGCAGGCCGAACTCTCCAGCACTTGGAAGAGCCTCACGAGATTTGCGCGTCTTGCATGCATGCATTCGTGATGAAGCAGATCATGCACGAGGTGCTGCCAAGGGATGCATCGGTGACGGTGTCATGCTATTCTGGCAGCAGCACATCATTGATACCGTCACCGGTCTTTCGCAGCAGAAGATACCGGTAGCAGACCGTGGCAGGGCCTGGGAAACGAATATCAGTCAATGCTTGATGCGAGCTTGCCATTTCTCGCCGGCCGTGCTCACCATCTGCAGCTTTGGCAGTGCTGCTGTGCCTCAGGCGTTCAGAGCTGCGAGAGAGATGACTGGAAGTGACCGCCCTTGGGATAGCGCTCATATTTGAGCTTCCCAGCTCATTCCTATGACATGATGAGCATGCGCATGCTACTTGCTAATCGCAGCTTGACCACTCTGCCCCGCTGAATGCTGTCAGCGACTGCCGCTGAGCACAGATTGAGGCACACATGACCCAATCATTGCATTCGCTGAAGGTTCAGCGGGAGATGTGCAGTCGGTCAAGCCTCGCTAAGCACAGTTCACCGTCAATGGTAGTGGCACGGACATCGACGCATTAGAGTTATGCCACAACTGCCAGGATCTCAGGCCCACGAGGGTCTCAAAGCACGAGCCGGTGCACAACATCTCTCGTCGCTGGCTTGCACTGCCCATCTCTGTGTTGCGCGGCTGGCTTACCACCTCTTTCTCAGCGCAGCCAAAGGAGGCGAACCCAGCAGGGTAATGCTTTCCGAAGGTACAACTCTGCTGCCGAAGACCATATTGAGACGCAAACATCCACTGACACTCTGATCGACTAGTCCGTGTTATATCTTTGCAAGGAAAAGGATGTGAGGAGGACGTCAGTCGTCGTGCTTTGGCCAGCAGGAAAGCTTTTAAAGGTGCGATGCACGATTTCCCGCCCAGCGAATCCGCCTGACTGTGGGGATATGTAGAGGGAGGCCCCGACCCGCCGTGTGTCGGATTTCGTTCTTGGACCCAGCTCATCATTGTGTTGCACAGAACACACTTTCCGCAAGTGGTCGTCGCTCTGGAAAAGTCTCGGTTTTGCCTCCAAGTCATTCATTCCTCTGTCCATGCTTAGCTCTTTCACTCCTTTCAGTACCGACACACTTCATACCGGAGTTTGGTTTCATCGACACTGCTACCAACGCTACCCGTGGGGACGTCCGACAGGATATACATCAACAGCAGCACCAGGCTGACAGCTGAAACCGCATCATCCACCTCCCGCCGCCTTCTCGACCTAATAATTCTTCAAGGGCCCACCTGCGGCGTCTCTGACCTCCCCGAAACAGATCCATTGTTCTGCGCCTTGCGTATGCTATCCAAATGCATGCGCAGTATCAATCGTGGAGTTTGACGACTTGACTCGGTTCCACCTTGGTCCTGGAACAACATTGGGGAGCAATGTGTACCGAGTGCGCATCGGCAACAACCACACGTCAATCTCCAGAACACGACCATAGCTTGCTGCACCCTGGAAGTCTGAAGCGTAAACTCAGTTCATTATTGCGTCCGGTTCGGTACGGCGAGGTTTCCTATCCCTCGCCGCCGATGTCAAATCCTCCTTCTCCACCGAGGCTACCTCAAGATCACTCTGCCACACTCGCTAGCGTCTCGCAACCATCGACTTCATCCTCCATAACAGCCACCTCGACCCTTATGCCTGCAGTGGCAATCGCTACTTCATCGCTAGGCCCTCCATTCTATGAACCTGCAGCACAAGCGCCGGGCAATGCGCGTTCGCCACCATCCTTCCCTCCACCAACCTCTGCAGCAGCAGTTGCTACGTCTTCTCAGTCACAGCCAACCTCAGCAGCACCTACTGCATGGCAACCTTCTGCTGAGAATGAACCGAGTACGCGCCCCACCAGTTCCAGAGGTGGACGCAAATCCAAAGCACATGTTGCTTCGGCATGTATCAATTGCAAGCGAGCTCACCTGAGTTGCGATGTGAATCGACCTTGTGCTCGATGCGTGGCGTCAGGAAAACAGGTATGGATGTCCTTCGTGGACTTGCACAGACCATCGATTAATGATTGACCTATTGTCAGGACACATGCTTCGATGTCCAGCACAAGAAACGCGGAAGACCACGCCTACGAGAAGAAGGCGACTTCAAAGTCGAGCAAACGCTACCTGAGGCAAGGCCGACAACAGCGATTCCATCTGGCAGCTCTGATCCGTCGACACGACCGCTAGCTGCAACCAGACCTCGAAGAGCAGAATCCTTTCGTTCGCTCCGCTCACAGGGCAGCGATAGCTCTGGCGCAGTCGCAAGTCCGACATATCCATTGCCTCCTCCGCCGACAGCAACGAGACCTACATTCGACTTCCACTACCATCCTATTGCGCCTTCTGTGCAGCATGGGTATGAGGTTCCTACCGTGTTCCTTGACCTTGACCTAGTCATTATCAAGGCAAACATGCCTTATCGTCACATCATGGTGGGCGGGCGGGAAGTCGCTGGCCGGCAATTGAGCGATATTGCCATGCCTATGGACGGGGAAAGCTTTCAAGCTATTCGTGCGCGATTGAGAGCAGAGCGTGAAGCGCGTGAGCCGGTCTACATGCCGCCGATCGTTCAGCCTGGCCAGGATCCTCTCAATGGCGCATTGGAGGCAGACGTCGAACGGTACACCCAAGGTTTCGATGACCGCACCTACAATTGGACCCAGACACAGATGGGCCACGCTGCAGTGACATTTCCTGCCCGTGTGAGGCTTGCTAAAGCAAATGCATTCTTCGTAGCGGTAACCCTACCGACCTTTCGCCCTGTCGAGCCGCCACCACCACCGCCGCTCTATGCTCGGATGCCTGCTGCAATGCCATTGCAAACACAATCATCGGATGGCTACACGACTACTCGACCTTTTGCAACGCATTCCGCGCCCGCTTCTGCTTACACACCGTTTCCGGCAGCATCGCCGTTGATGGCTCCTCTACGATCCATTGGTCACCAATCAAACCGATCATATCCGCCGCCCCAGCCCACTCTACCGTATCAGCAACAAACGCAACCACAATCTCTGCAACAGCCAACCCAACCTCACGCGATCTACCAGCCACCGCCGTCGGGAACGCCTCGATTGCCGGTCGCCGAGCCTCCAACTGAAACAACCGCGTTCACCCCGCGAAGTGCTGCACGTGAGCTGCCAGGAGCCAGTTCCACACACAGCGCCATGCAGCTACCACCAATCATCGGCAGTTCCGCGCATCCTCCAACGACGCGCATCGAAACGCCGCCTGCAGGCCCGTCGAGAACGGCGAATATACCGAGAAGCGAAGCCACTTTCCAGCGCGAAAGATCCTTGGACGAGGACGAAGGCGAAAGTACACCTCGGAAACGACAACGAATGGGTATCGATGATGTGCTTCATCGTTGACGAGTGGATATCACATGCATACAGCGAGCGCTATAATTCTACCACAACACTGAGTCGGGGAGCGGCAATTTCATTTCAGCATCAGCACCACTACATACGGCACCGGTGGTACATTCACCAGTCCGGGTTCAGAGCACGGCATTCGGAAAAAGTACGATTTAACGATCTTCATCCTTTGACTGATAGCGATGGCAGCATATCATTCATCTGCCTTTCTTGCACGATGTCGGGCTTCAGATATGGCCTCAATGGCAGCTAATTAAACTGTCGCCTCTATTAATATATGCTCCAACAGTGAGCCGGAAAGAGACGAGATCAGTGTGATAAATAGAGATGTGCAGGAGGCGTCCTGCCGATTACCAACTACTTACTACCTAATCCTAACAAGCCAATTATTTTTAGGCACTTTCAATATATATATATATATATCTATCTCCCCATTTGGAGCTAGCAATTAACCAAACACCCTAGAAGCAATCTCAACTAACTACTGCTTTTTTTTTCTTTAGAAGCTTAGCAAAGTCGGCAATGCTATCGAAACTTACCTAGCTTATTACGAGAACTCGACTAATACGCTACGAGCAAGCTAAGCACGAGCACAAAGCTATTGTCTATATTATAAGGCTACTACTAACTAGTACTACGAGATTATAGAAGCCTCTAGGACTAGACCACAAGACTAAGCTACATTACCTTTTACCCCAAAAATTCCGAAAACTTTTTAAAAACATGAAAAAGTTTCATCCGATGATCCAGACAGACAGGGTATACGTATGTATGTATATACACATGCTTGTCAGCTTGATGAAGAAAGAAAAAAAAAACATGAAAATCCTTCTTCACCACGTGCTTCCTAGGGTATGCAGAAACATACGTTACGAAACATCTACAATCTGCAAAGCAAAGCCCATGTGCTTGCTTGCATGCTTCGTAGCGACGACCATGCACGCCGGCTCCCAGCCACATCGGGTAGGGTAGGGTAGGGCGCAGGGTAGCGCTCGGTTGTTTCAAGCAAGCATGAACCCACCATACACACACGCCAATCTCACACATTATGCAGATCTGTTGTGGGGGCCGAACACCAGGTCCATGGGCTGAGACAAATATACAGCTCTATGTATGTGAAGGATTGCGTAATTGTCGTGCCAAGAGAAGGCATACGAAGCTCTTTTCTTCCACCACTCCAACACACCGGAAGTGATTCGATTCAGCGCTTGCGTGGCCTCTTCTCTCCTCTCATGCGGCAGCGGGTTCGGCCTCTTTCGCCGTCTCGCTGTCGACTTTTGAGTCCGCAGTTTCTGTGCTGCAGCCCCCATCGGACTCGGCTTTAGCAGGAAGGGGTGTGGTCTTGGTATGTTCCTTCGAAGCGTCGGGGAAGACTTCTTTCATGAGATGTGGTAGGAAACGTTCCAGCCTCTCCCACGTCTCGGTCCACAAGCTCTTTTGTAGCTCGGTCCTCTCGTCGTCCTCTTCGCCGCTCGGTGGTGCCACCATGTACTCCCCGCTGCTCATGACGAGGAGAATGTTCTTGAGACTCTCGGGGACCGCTTCTGCAAGGACGTCTTGACTCTGCCCGGAGTTCATCAGTCGGTCCATGATCCCAAGTATCCTTATCCAGAGATCGAGCACGCCCTCCCACTCGCTGAGGAGCACAAGATAGTGGAGGAAGATCTTGCATAAGAGCTGAGCAGCTTGGACTCGTGTGTCGCTCATGCCTACCGGATCGGTTTGGTAGACCTCTGGCTTCAGCAATTGTTGAATTAGAGGGAAGAGCACTTCACCAAATATGTTCGTCCATTCCGTGTGGTCGGGACTCGCGAGGTCGGGTGACTGAAGACATCTCTGCAGGCTGACGAGCGCAGTTTGTCGGATCTCTCGGCAAGGGTTGACGCTTTGCGTAGCCAGACATCGAAAGACCGGGCTCCAGTAGGTTCGCCATGCAGCGTCAGTCTCGAGCTGAGACTGCTTGATGAGTGTAGGTACACGAGAGGCAAGTTGAGAAACAATGCCAATTGCCTTGACCCCTCGTGCGACCGCTTCAGGTTTCTTTGGCTTTTGCTTCTCGGGTGTGTCATCGGTCTGGCCTTTCTTGTTGCGTTGCTGTCTTGCGACTTGCTCACGATACTGCTCAAAACGCGCGCCAACGGATCCGGCGGTTGCGAACGCATTGAGAAGAGGTATGCAGAACTCGTAGTTGTCCGGCGTTACTGTAGCTTTGGCGCCATCTCCAGCGACAGATTGTGCAATCTGGAATACGAGTGCAGAGGCTTCTGGCTGGTTGTGAAGTCGCTCAAGGACTTTCCAGAAGTCAGGCGAAGCGGCGATTTCGTTTCTGAGCTCGACTTGCGGGCCTGAGATGCATCCATACAAGCCCTTCAGAATTGGTTGCGCACACTCTTCAAGCAGATCCTGCCTGAAGCTAGCAATGTTGTGGAGCACGACTGGCGCTCGAATATAGCCGTGATCATTGCTCGCACGTAAGAGTGATAGCAGATAGAACACTGTTCGGCTAAGAGCAACCGGATGTAGGCGGTCGGCATCCTTGGTGACGTTAGAAAGCGCATTTGCAACATCAGGGCCCAGTTCAGTGATTGTTTCCTCGTCTCTCAGCGCTAGAATCGTGGCCAGCTCAAGGACATACACCACGGCTGGATTGTAGGCCGCAGGTTCTTCCCTCGGCTTTGTGCCATTGGCTCGTATTGGTGTGGGAGCTGGCAACTCTGGCTTGACTGAGATGACCCTTGGACTCTCAGATTCGGGCATATGACTCAACAGCGAGAGTGTGAGGCTCTTCAGACTGCTGATTGGCAATTCCGAAACATTCCCCAAGATCTCTTCAAACCGACAGGCATTTATACAGTCCACCGTGGTGAGAGTAGCCTCGATTTCCTGGTCGTTCGGCTCTGGAGGTTCATCGGTCATGACACTGCTGACATAGTTGGTGAAGGCGCTGAAAAGGCCAACCTCGCTCGACTTCTCATTGCGCTCAATGACCTGAGATTTGCATGTTAGCAGATAGCCCTTTGGTGCGTGGAACCACTGGCATCGAGTCATGTTCCACATGTACAGCTAGACTTACCTGTACTGGACTCTGCAGGGGTATCTCCGGCAGATCGAGGTCTCGTGAGATAGAAGTGAAGCTAGTCGGAACCAGAGAATTCACGAAAAGGTTCACGATGATTCGAACAACCTAAAAGGAAAAAGTTAGTCAAGTCCTTCGCTTGTCGAAACAATGTCTCGGAGATTTGTTGACGCCATGCTTGACTCGAGCATGTGCATGCACGTTCAGCACTTGGATGGAAAAGCCGAGAGGCAAAGCAACGAAAAGAAATCTCACCTGAGTCCAGCCATCCCTAATAACTGCTTCATGACCATTAATGATGCGGAAAAGCACTAGCGTTGCCAGCTCGGCCTTGTGGTCCCTCCCGAATTCAACAGCAAACCTGCTGACCATGATTGACTTCCCACTCGCTTGTACCTCAGTATTCAGCTGGGTGCTGGGCGGTGTCTCGGTCGCAAGCGTTGAGATTTTGGCCAAACTCCAGATGATGTGGTCAAGACATTCCGATATGCCATGCTTGGCCGCAATTTGTGCACACTGGCTATAGCCAAGTATCACCCGCTGGAAGACGGCATCTTCAGTGGCAGAGACGAAGACGTAGTTGAGTGTCGAGATTATCGGTCTCCATGTGGCCGCGAACATATCTGCATCATAGATATTCGTTTCGCAGATGACCAAATTCTCGGCCGTCTGAGTCTTCACGAGAAGCTCTTTCCAAGCATGCTCAAATGCATGCTTGTTGTCGTGTTCTTCAGGCAAGACGATCTCTCGACTCTTGATTGCCTCGTAGATCTCTTGCAAAAACTCTGGATCGAAGTTCTCGTTGTTGTTGACACCTCGCAAATTGCGAGCGAAGTCCTCCAGCTTCATTCGGTTCTGGGCCTTGACGTTCGGGTTATATTGGTCGGTATTCAACATAATGATGGCGTAAATGAGAACGAAAGCAGCGTCATTGTTGGCGATGTGCTCTGGCTGAGCAGCCTTCATATATTTCTCGCTGAAGACAGTCACAATACGTTCGATGAGCGGAGATTCTCCTGGAAGTCGGAAGCTGTTGAGCAATTGCCGTAAAGCTTCGTCGACACGTAAATGACCGAAGTCGAAGAGGTCCATGTACGCATCGAGAATGGCTTCATTCGACCTCTTCGATATAAATTCTCCAAGCACCTTCTTGTCGATTCGGGTCGTACCTTTGAGAAACTTGGTGATGGAATGCGGGTCGTTTGGATCCTCGATTATGCCCTGTGCCGCGAGATATGCAATGCCACCCTTCGGACTCTCGTTGAATTTCGTAGCCCCACGAATGATGATTTTCTTTTTCCTCCTCTGCTCCTGAAGCGCAGCCACATCGGGCAGTCCAGCAGTCTTCGGCTCATCGTCCAGTCTCTCAGCGATGAACTGCACATAGCCTAGCAATGAGTCCAAGCATAAAGGCGGCACATTCGTTGTGCTCCATGTCGCAGAGTCTGGAAAGGCATTTCTCGACAAAAGGCCAACCATGTCCATACACAAATTGCTTCGGTCGATTTCACAGTCATAATTGACGAACAGCTCGACCATGAAGCTCGGCATGCGCACAAGTCCGCCAACGCTCTCGACCATGGCTTCTCGGGCGTCAGGTTTCCGCGAGCCGCCTTCCATGCCCAGCTTCTGTCGATCTCGCACGGGCACCGGAGTGGATCTGCCGCTTGAAGGTGCTCCGGGCGATGCTGCGTGAGGCTGTGGCCTTGCCAATGACGGCGCTGAAGGTACGCCCTGATATAGAGATGGCTCTATTCCTGGCTCTTCCGGTATTGCGATCCGAGGATGTAGGCAAGCTACCACGTACGACAGAAAGAGCTCTTGCTGTAGTTTGAGACAGCTTCGACATGTTGCCAAAAGGGTGCCTGCAACTCTGAGCGATTCGTGCAAGATGGCGATATTTTCAGATCTGACCAGCTGAAACAGATTTCGGCAGAGCGTGTCCTTTGCAAGAGACGCCAAACTAGGATGGGTGGCGATGCTAGGACCAGCGACTTCGAGGGCGACATTGACTATTCGTAAAGCCATGACGCGCAAAGTGTCGTTGCGCTGCCTGTCGTGAGGATCGAGAAGGTCCGCAAGCACGCGGAACAGCTCTCTTATGCTTGGCAGTCCATATGGCTTGATTTCCGCTGGCTCGTCGTCTTCTCCCTCACCACTTTTCGAGAGATCCAAATGAGAGCCACTCATATCGGTACTCGGCCTCTCAGTCCCATTCGCCACACCAGGAACCTCTAAACTCGCCTGTCGCATCTTATTCATAGCATCGGGCCCGACGCCATCCGCATTGGGGTCTGAATCAATCCTCGCAGCATTAAGCTCATCCTTGTCGAGCTCGCCCTCCATATCTTCAGCCTCGCCCTCAAATTCGTCTTCCAGCGTCTTCAACCTTGCAAAGATGGTCTGGCACATGGTCACCATACTGATCTCAGCACTTCGTCTCAAGACCTCGCTCATTCGGAGATGACAGCAGATACTCAATGCGCACTCCATCATTTCGCATACACTTTGGTCACCTAGAACTTCTCCGCTCGGGCCAGTGATCATGTCTTCCATGAGCTTCAAGATGCGCAGAAATACAACTTCATCGCTTGGAGAGTTGTCACCTTCGAATCTGCAATGCGTCACGCTACTCGCCAGTAATCGCATGCCGTGGGCGAATCTGGGAGAGTCCTTGTTGATCACCTCGTACGCGAGCAGCTTCGTGATTGCAATGAGAGCCAGACTGGTGATTGGTGCGGTAGTCGAAGAGCTTCGAATGACGTTCAGAAACGGCTCCAACAGCGCATCTGTTTCAAAATGCTGCAAATCACTGCAATGCTTCAACTCGGCTCTCAGCTTTGCGAAAGAGCTCATGAGTGGATTGTCCTGCATGCTCTGTCCCTTCTTGCCGCGCAGTCCCCATCTCGATGTACCTTCATCCTCGCTCCTGTCATGCTGTTTCTTGCTCGCAAATGATCCGTAGTCCTCAACCAGGTCGATTTTCGAACTCGCTCGATTTCGTAGGTTCCCTTCTCGGTCGTGGTTGGTCGCTCTGGAGGATGGATTGGGTCTTGGACTGTTACTTCCACCCAAGATCGAGGAGATGCTGCTATGTGCCCAGCGGGCATGTTTCCGCATTGCGGAGGTGACTGTGATACATTCTGTGACCACCAGCGCTACAGGGTCGATAGCGACAGTTACGTTATGTGCTCGATGGCTCGAAGGGATCGCTTCTGGGAAATCCGGTAGACTTTTGCCCTCTGAAGCCATTGTAAGTGGAGGCCCGAACTCCACAAAGTCGATTCAGAGATTGGTGACTGCTGGGTGACGCTCAGAATTAAATGAGTCGTGAGGCTGCGTGGCTGAATGCTAGAGGTGCAGCACGCGCGGATTGTGTCAATGCGTCATTTCTAGTATCGCCAATCTGTCCAATTTTTCCAGACACCCGCAAAGGCCGAGAGAAGGTGGCACGATAGTGAATGTTTTCCTATACAGCTGGCCTCGAGAGAGAGTACGAGGTTCCGCATCCGCGGAGGCGGATCATCCCGAGCCCTAGAATACGCGCCTTCACAAAGGAGATGTTCTGTTTTGTTTCCACAACCCTTCATCGCAACAAACATGAGCCAGCTAAGTGTTTCTTGTGAAGCATAGCGGTCAAACAACCAAAATGTCCCCGTCTCATTCCCTTCTACCAAACATATGAGAAACGTTGATGCGAAGCCGCCGTCAAGGATGAGTTGCTGACATATGCCACGGGAGATGATATCTTTTCTTTGGTATTGCAACGGCCATATGTGTGGTCTCGCCAGAGTATGCATACAATGTTCCCACCTTGGCCTGCCACTTTTCAGGCGGCCCCATTGAACGCCGAGCACATCACTTTGTATGCCACAGCTATCCTCTATCCATGAAGCCGTTCCACTTCAAACCACGAACGCCGACTCCCTTTGCGTGGTCAAGCCATCATGTGTTCACTGTGCTCCTCCCTGAACATGCTGCCCATGATGACGCCTTCGATGTTCAGATGTCATCGCTTGCAGCCGGTGAGATCCTCCCGCCACATCTCTCTCCCTGCCTTGGCTCGTACACAGGCATGATTTGTGGGCTGACTTGGCCATGTCCAAGCGCTCCATCTCGGAGCGGATCTCATCGCTTGATCACGCCTTTACCAGGCACCATCACCATCAGTGCGTCGCTACCCTGCAGAGCAAAAACGCCCAGAGCTAGTATGCATGGCGGGAAATCAAACACACTTTCGAATCAACAGAGATGGAGGAGCAGAAGAGCAGAACATAGCAGCAATGGGCTCAGCACTGTTGGAACCTTCCCAGCCTTTTACCGATTGGCCAATTCCTTGTTGTCTTCTCAGGGTTCGACTTTCTTCGCCGCGTTGTCGCCCTTCGGTTTTGCAGCTCCCTCGCGATTCGCTCTTGCGATTTCCTCAGCTTTGGCTGCAGGAGCCTTCTTCTTGTCGTCGTCTTGCACTAGTTGAGGTTGCGCTTGTTTGCCTACCTCGGGGATCTCGTTTTTGCCGTGCATCTTCTGGGCTGCACCCTGCTCAACTTTTCTGTTCCAAGGCGAATTTGTCAGCGAACTTCTTGCCCCTATCACACAACATCAACCACGTCAACTCTCGCCTCTCCCTCAATCGTCACTCTCGTAACAGAGATCCCACTTACACTTCGCTGGGAGGTGCCCCGCCAGCCTTCTTCTCCTTCTCGCCGTCTTTCGCTTGCTTTTCGACGGATTCCTTCTTCGATGTATCGCGAATGGCCTCTTTATCTTTCTCCCATTGGTCCTTGCCTGCTTCGAACTGGTTCTGAATCTTCTCCATCCGTTCTTGCTTCTGCTTTTCTTCTTGTTCGCGTTGCTTGCGCTCCTGCTCCATCTCCTCCATGTGTCGAATGTCGTCCACACTGGGCTCATACAAATGCCAAATGGTGTAGTGTGGCAGTCCCACGACCGAGAACTTCATTCGCTTTGCCATCTGATGCTGCATTAGTTGTGCTTAGTAAGTGAATCTTGCCGTCCACTCACCTTGCCAAAACCTTCAGTCTCGGCGTGCTTTTCGAAACTGAAAGCTGGGAAATGCACGCCGCTTCTGAATACCTTGGCCTTCGCCAAGATACTCACACCACCAACGCCATCTATCTCCATCTCCATATCTGGATCGCCGTATGGGTCACGAAGGTAAGCCAAATGCGGTCTCCATGTTGCATACTCTGCGTAGCCCTCGACAATGACGGCGTCTTCGTCAAGCGTGTCGGCCAGGGCGAGAGCAGTCTCCGACTCCTGCCAACTATTCAGGTCGTATGGCTGCTCTCCACCGAGCCAGTCTGGCAGCGGCCTCCACACATCTAGAATATTGTCAGTCTCTGACCAAGGTCATGCTCCCTCAATACGTACTCGGTACGATAATGTCCTTGTTATGCCTCATGAGGTCTTCCAAGATCGTGTAAGGCGCAGTCTCCACGTCAACATCCCTCCAGTATACCCAGCTGTGTGTTGGTCTCAGAGCAGCGCTCAACAACCAATTGCGTGCTTGCGCCATGCTCTTTCTTCGGCTTGCTTGTGCCGCAAAACCGTGTCTGCTCTCCACGTCCTGATTCACGGTCTGGCCAAAATCCTTCTCAATCACCGAAATCTCTCCAAATGCCATTTTTCTGTCTTCCACTTCTTGAAGCCCTTGTAGCATTTCCGACAAAAGCTCCAACGTGTTGTCCTTACTATCGCCAACCAGGAATGCCAGGTCGATGAGGTTGTGTGGGTACGTAAGGTTTCGCAAGTGGGAGAAGAACATTGGCAAGTGTGGTGCGGCGTCTCGTAAAGGTGCGCAAAGTAATATGCGCTCTTCTCGTTCCCAGCCCCGACTTGTGCCTCCAACATTCGATAAGTCGTAATACCGCACCGTTTCAATGTTGAACTCTTCGCCCGTCGAGAACAGGCCAAGTGAGAGACCGCCGAAGAGCGCGGTCAGTCGTAAGGAGGGGAAGAAAATCCATAGTATCAGCACAAACACAGTAACTAAGCCGCCGACTCGTATCAGTGTCCCTCTCCGTCGTATCAGCATGATCCGTGACGATCGTGGTTGATATCTGCAGTAGGAGTTGTTAATAAGGGCTCTGAGCTGAAGATGGCGTGGAATGAGAGCGAGGCATGAACGCAGCTCGTATTCGCTGTTTCCCAAGCCTCACAGCTCTCTCCCGCCAACTCATCTGATCACTCACTTTTCATATTTGTCTGGCCGTATACTAAAGCCAGTCTTCCCCGAGCTCCCCATAGGATATGCTCCACCACCGCTCGTCCGTGTTGGGTGGCCATTGGCATTGTATCCAAGCCGGTTCATCTTCCCCTGGTGGAATGGAAGCATGTGTGCCCGCAGGCTGAGCGCAAGTCCGCTCGGGAAGTGCTAAGGCGCGCCCTCTTCTCAATTGTACTTCGTGAAGGTCGGCGGAAGTAAGATTGTTGTTCGGAAGTTGAGCCGTTGCTCACGTTTCTCCCTGGCAAGACCGCCCTGGACTGGCTGGCGTAGCTATCCAGGATGCGGGAAATCTGTCTGAAACGTGTTCGGTCGCTGCCGCTGGCTGTGGTATTGCCGCACGTGATAAGGAGCGGACCTCAAGACACTGATAGAAGAAAAGGCCTTGAGGATGGTGTGCGAGGGCGGTCGCGTCAGCGCATTGATGTGGAGTTTCAAGATGATGTTGCTCCAAAAGTTCCCAGGAGTCGGCTGTTCAAAAGTCTATATCGCGAGACCCTTGCAACTACGCTACAACCAGGAGTGGCAGGAGATTCGGAGAACCAGCTATCCCTCGCATGTCAAGGACCAATATCCCCTGTCCAACAGAACAGGTACTCGCGATGACTTCCACGCTAATTATCTACAGTGCCAGTAAAATGCTAATCAGCTTACATGCATCGTTACACAAGTGTCGACATTTAAAGAACATCGTAGCGCAAGCCACAGCCGCCGCGCGGCTCGCCTGCAGTTTGAATGGTCGCTGATCAATTATGAAACTTTGGAAGAACGAAAGAAACGGTGAAGATTATGTGTTGGTCTGACTTGAATTTGGGTTGAAAGTATCATGTTCCTCAAATTGAATCTCTCAGTGAGCCTTCACTCAGTAATGGCCCAACCTTGGCCGCCTGGTCGCGAAGTTCGCCGTCACCACCAGCGCCAACAGAGATCTCGACGAAAGCAGAGCCCTCATGGCTGGTGAGCTGTGAAGTGCTGTCATGGTAAGGCAGCATGAAGGTGTCGACGGGGATCTGCTCGCTCTGAAGCACATTGCGGGATTGTGCCACAACCTCGCCTGCGCAGAAGGCGAAGAACTCGTCAAGCGGAGCGTCTTTCTCCTCGCGGCATCCGCACACAATACTGTATGCCTTGGCGAGAATGGACCCCTTGCCCTCGAAGAAATCTGCACGCCAGAGGATCGACAAGCACTTGGAGATCGATTTCTGAGTGTACGATGCGAGCAATCTGTTGTAGAACTCGCGATATGCCATCCAGGAGCTGGGCGGTAGCTTTGGCCTATGGCAAGGCCACTTGCTCCTTGATAAAGCATTCACGTTGCCATCTGCACTGAGAGTGGTTGTCGTGAACTTCTCAGGAAAGGTGTCGAGGCTTGGGGTGAAGAGGCGAGAGATCTGCGGCATCTTGTCCTGATCGCCATCCTGTGGCGGACTCAACTGCCATCCCATCCGCTGCAGATACTCTTCTGGCGGAATGACGCCGATGAGTGGTGCGCAGAGAGCGAAGAACTGAATCTGATCTCGAGTCAGCCACTGTAAAAGCGAGATTCTCAAGAGTAAATCGATGCAATGAGAATTCTCTCAGATAAGCCGTGTTACGCATGCCCACCCGCCGGCACCTCGCCTTACTGACCATAACGGGCAGCAAGGTCCGATGCTCTGAAGTCCGCATGATAAAGCTACATGATCAACTTGCGTATCACATGCTGCAGGAAACTCCACAACCGATCATCCTGTCCAAGCCGAGGCATGAAAGTACGGTATAGGGAGGGTGACTCGGCGGATCTGGCTACCGAAGGGTTCGTTGAATGGATAGACTTGAGTCATCTTTGTGTAGGGCAGGTCGAGGAAATTACTTACCCTCCGTGCAAATCGCGCGCCGGTGATGTCCGCGGCCGCTATCGCTCGTTTGGAGCAGTCTCATTCGTCGAGATGAGCGAGAGGCTTCTTTTGACGGTACCTCCAGCGCTCATGAGTGCCATGAGCAGACATTTCTGCCGGCGTCATGGATCTTGATAGCCTTTTCAAGCATCTGGGAAGGCGTTAGCCATATGCGCGCAATGCAGCTGAAGTATAAGCAATGTATTGGTGTTGTCTGGATCAGACAAGGTTTTGGTAAGATGGTACAAATATCCACATTGTGCTTCAGTAGCAGAACTGGACGAAACCAATCATCATTGAAGACGAAGTGACGAAAAGCGAGGCGTTTGACATACCTTTCGGCTTGCGAGATTAAGCCCGCAACGAGAGCTGGTTGGAGAGCAGGAGAGGCGCAATGCCTGTTTGCAGTGTCAATGCGTGCTTTCGGGAGCCGGCTTTGAAAATGCAGTGCGTGTTGAGTGCAGGATCAGATGGTGATGCATGTTTTGTTCTTGGATCATGAGAAATCTCCAGAACGGTTGTGATAAAATCATCAAAGGAGCGGGTGCAAAGGGCAATCAAGGACTTACTGCTCAAGGACCTCGGCTCTGAGATGGCTTCTTGGTCCCGCCGTGCTGTGGAAAATGCTAGGTCTCTGAAGTCGCAGCATCAGCAGGACCAAGAAGCCTTCGTTTTGCGAACGCGATCCATGGTGTCGAGGCTGTTGTTGGCCGCCGCGATGACTGGGCCTATGTTGCGATATGCGAGAGCATCTTGGCTGCCAGTGATAGGAAGCTTGCGAATGGTTGACGTTGGTGTCGTGGTGAAGGACGGAAGTGAAGTCGGAGCCGCGAAGCAAATTTGAAAAGGAAGCTTTGACTTTGATGCCAAGCATGCGGCTCTTTCCGATTTGACTCGTTCTTGCCGCGATTTTTGTCTGGCTATGAGTCCTTCAACAACTTTCAACATGAGCTGAACATCACTTGGAAACTCGTTGCCGAGGCACGAGTGACACATATCACAAGGTACGTCGCCATTCCGATTCATTCCCTGCGTGAAATGATTAGAAACACATGTTTAATCAATCTGTCAATCCCCTGACCTCTGGAATGACGATAAAAACTGCTATGCTCTTTATGATATCTGTCTTTTTGCTACACACTTTACTGCACAGACTCCAGATCTGAGTTGTTCTGACTGTTCATCAGAGATCCATCCATCCAATCTCTCAAATACAATGGCTGCCAATCACACCGAAGTCACGGAGCCGATACCAATCTTCAAAGTCGCCCATCGATTCCTGCTTTACGATGTGAACCACGTCACATACCTGAGGCGCGAGCACAACATCAGCGGAGTTCTCACTGGCACTCTGCCTCAAGCAGCACAACAGAACGTCTTCCTGGGCTTGCCGCTAGAGCTCATGCCCGAAGAAGCTCGCCTGCTCGTCGAGAAGGAAGTCGCTTACGTTGTTGACGATACCGAAGAACACAAGCGCAATTTCTTGGGAAGGGGTCTCGGCGCAGAGGAGCGAAAGGCCTTCCAGGCCGCACTGAGGAAGCAAGGGCAAGCTGCAGCGCAAGACGCCAGCAAGAAAGCCGACGAGAGAAAAAAGGCTGCGTTGAAGAAGCTTGGCGAGAAGACTGGAGATTGGAACGACATTCCAGACGATATGTTCGAACCAGGTCCACGTCGGGGCAAGAAGGCTGCCAGGGCAAGACCAGACCCTGCTCGGCCTGCGAGTACCAATGGTGACGATGAGGACGAATCACTCTTCGCATCACCAGCTAATTCGTTTCCATCAAAGGCTATTCGCGCCCCTTCAACAGCTAGTACGAATTCAGCTGAAGTTGAGCCGTATCCTATCACGCCAACGACCTCGCACCCACCACTGCAGACAAAGAAACCCAATACGAGCGAGCTGCCTGCGGTCCCATCTTCATATCCTCTGTACAGACATCTGCATCAAAACGGCTACTTCATGGCTCCCGGTATACGCTTCGGTTGTCAGTATATGGCATACCCGGGCGATCCACTTCGGTTCCACTCCCACTTTCTGTGCAATGGCATGGACTGGGACCAAGAGTTCGACCTGCTGGATCTGGTTGGAGGTGGTCGTCTTGGCACGGGAGTCAAGAAGGGGTTCTTGGTGGGCGGAGAGGAGAAAGAGGATAAATCAAGCAAAAAAACCGGCGATGTACGAGCATTCTGCATTGAATGGGGTGGCATGTAGCGGTAAACTCGCTTATTGTCATCAGCGCCATCGGCTTGGCGGCGTTGTGAACGCTATCTACGTACCTTCCAACACGCACCATGCCAGTCCGCCTTGACCTTCTCAAAATCTCCCCTTCTGCTCCTCAATTCCTACATCAAACTCACAGCTACCCACCTCAGTCAAACCAACGATATCCAACCACTTCACATGCCCACGCCCCTTTGAGAAAAATCTCTCAATCCGTCTTCAAACCCTTCAGCCACTCATACTTGCCGACTGTCATCATCAAGAGATTAAACCCAAGATCCTGCGCAGCCATGCCTCGGAGTAGGAGACGTGAAGTACTCGTCATACATCATCACGTATCAGAGGTCTATGCTCATCTGGAAGACTTTTAAGCCATGTTACAGCATCGACTATGATTTGTTTTTCCCCCTCGAAAAGGAGGCTGCTGCTGGGACTTTTTTCTGGTGGCACGGTTTGAGTTGGAGGTCGGTAGTCTAGAGTTCTGGGCATCATTCAGCTATAAGAAGGGTGAAGTGGGGGATGACCAGTGTCTTGTAGGTAAGGTACGGGAAAATTTGGCGGTCAGCTTGAGATTCTTCGCTCACTTACTTCTTGTGGTAGGTAGGCTTTGAATACGGCCTTCAAGTCGATTTTTGAACTTCGTTTCGATGGAGATAATGAGAGGGTCCTTTCTGTCGTCGTGGGCGGGGGGTTCGGGGGTTGTGGTGAGGAGATTTGAGGGAAAGGATGATTCTATAGGGTATAGATATGGAACGTGAAAAAGGAGTGAGTTCGCTGCTCGAATTCGTGCAAATTCAACGCAATCGTGTTCTTATATACGTTTCTTCAAGCCTGTACTGGACAGCAAAAGGAGCGACTACGGTCAGTGTAAGATACCCAAGCACCATTCCCCAAACTCCGCATAACAATCTGTTTCATCCGCTGCGACATCAACCACCCATTCCCCCGTCGTTTCTGATCTCACTTTCATCATCTCCCATACAGTACGCTTACTCTACGTCAACGCCACTATCAGCATCCGAGTCGATGTGCTTCGGCTCTCGAACCATGATATCGAGCTGCACAGTTTCCATCTCTCGCTGAAGATATATGTTCTTCCGGAGCTCAAAGCCCATCTGCATTGACGTTGTCAGCTTTTGCTTTAGCGGGAGGAACAAATTCCAGCTCGACGCACCTTTCCATAGATCTTCAAATTTACAGCATTGGAGCTTTCCAAATAGCAGGCCTTGCCATCTCGGTCCGCGATTCTGGTGACATAGTCAATGACTTTCCTCGCGTAGCCTTTACCGCGACCAGATGGTCGAGTGCCAATGTAGACGAGATACCAGGAGTCCTGGTCGCGTTCGCCCATGACTTGAGCCTTGGTGTCGGCGAGGAGGGGGAGAAATTCGTTGAAGAAGCGCTTACGGCCTTCCTTTGAGAGCTGGTAAGAGAGTCGCCACATGCCAGACCTGAGGATCGTGAAGTAGTCATCCATGTTTTCGCCCGGTGGCATCCTGTTTCGTGTGAGCGCATATTGCTAAAAGGTACTTACAGTATGTTCAAAGTCCTACCAAAGACCAACACAATCATAGTTCGGACCAGCACTGACTACCAGGCCCTTGAGGAGATGAGCGTAGGTGATGTACTCCATCATCTTCAGATGGAGCTGCCACTTTTGCTCGTCCGTCCATTCTGCACGGTCAGGAGTATCCGTAAAATAGATGGTGGTGTGATCTTCCTTGAAAGCCTCTGCCAAGGAATATGCAGCTTCCTTGTATTCGCTCAAAGTCAAGACACGAACATCATCACCGCGAGTACGATTCGCTGCTACGCCATCTTTCTTGACAGCTTGTTCAGCTGCAATAGATCGTTTGTCGACTCCGACGTCTACTGCGATGTTGTTCAAGACAGCTTTCTCTGCATCGAGAGTGATGGCTGTAGCAGCGATGGATTGGTGGGACTCCATTTATTACTCGAGTAGCGATTACTCAGTTTACTAAGCGGGATGAATGTTCGGCCTGATTTGCGAGAGATGTCTACGAAGTCCGACATCAAGGTGTAGTGAGTCCTCGTTGTTGGTGGTATGCTACCTGTGGTAGGGCGAGTGTCTTTCGACGGCTGGTATGCGGCAGCTCTGTGGCTTCGAGTTGTTGCGAAGGCGTGCTGTGGGACAAGAGGAAGTGGCTTAGGTTGTTCTGTAGTTGTTTGTGCAACGCTCAGTAGTGTGTTTCAGCTATCTGATGGACGTTGGCAAAGTAAAGGGCCAAGCGGGCAGTAGGAAAGGTGAGGTCGCGGATCAACCTGATATACGATACCCATCGGCACGACCCCACGCTTCTGGGTAGGCCAACCTGTGTTACGAATGGCAATCGGCATGGCCCGCTGATAGCGCGCATGAATGATTGTGGTAGGTCAAGTGTCGTGCGGCTTGTCTCTGCGATGCCGATCACAGCTTTGGGTGTGCTGTCCATTATTCCTGGTAGCACTGCTGCTGAAGTACAGTATGGCGACAAGGGGGCCAAGAGTGCAAGCATCGCATCGCATCATCGCATGCGCCTTCCTGACTTGCACAAGTGCCGGCCTGCCCAGTCCCCTGCATGTTCCGTTCACGACAATCCGACGTTGCACCTCTTCGATCCGTTTCGCAGACTCTTGACAGGCATGCCGGTACTGTAGCAACTTGAACGGCGGCTCGATGAGAACGCAGCACCGTCCAATCGCTGATATCGGTCCTTCGCGGCGACGAGCTCGAGAGCTTGAGTGGAACCGTGGGAGAAGTCAGCTGGACCGTGGACCGTGACGCCCGACCTGGCTGTGCGGAGAATGGCGAGTGCTTCCTACCCGGCCTTCGAGGTCCTAGACGACAGCTTCGTTAAGAACGCGACAATTGATGATGAGAGAGTAGAGTAAAGAGAAGGAGACAAAGATAATCTTGGGAGCGGTGAAGCGGTACTGCGATCATTTTGCAGAATTCCAACAACCAGGCGTGCGTAATTGTACCAGCCAATATGGGAGCAAGATGTAGACAATGCAAGCGAATGCTAGAGGAGCAAGGACGAAATATATGTACATGTTGTCCTCCCCCGTAGTGTGAGGGATTTTCTGGTCAGACGGTGAGCGCGATTTATGTCAAAGCTTAGGGTTGTGGAAAGAGCAGACTCTACTTACCTCTAACATGGCCAGATCACTATGCGACTTCAGCAAACCTCTGCCAATCGTCCATACGCGTCCATAATGCCAGCGGCGTAGGCTCGAAAGTTGTCTCGGCCCCTCGACTGGTGGCTGTTCCTTCCTCCGCCATCTGCTGGATACGCCTTGGCGTAGTTGAGATCATGGCCATGGTGACCTCCATCTTCCTCTCTTTCCTGTTCCGATGCTGCCTGGTCACCGGGAGCCGCATCTGCTGGTGAAAATGTGGGAGACTTGTTCCCGGTGCTCGTTGCGCTCTTTCAACTCGACAGGAATACTCATTGCCGTCGGCAGCAGTGGCTGTGGCTGTCAAGGCGAGGATGCCCACAATAATCTGCCAGAGACGTTTGATTTGCGACATGTTAATTGCGAACAGGTCGAAACGTGTTCGGAAGTTCTGGTCGTTCACTTTCGAACGGCTTGCCAGTACCATTATATACGTTCTTGGCGTCCAGATTGACTGCAATCCGATATGCAATGGATACAAAATCAACGCAAGAGATTTGTGTACTACACTACGAAGAGAGGGATATAGCTCGATGCCATGGTCTCGAGCGGCGCTAGTGGTAAGTGATGGACGGTACGCATACTGGACTGCGCAACGAACCAGGCAACTTGCACGAGCCCGAAGATCTTGACTGTGGTATCTGCATTGCTCTTATCCTTGATGCTTTCGGGACGGGGTGCTGCTGCCAATCCAGATAACCTCGATTCAGCAGCCATATGAACTGATTTGGCCAGAGCACCTTTGCACCAAGGGCAGTTCGATATCCACCACCAATCGGAACAGCCTGAGCGGGCACGGGCCGCAGATTGTGGAGCTTATCGCACAAGAAAACGCTGGACCTCCCAACTACTAGGTACTTCCACCACGATGATTTTATATGATTTTTTTGGATGAAGCCTGTGTCTGGGCTCGCTGTGCGGTGCGGAATTGTATTATCGTTTCATATCACTTGTCGCTTCACTAAAGTTTGACTCTAAAGGTAGGCAGCAATGTCTCGTACTAAACGCGACATTAATCTATTTTACAATCAGTCGGGAGGTCGGTCACAGCAGTGGCTAAACACGCTAACACATTAGTGTATAGTTTCTCTAGTATATGAATTCGATAACAAAAGCTATTGTAGATTAATATAGAAGCGCGTATAGGGTATCTCTATCTATAGTAATGCTATACGCAAGCTCTAAAGTTATAAAGCATTAAGGAGGTCGTTAGAGTCGTAGACCGTAATAGTTCGGTAGTCGTCGAGAAGCGTATTTGCACGATTTAAGATAGGCATTATTACCTCTTATATAGATACCGTTAGGTCCGCTATAATCGGCGAGGCAGATCTAGTAGAACTTATACTTGCAGTAGCGGCCTAAAACGGTTAGTATAGGAGGGATAAGATAATAGAACAACTTATAGGTTATATAGTCGCAACTACTGTTCTTCTAAATCCTAGTAGTATAACCTAGGTAAGGTCTCGATACTTCTTTAACCTTCTTTATAGACAGTTCTTCCTCGCGGCGCTTTTCTAGCTCCCTTCGAAGGCGCTCGTAATATTTACTACAGGCTTCGCCCTCGTACATTAGGACCTTGTAGCTAAAGTAGTAGCGATACTAGCATTCTTAGTAGGTAAAGATATAGCCGTCGGCTATTAATGCGCCGGACTTGTAAGTACTATATAGGTAATCGACCTAATCCGGGTCCTATTCTAAGTATAACTTAGCGGCCTTGTCTATAATCCTAGTGCGAGTTAGTACTATTATAGCAACGTATATACGCGAATAGACTTACTTAGGTTCAATCCGTTCCGAGAAGAAGACATCTAGCTAGTAAATCTTAGCGACACTTACAATCTCGCCGTAGTCCGGACAGCTAAGCATATTCTATTCTTTTCTTTTAAGTTCGGTATAAAGATGCTTCTCCTAGCAGGCATAGTAAACGCTATAATCCTTAGTAGCTATAGTATATAGACGTAGAGGAAGCATATTAGTATCGAAAGTGTCGTAGTATATAGTGCATTCCTTGTGCTATATAATAGGCCGCTTTGCTAGTTCTAGCGACCCGATCAAGATAGGAGCAGAAACGCCGTAGAATCCCTACTTAGAAGTCGGTAAATTACGTTGTCGTACTTTCTTAGTCTTATTAATCTTAAACTCATTTCGAGGAGCTACTACCTTAAAGGCGGGCTTAGGCTTTACTTGCGGATGACTCTAGCCGGGCTAGGGCTTAATTAGCCTAATCCTGAATGGTCTTCGGCGCTGTCCTAAGGCTCCGCTTAATTCTTACTCGACTCCGTCTAACCTATAGATCTTAGGAGTACGCGGCGGACTTTCCGTTAGATCTATAACCTCGCTCGTCGTAGTCGCGTTCGTAACATCGCTATATTTGCGCTTGCCGTAACGAGGGAACAGATAGCCGGGATATATAGCGGTAGGGTTAGCTATAGTTTATATAAGAAACGAAGGCCCCCTTACGGCAGCTCTATAGCTTTAAGTAGCACGTAGAAGACGTGAATTGCAGTCGTTAATAAAGACAGCAAGTAATATAGAGGACAGATAGAGGTAAAGCGCGAACGCCGAACGGGAACCCTACCGAGGTTTCGCCGGGAGGTAGGGGTATAAGCCTAGAATATAGACATAGACACCTCTACCGCTTAGCTGTTCCGTAACTCTGTCGGCTTCTATCTATTAACGCCTTACATCCTTCTCCTTCGCTCTATTAGAAGGCCTACGCTATTTGCTTAATATACTACACTCTCGTCTAAGATTGCCCGTCTTCCCCGGTATAATTTAAAGCTCTAGATGCGTCTTTCGTATACGTACCTACTTCTACGGTAGCTGCAAACGTAAATATAATGCCTCCTAGCTACTCTAAAAGGCTAGTCTATCCCGGATAGTAGGTTACTCCCGATAGTATTAGCACGTCCTTATATAAGCGCGATTTCCGATATCGAAAATGCTACGACCGCCCCGGTAATCCGCGAGACAAATCTAGCAGAATTTATACCGGCATATAGAGCCTATATTAGGTTAGTAAAGCCTTAAGATAGGGCTAGGAAACAGTCCTTATATATTATATAGTTACAGCCTCTGCTATACAGTTAGTAAACATACGCTTTCCGGAACTGAACTACCTACTAATTCTTAATAATCTTAGCTTCGTATCTTAGACAAGCCTACGCATTCTCCTTAATATGTTTCTTAGATGCTACCTCCTCTAGTAGCTGCCTAATTAATCGCGCCTTATATGTCTTATAAGTCTCTTTAGTATGCTAAGGTACTTTGCAATAGATGCACTACTTAAGCCTATAGGAGTTGCAAGACAGGATATCTCTATTAGCGTACATCTAGCTAGACTTGTACGTAGGTGTAATGCACTAATAGAAGTCTAAAGTGCTAGACAACGCGCTAGCAATTTCTGCCTAAAGGTACCTAGGTCGCTAGTTAGTCTCGCGGTGTAGTCCTAGCGTATTATATATATACCTCTCTAAGGTTCTAGTAGGAGCGAACGCTCGAACATCTCTTTGCGATAGTACGTTACTATATTAAATACAAGAGATGCGATCGAAAGTCGTACTATCTAGCTATACCCGCAGCTACGAGGCCTAGTAGCTACGGCATATCGTAAATTCGTACTCGTACGCACTACCGTCTAGCGCGGTTAGGAAGCTAGTACGCGGAAGAACTCTATCGTATACTATGTATTCTATAATTAGCGGCTAACGTTTAACACGGTCTCTAGGCTCTATAAGCTTCTCGAAAGTAGCGACCTAATCTGCTACGGACGTTCGGCCTCGGCGCGGTAATTGTAAGGATCGAGCTAGTAGCAGTCGGGGTCGTACTAGACTACTAAGAGCCTTTAAGGTAGAGCTAATAGTCGGTCGGGCGTACGAAGGAGATAGAGAAGCCCGCGATGCTATTTCTAGATAATACGCGTAATTCGTAGACTAGAGTTAGATCTAATAACAAGGTCGAGAGCGGGATTCCTTCTTAGGCGCGATAATGTTATACTATAGGCGCTACTGCTAGGGAACGGTGCGAAAGCTTTCGTAGGAGCGAGATAAGCTAGAGGGTAAGTTCTACGTAAAGCTAATAATTTAGTTTTAGGGCGCCGGCTCTTACGCTCTTCTATTAAGAACTACGTTAAGCTAGCTATAGTGTAATTTAGATACGTAGTAGACGTTATAGAAAGAGAAAGCGGACTGAAATCTAGTAGTATCTAGAAGAGAATCGCGAAATCAGCTTCACTTATAAGCTAAGATCTACCCGAGATTACAGGCCCGAGTGTCTATTAAGCGCTATTTCGAGTAGAAATCTAGGCAACGGTAAGCTCTCGGTCTATCTCCTAATCGTACGAAGTACGACGAAGAGATCGAATAGCTCGAATTCAGAGTGAAATATATCAAATCTCGATATAGATAAGTTAATTCTAAAGCCTAAGTTGTATATTAGACCTAGGACTAGAATATTCGCATATATTAACGAGTTTATAGTGCCGTTTCAGCTAGTCTACTTCCTTTAGTCTACTACTAGCGCCTATTACGTATACGATCTTAACGCCTCGTCTACCGCACTATTATCCTCGCTAGCTTAGCTTTGCTATTCTCTAGCCGATTATCGCTATCGTACTAGTCCTAGCATTTCTTATCGTCTCTTACCTCCCCTTAACGGCAGTTAGCGGTAGCTTCGATCCTTAAGTACTAGTAGCGAGAGGTATTATCTATCGTAGCCTAGCGCTGCGACTTATTTAATTGTTGCGTCGTTAACTCCCTACTAAAGCTCCTCGTTATTCTCCTCTCCTACGAAGCCCGCACCGCCCTTATCTAAATCGTCGAGTATAATAGAATCTTCCTCTATAGCCTTCTTTACTCGCATCTTATTAACCTTCGTACCGAAGGATCTTAGAGCCGCATTGCCTAGCTCTTCTTTATCTAGCATCTAATGCTCGATCTATATACTATAGGAGTAGTATCGAACTATTCTTACTTTACGCTTCTAGCCTACCCGATTCTCCCTCGTCTTCGCCTATTTACTCGCTACGAGGTTCTAGTTAAGGTCGGCTATAAGTAACAAGTTCGCTTCGACTATATTATAGCTACGCTTAGCTATACTTATAGAGTAGACGAGAATGTCTACGCCCGACGTCTAGGACCGATTAAACTCTACGATTAGTTATAATCGCTAGCTAGCGTCCTTTAGTACCCTTAAGTTAAACAGCTGCGACTTTAGACTAGCCTTCTTATACGCCTAGATAGAAGTGTTAGTATATTGCTTTAGCTCTTGTTTACGAAGGTAGAGCTTACTAGATTAATAGTATAAGCTACTACGTTAGAATAGCTTATTACTACGGCCTTGCGGCCCTTATTATCTTTAACGGTATTAGCCGTCTGCTTCTTAAGCTCCGCGATAATGTCCTTAATACGTAGGCTTTCTATAAGCTCGTTAAGGAAGTAAGTATATAGGTCTATATCGGGCTTAAAAAGCTAGCCGAAAGACTTAATCTCCTTTATAGTAAATTCTATTTCCTACTCCTTAGCAGATACCGGCGCGTAGCCTTTGCGCTCTAGATTATTGTTCCTTGCCTTAATAAACTTGTTAAGGGCCTTGCTACAGTTCTTCCGTACCTAGTCGGTTATTCGAGTCGGCAAGGTAAGGCCGCGCTTATCTTTAGATAGTAGAGGCGATAGGGTAGTTCGAATTCGTGTCCTATAAGAGCTAAGGAAAAACTGCCTCTACGTAACCGCCTTAGCGTTAATCTTTCCTAAACGGATCTTCTAGTTAATGCTCCGCTTTAGCTTTTCTACCTAATTATTCAATTCGTTAATTATATCCTAAGGTAGCTTAATGTTCTTTAGCTCCTTATCTATATTATCTAATAGTCGCATCTTCTGTTCGGGCTTTGTTGCGTTAAACGGCTAGACCGATTTGTATATCCGTAGTATAAGAAAGTGCCTTAACACTAGTATAAGTAAGTTAGCTATTAGGATTTTAGGCTCCTTAATAGAACCCTTTTTCTAATGCTCTCCGCCTAAAGCTTTCTCGTAGCGATTAATTATCCTCTTAAAGCCCTCGCCTAGAGGCTTACTTCTAAACTCGTTCTATACTTTAAAGTCCTTCTAGTAGTTAGGGTCGGATCGCCCCCTATTATTATAGCGAGCTAAGGCGTCGAAGACTCTAAACTATTTAATTATCGGCTTCTACGTTCTAGCGATTAGGGTACCTATTACGAAATATACCGCATATTTCGTATTACAGTTTACGCTTAGCTTACGAAGCGTACTTATGCTATTCGTATATATTCTATACTCCTCGTTAGCCTCGTCTACTGCGATAGCTCTAACTAGTAGAGTGTTATAGGCCGCGGTTTTGAAATTAGTCGAGCTATTTGCGTAAGGCCTACCCTCTTAGGTCCTCCTAAACTATACGGTCGAGACAGAGAAATTCCAGTTCTCGTAGAATACGTAGAAACGACCCTTTAGTACGAATACGAGCTTCTTATACAGACCGAGGGGCGCCTTAGTAATAATTGGATTTTGCGTAGAGCCCGGATAGTTAACTCCCTTCCGGTACTTGTCTACTTTAGGAGTCGCAACGCGATTAGGCGCAAAGCGCATTACGTCTCCCCTTTTAAAGAGCTTAATACTATCTATTTCCTCTTTCGTATTATCTATATTAGGCGGGTTAAAGTTGTATAGTTCAATGCCTAGCTCCTTAAAGTCCGTATAAGCTAGGAATTTCTTTATAGTGTCGGGTTTTAAACCGGCAGTTAGGCACAGAATTATAATACCCTTACGAAGCCTAAAACTACGCTATAGGTCGCGCTACTTATATCTATAGGGGACAGAAAACTTATTCGCAGATAGGCATTTCGAATTTTCCGTACCCCGTAGAAGGTATTTCTCTAGATTATCTCTGTTTTTAGCGTAGTCTTTAAGCATATCGGTAATCTGCTTATAAAAAACGAAGATTAAAAGTTGCTCTATAGTTTTGCCGAGACCTATAATGTCGCCTAAGATTCCTCCGGCTTCTCGAGTATACTACGGTCGGTAGAATATAAGCTAAGCAGCTCCGAATACTTAGTAGGCGTATAGCTTTGTCTTAAAGCCTAGTAGGGCGATAGGTGTTTCGGGATCTACGAAAAGTTTAGGCGATAGACGTAGACAGAGGCAGATACGTTTAACGTACTCGTACGTTATCTGCTCTAGCTCGGTAGTATAACTCTAGTTAAGATCCCCTGCCTAGGTTTGCTTAATACGGTCGAGGAGCTCTTTATAGGTCTAACTTAGAATATAAGGGGTCGCCTCTATCTGCTCCTCTAGGTCGTCCGGCTCCGGAGTATACGTATCTATATTAACTATAGGCTAAGCGCGTCTAGCAGTCCTACTATTCCTTATAGGCTCCGAGTTAGTATTAGAGTCGAGCGGCCTAGTAAAGGACGGAAACTAACACTACTACTACTACTCGTAGCAATAGTATAGGCTACCGAGGGTAACATAACCTATAGCAATATAGGTAGCTATGTTTAGCAAGATAGGATAACGAGACTATCGCTTAGGCTAATAACTAGAGCCCTATAATATAGGCATTGTAGAAGTATAACATAAACAATATACTATACGAGGTTAATAATCTGTCTACTCTATAGAAGGAGGCCTCTTATATAGGCTTAAAACTAGCCTATAGGTATAGGGCCGGTTACTAGCTAATATCCCTCCCTTTCTTCGTATCTAACTAGACACGTTTCACATTATGCGCGCTTAAAACAAACATATATGCATCCTTAGCGCTCTTAGCTAAGGCTATTCTTAGAACTCCGCAATAATACCCCCGGGGTAGCATTAACCCTAGATGCTATAATTATGCAAAAACAACTTCCTAAGCAACACTATACAGACTTACTATTGCTTTAACGCGCCGTAATCCTTACTAGCAATAACCTTATCTGCTAGTCGGTTCTCGAAATCTCCTCCGTATACGTTAAAGCTATTAGTACCGAAGTACTGTCCCTCGTAGAAAGCTTAATTAACGAGGAGGTTAGCAGCCTTTTCTATCGTAGCTTTCTCCTAATCGTATAGATATTCCTTAAGTCCTTCGTTATTAAGCTAGAGGATCTGTTTAACTTCGTTCTAAATAACGTAACTTAACTAAGGAATCCTACTAACTAGAGCGTCGGAGATATAGCCGAGGCCTTCGACTAAGATAGCCGTAGGGAAAGCGAATAGTACGAAGGAGTTAGAGGCTAGGAGGGCGGTTAGATTGCGGTACGCTTTAGCAACCTAAGAGACTGTTAAGTTCTCGTAGCCCTTAACCTTAGTGCTGTTAATAACGCGAGAGTAGCCTAGGTTAATTAATATACGGTTGCTCTTAGTCTTTAGATTACTATATAGTAGGTATAGTATCTAAATAGAGACCTCGCACTCCTTTAGAGGGTTGAGGATCTACTCCGCTTTGCGCCCCTTACTATTAGGCTAACTATCGAATATATAGTCGAGGTCGTCGTCGGTAAGGTGCTTGTTAGTAAGCTTACCGATCTTACTTAGTAGGACTAGGCTACGAGCCTTAAGCTTCTTAACCTAGTTCGCAAAGACCTCGGGCTAATATATACCTTCGATAATAGTAGAGTAGCTAGTCTTATCCTTAGACATAAGGCAGACCTTAATGCGCAGGTAACTAGTACCCTCGCTAGCTGCGAGCTTAACTATATCTTGTCCGAGACGAGCAGACTCCTTAGAAGGACAGTTTTCGTAAGTACCGCTAACCTTAAAGAACTTAGTAGGCTTAGGGACGGAGATAAGCTCGTATACGTAATTAGGTCGAAGGGCGACAGCTAAGAGCTATAGGGCAGGGTACTAGCGGACGATTTAGTTGCTTATACTATAAGTTTAAAGGGCATTGCGGCCTTCTTGCTTAGACTTAGGCATCGTACGTATATACTAAAGATACATTTTAAACTCCTCCTATATTAGGTCGATAAGGAAAGGAAGATATACTCTACGAGGCTCTTATAACTAACTAAAGACTTAAGGGAAGATAGCATTGCTAGTCTAGCGAAAGCGGTCGAAGGAGGTGCCTTAGCTAAGGATGCCGGTAACGAACTTGCTCTAGCGATCCGTTAGCGTAAGGGCGCGAGTAATAGTACTAGTAGGGTTAAACGCGTAGAGTCCTAGAGATGTCGGGGCGGCAGTAGGGCGTTTAGGAAACTAGTTAGTATAGGCCTAATTAGCCTTAAGGGTAGCGAAGGCGTCTTAATTAGGAACCTCGCGACTAATCTTTAATAGGCGACCGACAAGGACAATCGCCTTAGCACTAGTATAGAGACTATAGACCTTAGCGGCCTTCTTAATATAGTTAGCATATATAGAGAACGGCTCTTCTCCTAGCTTACTAAGGTCGTCGAGCTATTAATAGATAGAGAGGGCGGTAGGAGCTTCGCCTATTGCGGCTTTAGGAACTATATCGATCTTAGTAATAAGGTACGCAATAGAGTCGCCCTTGCAAGAACTATAGATGTTCTTAGTTAATAGGATTAGCGAGAGCCCTCTATCTCTACGCTCGCTAAAGGAGCCTTCGGAGGAGACATCTTCTAGTAGCGTATCTAGTATATTAATATCTAAGTTACTATAGTTAGTACTATAGTTAGTACTAGAAGGGGCGCTATACTTCTTAGTAGCCTTACGGAGGGCCTAGCGAGTATGCAATGCCTTCTTACGCGCTACTTCGGCCTTAGCGCGCTCGTCTTTAACTTCCTAAGGGACCTTACGGTTACGGGTCGAGCGACGATCTTAAGCCTATATCTCCGTAGCGAGCGCGAGACTAGTAGCCGTATCGGCCTCTATTTCTAGGCGAAGAGCTTTACGTTTAAGGACATTAACGATAGGAGCCTCTTAACCTTTAATAATAAAACCTATACTATTAATGCGATAGCCCTTCTCTTTTAGTAGATCCTTAGTTGTCTATACGTTAAGATCGACCTAGACAATCGCATCGTAGTGCTTCTTCTAGTAGGCTGTCGTAAAGTCGTTAAGCGTAAAGGATAAGTTAAGTAACTGCTTGCCTACCTTCTTGCTAGCGGTAGATATACGATAGATTATAGTGCGGGAAAGATGCTCGGCGCCTTAACGACGGACCTTATACTTATTAACGAACGAAGAGACCTGCTTAGTACGCTCTTGTCCTCCGTAGGCGAAGTTAATAAGGCTCTTAGGAAGACTACTTAGTCCTCCCTAATATTCGAAGGCCTAGTCGAGGGTCTTAAAGCGCAAGCGAATCTAGGTACTAGCCGTCTCGAGGCTATAGACGATAGGAAAGGCTTGTTCGATATCTATATCGTTAAGGACCTCGCGCTTAAAGATACGCTTACCGATAGACTAACGCAAGTTGTTTATACCGTACGCAACTAAGATAGCAGCCTTCTTAATGTTCCTATTAATAACGCGTAGTAGGGTACGAGCGTTCTAGATCTTCTCTTAAGGGTCTTTAAGGGCGGTAACGATCTAGAAGCAGTGCTCGAGGCTAGTTGTAGCAGCTAAGGCGCTATCGGAGGGGGCTTCGATCGGGACTAGTACGCCTAGGTTTAGGGCTAGTAGGTTGCTACTACTGCTAGCGCCTAGCGGATTTAGGGCGCCGGAAGACATCTTAGTCGACCGGAGCGGAAAGGAGTTAGTAACGAGTTTGCAAAAACGTTCGTAGCTTGTTAATAATAATTAAAGGGTTTAGATAGAAGGAGGGGGAGGGGGTAGGCGGTAGTAAGTTAGTTAGCGTTTAAGTAGAAGAAAGAGCTTAGAAAGCTCGCCTTAAATAGGGTACGAAGGTAGCGTAGTCCGTATATTCCGGTAAAGCAAACGGATAACGATTATATATAGACCCTAAAAAGTGAAGCTATATACGAGACTCCTTTATTAGTAGGGCGGCTAAAGTTTAACAATCGACCTAGCTAATTGCTAGTAGCGACTACGCGCCTTTATTAACCTCTAGCTTTCGTAGATTCCCGCGTACTCGAAATGTAACTAGTTAGTTCGAGTACCTAGTAGTAATCTATAGTAGTAAGGCTAGCGGGACTAATAATACCCCCGGGGTAGTATTAGCTTTTTCTCTAGAGATACTCGGCAACTAGGAGCAAATCGCCTAGGCCTAGCGCAGCTTATATTAGCCTATAGCACTGTCGTTATAGATGTAGCATTACCTTTTATAGTAGCAGGTATATAAACGTAGCCCGTGCGTTCTTCTTTCTTCTAGATACTAAGCTTAGCGGCCTAAGGTCCCTATTCTTAGAGGCTATAGGCCTAGGTTGCTATGTCTATCTAAGAGCTAGGAAGGGAGAGGGATCCTCCCTTTCTTAGTGTCCTACGTAGCTAGTGCTAATTAGGGCAGGAACATCCTCTAGTAGAGTATCTTGTTGTCGTTGTTACTTAAGGAAGGTTGCTAGAGTCTAGGAATCTAGAGGGAAGTAGTCCTAGAAGGGTAGAGGGGTTAGGTTCGGCTATTTTCCTAATACTACCCCTAGGGTGTTATTAGGAAAACACGCCTCGTATAGTTCTATCTAAGGAAACAAGAGCGAAGGAATGAAGTTATAGCAATATTAATCGAAGGTAAAGGTAAAAGCAAAAGACAATAACAGGATAAACTAAAAGCAACAAACGAGAGCATAAACATTAGCAGGAATAGACAATAGGTAAGGACTAAAGGTATAGGGCGGCACTATATTAATAGCGCGGAGAACGATCGACAAGAGCAAGGAAGTAACGTAGTAGAGGTAGGTAGAGGCAAGGAAGAGCAAGCAATTATTTAGTCTCGGGATCTAGCTATAATTCTAGGCGGTCTTCGTCGCTAGACTAGTTAGGTTCCTCGGAGTTAGAGTTAGATAGCTAGAAGTCTAGTTCACTATTAGAATCGGAATCAATATCGGAAACGCTCTATATATAGTTAATCCGTATATAACCCTCCCTCTGTTCTTAAGTTATTCCTAATAGCTTACTAAGACGAATCTAGGGATAGGTATAGTTCTTAGGCAGAATAGGATCTATAATAGCGGTAGGATCCTCCTCCCTATAGGCATCTAAGGACGGTAGAGGGTCTATAGAGGCACTAACTTCCTCCTTAGTCGGCGGAGGGCGGGCAGGTTCGCGTAACTTAACGATCTTCTTTAGATTAGCCCGAGGGTAAGAGTGCTTTAAGGTAGCACTATCTAGCTCCTAAAGAAGGTATACGGAACCCGAGTGAAGGACCTCCTTTACTCTATAAGGACCCTTCTACTTAAAGGCTAGCTTATAGGAGTAACTATACTCTAGTTCGGACCGGTATAGAAGGACTATATCGCTAACCTTTAGAGGTTCCTAATTAATAGCATTATAGTTATTAAAATACTGCTTAGCCTCTTCCCGAAGCCGACGTTGTCGAGCAAGACCCTCTTAAGAAGTCGTAGTTATATCCTTAAGAGCCTTAGTCCGTAGGGCAAGAAGATCTGCCTTAGTACGAATAGACCCCTAATCGTAAACGCCGTACGTACGGTAGGACAATTTAATAGGAAGAACGGCGTCCCTCCTAATTATAAGTTCCGCTAGTATAAGTCTAGTCGTATCGATAATAGTAGTTCGGTCCGCCTAGAGAAGGGCTAGGACGCGGGTAGAAATAGGAACTAATCTGTCGCTACTATTAGTTATCTTAGATAGGGCATTAATCAACGACCGATAGCCGCGCTTAACAATAGTATTCGACTAGGGATAGTACGGGGAGATGCGAACGTTCTTAGCCCCGTACGAAACAAGTAGCGC